GGGCTCTAGAAATAATCTCATAATTCGACTTTAATAAATTAGCGCCTATTTCTATTGTTAATAAATTTTTCGTGTATTTTTCAATTTGTCTCGATATAATTTTGTCATTAATAATTAATGAATAGAGTAAATTTATTATGAGTAAATTTAACCACAGTTTTTGGAATTGAAAATACGCCGATTCAAGCTAACTTGGTTATATGGACAATAAAAAACATACAAGATGGCAAAGTAGACATTTTACAAGTTATTTTTGGTTTTTGCTCTAAAACGGCTTGACATATTTTTTTTTGAAAATGTACATGAGATGTTAGTATACAGTGACCAATAAAATGGAGTCAGTGGCGTCCAAAATTGTTTTAATTCTATAGGTTTTTAGAAGGGTTCTGCGCCCCTTTGATCCCCTTACTTTTTTGACAATGAAATTCAGTTAAAAAGAGGACGCCACTGAAATTTTACATCTGTTATGATTTTTTGTATTATTAAGTATTTGTGAAAGCCTTAATTACTGAGTTACAGTTCATCAAATTTCTAGAGGCTTTCGACGGCTAGACAGAGAAAGCACTACTGAGAGGCATCGGTTGGCGGGGCCGACGGATTTACGCAATGAAAGTACACTCTGCGCATCAAGTATTTCACTATTTTATTCAGACGTAAATGTCAGATGTAAATTTCGCTAAAACATTTCTTTTATTTTCGTTTGTGTTTTTTGCTCATTACAGTTTAATAGAACCTAAGTATGGAGTTTAATAGCAAATTAAGAGGCCGCGTGATTAACAGTCAATCTCGCGAAATAATAGTCAATGTTATAGAGTTTATGAGAAGAGAAGGAAACTTTAATTCACCTTCAATACCATTTAAAAATGTAAATGATCGTGTTGCTGCAGCCACAGGAGTATCTAAAAACACTGTCGTCCGCATTTCTGGAGAGAAAAAAAGAATCGATAACCGTGAGATATCGGAATTTTCATCACCAAGAAAAACCATTAAAAAACCAAAAACCATTAAAAAACCAAAAACAGTTAATGATATAGATGAAGCTGACAAAGGTATTTTAAAAAGAATTATTCTGTTCATGTTAATCTCGGAAAATATTGTTCCAACATTAAAAACAATTCTGACTAAATTTAGAGAAGCTACAGGGTACAAAGGAAGCTATGAAAGTTTAAGAAAAATAATAAAGTCGCTAGGATTTCGTTGGCGGAAAACAAAAACAAACAGAAAAATATTAATGGGAAGGTTTGATATTCAAAAGCTACGTTTAGACTATCTGATTCGTTTAAAAAGTTATCGAGCAGAGGGCCGTCCAATTGTCTACTTAGATGAAACATACATTCATGCCTCCCACACACACCAGAAAGCTTGGAGTGATAATTCAAATGAGGGATTAAAGAAACCAATTAATAAAGGTGATAGACTAATTATTGTCCATGCAGGAGGTGAAACGGGCTTTATTCCGAATGCCCGGTTAATTTTCAAATCTGGAACCAAAAGTGGAGACTACCACGATGAAATGAATTTTAATAATTTTTCTAAATGGTTGAAAGAAAAGCTGTTTCCGAACCTCCCTCCAAGAAGCGTCATTATTGTTGATAATGCTCCTTACCATAATGTCCAGGTAAATAAAGCACCAACGTCAACTTCTAAAAAAGCTGACATGCAGGATTGGTTAAGGAATCATAATATTGCTTACGAAGAGGATATGCTCAAAACGCAATTATACAGTTTAGTGCTATTGCATAAGTCACGATTTAAGAGGTATGCAATTGAAGAAATGATAAATGAACATGGTTTTAGTTGTTTGCGTTTGCCACCGTATCATCCCGATCTTAATCCGATCGAATTAGTGTGGGCATCATTGAAACAATATGTAGCTAGTAACAACACTACATTTAAGAGGCAAGACGTACAACTGTTGTGTGAAGACTTTTTTGATACGTTTTCTAAAGAGGAGTGGCAATCTCGTTGTAATAATGCTAAAATGTGGGAATCTAAATTTTATGACAGAGAAGTTACTTTGGATGAGGCAACTGATAGATTTACAATTAACTTAAACAGTGACAGTGAGACTGATTTTGAATCTGATATGGAAACTGAAGAAATTTTTTCGGAAGACCATTAAAATTATATCTGTACCTAAGATCAAAAAAGTATTATCTATTTTTACAACAAAGATGCACAAGAATCAAATTTTATTTTTTTATTATTAGATAGCTATTTTTATTTCTGAGTTGTGTTCATTTACAGGCTCAATTTTTTTCCGTTTCTCCTTTTTGATTTTATATGGGGTTTCAAGTTGTTTTTGACTTATTTCGACGTAAATCACAACAACACACTTTTTTAATAAAGCAAACAAGTGTTAAGAGGTATATGTACGTGTAAACTACAATTACAAAAAATTGATATGAAACCCATGAAACCATCAACAAAAATGTAAAGCTAGCTTCCGTACTAGAACATGGTGTCATTCGTCGAGATAATTTATCGTTTTGTTTAATAGATCAAGAAATGTAAATATTCCCCTGTTATTTTTTATAAAATAAGAGAAATAAATTTTTATCTAAATAGTATAGTTTATTATTTTGTAGAAAAACAAAATTTCGAAAATTTTAGTAATGTTTCAGTAACAACCGTTATTAATAATAGGTACCATTTTCCTTAATAAGGTAGAAATAAAATATAAACTATTTCCACGATTTACAAAGGCCTACAAAAAAATTATAGGTATTTTCCGCTATCCTATAAAATTTATATTTTGTGACTTAATTTCAAAAGGTTGAAGGAATTCCAAAACACCTTTTATGGCATAATAATTATTTTCAATTCTACATACTATCTTTAGCTGCTTTTAAAAACGTTCTAAGAAAGTCCAATCAGACCAATTTAATCCCTAAACTATTCCACACTTTTAAAATTTAATTACCTAAAAATATTAAAAACTATTTAAAATAACTTGTTTAGCAGACTGTACAATAGCTATCTTAGTCACACGTAGCGCGTTCTCTGTCTGGGCGTCGAACACCTCTAGAAATTTGATGAACTGTATAGGCCCACAAAAAATTTTCTGTTGATCTTATACCACTGAATAATAATTGTTCACGATTTTTTCTTACTCTTTTTGAACTTCAAATTTAATTAGTCCCTTGTAATATCTATGAAGTTGAAAAATAGAAAAAAAAATCGTAAACAAATAATTAGTAGATCGATAGAAAAATTTTCAGGGGTCTATAACTCAATAATTAAGACTTTCACAAATACTAAGAGTAACAAAAAATTAAAAAACACGTAGAATTTTAGTGTTGTCCTGTTTTATTGCCTTAAGAAGTAGGAGGAACAAAGAGGTGTGGAACCATTATAAAAACCTATAAAATTAAAATAATTTTTAACACCACTGATCCTATTTTATTGGTCACTGTTGTATTACCATTTAGTGTACATTTTCATAAAATTATGTTAAGCTATTTTAGAGCAAGAACAAAAAATCACTTTGAAAATGTCTACTTTAACATCATGTAAGTTTTTTTTGTTTTACAGGTAACGCCTCGGTCTGTAGAGCCAAAACTCCAACTCTATATTATTTTTTAAAAATCTGTTTCTACAGCAAGATATATATCAGAAAAGGCAACAATTTAAATATAATTTCAATTATATAGGGTTCTCCAAGAAAGTGAAACATATCAAAGTTATATTTTTTTTAAATAGAACATCCTATATTTTAATTTATATATGATTTGCCCTCACTTTTGCCATTATAACAATAACAAATAGTATTTCACAAGCTATAATCAATTTTATATGAAAATTGTATTGATTTCAATGACCTGTATAATTCAAAAAAAATAATTGAAAAGCAATTTTTTTCGGTAAGAGTTTTTCGATATTAGTCAACATTTTGCCAATGCACTACTTTTTTTCAATTAGAAACAAATCTGTACAAGGGGAGTTAAAACTCAAATACATCATTTTCTCATTATTTTTTTAAATTGATCACCCTGTATTTTATATCACCATTTAAAAGAACCTTAATTAAAGTTTTTGTTAAGCATTCCCTTTACCTAAAGTTAATAATTTCAAGTGATTAAAAAAATTAAATGAGAAAAAGATAATTCACAAAATACTCTAATTTAAACTGTTTTTTAATTGGTAATTAGAATTTAACCAGCTGTAATAAGTTTTTGACAATACCTTATGCCACTTTTACATTTAGTAAAAATAAAGTAAAAATAGCAACCGAAAACTTATTTATTTTGACAAATTTTATTTAATTAATTAGTTGCTATTGGTATTTATTTTTAACTGAATGGTATTCCTATTAGAAATTGTCAAAATCTTTTTTAATCGATAATAAATTACAGTTGGTTAAATTCACTAATTAACAAACAGTCTATTTTGGTAACCAGTGGCCTGTTAAAATTAAACTATTTTATGAAAAATTTGTTTTGTTATTTAAATTTTAAAATATCTCAAAATTATTACCTTTAGGTATAGATAATGCTTAATGCAAATGAAATTAAGGTTCCTATAAATGCTGTTATAAAATACAGATCATTTAAAAAAAAATGAGAAAATTATGAATTTGATTTGATTCAATATAAAATATCAAAGTTATTTCATTTCGCACTTGATCATACTTGCTATTTAAAAAAGAATAAGGGGTTGTTGCCGGATTTCAGGAGGTATGATTTCTGGGTATAAATTTTGTATGACAATTCTCGTCCCCTTGCCAATAAAAGTTGACTTGTTTTAAATTTTGAAAAACTCCTTTATTTCTGAGTTTCTGAGAGGGATAGTCAAGTTATCGTTCGTGCACCCTGTATATATCGCTGAGAAATACGATTTAAAGACAATAGTTTTTGCTCTACATACCGAGGCGTATCAATAAAAAAATAAATAATTGTAATATTGTTCACTTTCATGAAAATAAAAATTGCGCGCCTATGTTATTCAACACATATTATGCCGTGACTAAGTCCAAGGTTGACTAGAAACACAATTACATTCTCAATAATGTTATCTATCGACCCGTTTTCTCAATAAGCATCATGCTTATCAGATTTATTTTAACTAACAGTATTAATGAAATTAATTTGGAAAAATTAAATTAGTTGTGATCGAAGTCGCGAAAATGGCTGAACCCGTGGTAGAGGTGCGCGAGGGTAAATTACTGGGAGTGACGAAAAATGACAGAAACGGGAATAAGTTTTACGGATTTCAAGGAATACCGTATGCCAAGCCACCAGTAGGCGAACTACGATTTAAAGTAAGTTATTTTTTGATGTGACATAATTGACTACAATAGAATCATCCGTTGCTATTCGTAGAGTTACTTAATACCTACAGTTATTTAGTAACAGTTTTAAGTATTAATATAGTTTATTAAAAATTAAAAAGTCAATTTACAATTTATTACAATAACATATCAATGGTTTAAACCTACTTTATTGTTGTTTCGAAATGCGAATAATTTTAGTATTAGATATAAAATAAATTTAAAATGGTTCTGTGTGCAAAATCCATTTCTTGACCTTTCTTTTAAAAACATGATACCTAGTTATCCGTTTCATATAATTTGGTAATATTATAAAGATTCTAGGAGGCAAATAATTTAAATAAGGATAATAAGAAAGATGGGGTTCTATTATTTTAAAAGATTTTAAACTGTATTCATTCCCATACTTTTTATAAATTGACTGCACCAGAAGAAGGAAAAATTATATTTTCCGAAACATATATTTAGTGCTTATATTATAAAAACTTAAAACAAATTGACCGAAAAAAAAAACAGGAAACTTTTTATTTATATAAAATACAAATAATTTAAATTTCGTTGCCTACCCTTTTTAAATTATTTTTTTTATTTCCTTTTGTTTCTAGACTATTATTATAATAACAAATTTTAAAATTGTAAGTCTATAAAAAAAAATGTACAATATGATTGATCTATTCTTAGTACAGTAGTAACAGGTGTCGTTACAACATCTTGCAGGCTTTTCCCATCTCTATAAAGTCATTGATAAAATTATTTAATTGCAGTGGCGGATCATGTAGTTTTTTAGGAGATTTTTCAAGCTTAAAAGCTTAATATCTTTTTTCTGCATAGTTAAACGAAATATTTAGTACTTATAATCAAGGATACTTGACTCAAGGATTTGGCCAATCCAATCTAGTATGTTGTATGTTTTACCGTTTACGTCATTGCCGGACCAGATATTGATAAATTCTTGTGTTTATGCCTTTGTATATGAGTTATGCCAAAGAAGGCAGCAAAGCACCTCGGGAATTTTGAGTTGAAACATATGCCACATTTTTAGGCTATTTTAAAGCTATTTTTATACCCTATTCAAAAATTTTATGCTCCTCGTTTTTTGCAAAAATCAAGGTGCTCTGCTAGCTTCGAACGAATCCAGCAGAGCACTTTTCTAAAAACAACTACACAACATATTCCAAATAAGCAAAGCACACAGTATTTTTCTAAGAAAAAAAATATATATACTGTGTGTCTACTTAAATTGGAACCATATCGAAAACTTTTTTATTATTGGTTTTATAAAGAACAGTTATTCTTCATAAAAAGTCTTGCTCCAACAAAGCACCCTGTATTATTTAAAAATAGCAATTTTTTTAGTAAACTTTTATAATATTTCAAAAGCCTAAAAATAGCCTAAAAATGTGGTGTAGTTGTTTTTAGAAGAAAGCTTTAAAAAACCGAGGTGCTCCGCTAGATTCCTTCGAAGCACCCTGTATTTTTTAAAAATTACAAAATTTTTCGAAAAGTTTTATAATATTTAAAGCCTTAAAATAGCCTAAAAATATAGTGTCGTTGGTTTTGGAAAAAAGCTACAAAAAACTGAGGTGCTTTGCTGACTTCGTTCGAAGCTAGCAGAGCACCTTGATTTTTGCAAAAAACGAGGAGCCTACAATTTTTGAATAGGGTATAAAAATAGCCTTAAAATAGCCTAAAAATGAGGCATATGTTTCAACTCAAAATTCCCGAGGTGCTTTGGTGCCTTCTTTGGCATTATGAGTTTTAGTATTTTATGAATTGTTTTTGTAACTTGGGGATAAAGTAAGGGTCACATATTTTTAATTTGAAGGTAAAATATTTTTACATGGGCTGGCTTAAAGAATAAACAACCCAATTATGTTTACATGTGCAGAAAAGGGTTCAAATATTTTTACATGAGCAGGTTTAAGGGGTAAAGAGCCCAAATATTTTTAGATAAATAGTTAAAACAATTTGTAAATCCCGAGAGAATAATGCACTGCAGATTTATCTACTCATTTTTACCTTTTTAGTTTTAAAAGATAGGCAGTTATGTTAAGATATCTGTTTTAAGAAAGTTCGTTTTTTTTCAGGCCCCACAACCACCCGAACCATGGGAAGGAATCCGTGACGCTAAAGAAGAGGGCAGTGAATGTTTTGCCAGACATTTTGATGAATTTTCTGGATCGGAAGATTGTTTAGTTTTAAATGTTTACACTAAAGAGGTATAGTAACGATTTTTTATCATATTTTAAACTTCAAAAGCTTTTAATTAACTCTAAAATGAAAATCTGATCGCGGTGTTGCCAAGTGGTGTAATTTTTATTTTCATTTGACTAAGAATGAAAAAGATCATGAAATAAAAATATTTTAGATTTTTAAACTTTAAAAGCTTTTAATTGCTTAATTGATTTAGGTACAATAAATAAATTAACTCTAAAAAGAAAATATGATCGCGGTGTTGCCAAGTTGTGTAATTTTTATTTTCATTTGACTAAGAATAAAAAACATGAAATAAAAAACAAAAATATTTTAGATACTAAGTCCCAGATTGAGGCCAGTTATGTTTTGGATACATGGTGGTGGATTTACAGGAGGATCCAGCAGTACAAATATGTACGGGCCAGAATTTTTATTAACAAAAGATGTAGTACTAGTCAGTATTAATTATAGAGTAGGAGCATTGGGTAAGTACTCAAACAAACAGCTGAACGGCTATCAAATATTTTTTTACTATTTTACTTTTATTTTGTGCCTTTTTGGGACATTTTTAAGTACAGGCACAATACAACATTTACTTTCTATTTGTGTTTTCTACAATTTAAGGAAATACATTTAACTTTCTCCTAATATCACTAGTAGCGTATACAGAGGAGTTATGAGGGTAATTGTCCCCCCCAGATCTGAGGGTTTGTGTTAGGTTCGTGTATATATTTATTTATATTCGATAAAACCTCTAACACATTCACATAAATTACCCCTTCCAAGCTTAAACTCTGGATACACCAGTGCCGGATTTATATTTTTTATGAGTGTAGGCCACTTTATTTTCACCGCCCTATGTACCTTTCTAAAATAATAATTTTCCATTTGTAGTAAGGAAGATACTAAAGTTAAATAAACTAATGAATTAGTCATTAAGAAAGAGCGTAAAAAAGAAACAAGAATTATAATTTTTTACGAGACTTTTTAATAGCAAAATCATCTATAATATCATCATAGTTTATGGTGTTTATTGTCTCTGCTTCTTTGTAGAGAAGAGCTAAAGAATTCATTTTTTCTTGAGACAATGAAGACCTTTGATAATTTTTCAGGCGTTTTAAACAGGAAAAACTTCTTTTCCTAGAACAATTTGTAGACGGAGTGGAAAGTGCGATGCGTAGAGCTATATCCAAGTTAGGGTAAACATTAGACAGAGCTTGATTCCTTAAAAACGTTGAGAGACAGTAGTGAGTTTGATCCAGGCTTCACTGCACACTGTAGTTTTATTAGAGGAAATGTGCCTGTGAAAATGTACACATTCTTGAACCAAATCGTCGTAATATAGATAAAATAGGTACAATAACAGTAGGTACCTACCTAGGATTGATAATTTTCGATAGGAAGGAGTTTCTATAGGGATTTTACGTATTAGTATAAAAAAACAATGAGAAAACCAGTGAACTTGTTTGACTTTTATTCTCTGAAATCAAGTAAGCGTCCTCTTAAATCTGCCGCCCCTAGGCCGCGGCCTATATGGTCTATTGACAAATCCAGGACTGGGATACACCACTGATCATTACGATATTTTGGCTTTACCATTTACCTTTTTGTGATTGGCTTGTTAACGGTGTTTGAATTTGCTCTGAATGACGCAGATAGATCAGTCATTTAGAATGGTAATTATTTCATCACAGTGTTTTGCTTTTAGGTTTCTTGAACCTACCTGACCCCGAATTAGGTGTACCCGGTAATGCAGGTTTAAAAGATATGGTGATGGCGCTGAAATGGGTGCAAAACAATATTAAACAATTTTCTGGTGATCCCAATAATGTTACTGTATTTGGTGAAAGTGCAGGTGGCAGCGCTGCACAGTATTTGGTACTATCTCCAATGGCTAAAGGTGAAACAAAAATAGTTGGACATACGATAGAATATTAATATTTTTGATATTTCAGGTTTATTTCATAAAATAATAGCTCAAAGCGGTAGTGTTACGAACTGTTGGGCAACTTCTAACAAAAATGCAGCGTATTTATTAGCTGCTAATGCTGGAATTTATTCCAACAACGATAAAGTGGTATTAAAACACTTGCAGCAATTGTCTTTGGAAGATTTGCAGGAAGCGTTATCAAAAATACCTGACGTAAGTAATAATTTTTGAGTATCTTTTTTTCCGGGAGGGTTGTTCAAGTACTCGTAGATCCATGCCCACAGTTTCCTATTTTAATGCCAAACATGTCAAAAAGAGAAATATAACAAAAAATTTGAAAAGTGTCCGTTCCCTCCCCTTAATGAGACGCTCATAATTCACCATAAAAAAATTGTTCCTGTTGTTTTTAATTGGGCATAAAATACCTAGTATTTGTACCAAATTTTATCTTTTAAATGGCTGAATTCTGAAGATTAAAGAGAGCAAAGATTTTTACCGGTGTAAACTTAGCGACAAATTTTTAGAGACTAATTTTCTGAAAATAGCCGAACTGTCAGTGGCGTCGTAATTATTGTAGAAGACATTCAAAAAACTATCTATCACTAAGATTTGCAAATAAAATAATTAATTTAACAATATACTACTTTATTATTTTAAACTTGGTAGAATACAAAAGAGAAAATAAACGCAATTAAATATATGGCTTCCTAGACATAAAACCATAAATATTTTCTAACTTAAGGTAGGAAAATATAACACTTTTAATAAATGTTAATAAATGTTAAAGAGAACAAAATCCAAGATCGAATAGGTTGTTTATCAACACCCAAGGGGAAAAAAGTCGCAATAAACTCTGTTCCTATGCATAAAAACATATTTATATTCTCATACAAGTTAGGTACAAATACAACTTACAATATACTTGAAAGTTTAAATAGGGCGTCAATAAACCCCAAAGGGAATTTTCCGATTATTTAATAGGAATCAAATATCTCCGCTCATTTGTTATTTTTTGAATCTGGTCTACTTGATATTAGAAAATTATTTATGAATCAAATTATATTATTTACTTCAAAAATAAAACACTATTGGAAAAAGTTAATCATGTTTATGACACCAGGTACAAAAGTACCGATAATGCAATCATAGAATTACTACAAAAAAATTTTAGTCTTCGTTCTTATCTATCACGTAAAATTTATAACTATCTTCCAGAAATATATAAAACCTATCTCTTCAAACTAAATTCAGAAAATTTCATTAAAAATATATTTAAAAAATATATAATTTTCCTAGGAAAAGATGAAACTAGCAACCTAATAAACAATACCTAAAAACTAAGTTTAAATTAGTTAATTAAGAAATGATTTCTCCTTCCTTTCTCTACCAAAAAAAATATATACAGGGTGTCAATTTGAAAACTTTCAGTGCAAATATCTCGCAAAATAAAAAAGTTGGAAAAACGCCGTTTGACAGAAATGTTATAGATTTAGGGGGAATTAGAACCACCATTTTTAAGTGAGCAAGTGAGTCATCCCTTAGACGCGACACACCCCAACTTTAAAATGTCAAATGGCACTACCCCTTTTGTGATACCTCAAATGAAAGGTCTCATTTAGTAGTATTCACCTGTACAAGAATTTTTTTCCATTCAATACGGTAACAAAAACAAAAAATTCGAATAAAAAAATTTAATATTTCATTTGATTAAATGTTCAAAATGCATTTCATTTTGTGCTAAACAATAGTATAATTGATTTTCAAATTCTGTACTAACATTATGGAACACTTCTCTTGGAATATTGGTGCATTTCGTAATAATTCGTTGCTGAAGATCTTCTATTAAATCCGGTTTTGTTTTAAATAAGATGGATTTCAAATGTCCCCAGAGAAAAAAGTCCAGAAGTGTTAGATCGGGAGATCTCGCCGGCCATTCGATTGGACCTCTCCGTCCAATCCATTGCCTGGAAAAGCGCCATTCAAAAATTGCCTGACTGGAAGAACGTAGTGGAGTGGTGCTCCATCTTGCTGAAAATGTATTAAATTTTCATTCAGATTCCTGTTTCCGTCAATGTCCAGCTGATTTTCAATTTCTTCAACACTAGGTTCTTTCGTTCGCGGTTGGTGCAGTGTCCACCAGTGTAAATTACACCAGTTACACCACCTTATTTACCTTAGTTTACTTCTCTCCTTATTCCTTATATACATGTCGAGTGTAATTCACTCCTGCTAAATAGCTGGTGGAGAAAATATCCACCAGTGGACACCACATCGCCTACAGGAAGGTTTAGTGGATTTTACACCGGGCCGAACGAAAGGTTTAGTGTACGTTGGTGTAGTTCATTCCTACACCAGTGGGACGAACGAAAGAACCTAACGAAAGGTTGAATGGTGGTGTCTAACATTTCCAAGTAAGTATCGCCATTAAATTGCCATTAATAAATAATGGCCCAATCACAGTGTCGCCTAAAATTCCCTCCCAGACATTTATTTTTTCTGGATACTGCGTGTGCCCTTCCCTAAAAAAATGCGGATTTTCGCCAATATCTGCAGTTGTGTTTGTTCACTGAACCGTTTAAATGAAACGTGCATTCGTCGCAAAAACAAATATTTTTTAGCAACTGGGGAGTAACACGTAACATTTCGGTCATGTCCTCGCAAAATTGCATTCTTCGATCGGGGTCATCCTCCTGCAACTCCTGAAGAATTTGCATTTTGTACGGGTAAAACTTATGAAGTTTGAGTACCCGACGAACAGCTTCATGAGAAATTCCCGTTATCGCCGAAGCTTGGCGTAGAGACATTGTAGGATTCATAGCAAAATGTCCTAAAACTTCCACTTGTGCTGCTTCGTTAAATACTCTTTGATGGACCCATTTTCTGTTTGTCACTGATCCTGTTTTTTCAAATTTAATAATCAGTTGTCTGGTGTAAGTATGACTTACATTTTTTCCGGGGTTTATTTCGTTAAATGCTGCAGCAGTTCTTAAGGCACAACGATTTTCTGAACCATAAATAAACACCATCTGAATTCTTTCAGCCAAACTGTAGACCATGATGAACAGAAAATAAAAATTATACTCGTATTTCTTCAATTAGACAGTTCTGACTTTGCAGTACAACCTTGCACAAACGACTAAATTTTATACAAACATTGATAGGTAGGTACGTACCCGATAAATTCAATGCTATTTTTTATTCTCAGATAAGTGCTCCAAAATTTTAGAATGGAATTTGAAGTTTTTTTTGTTTACAAAAAAATGAAATTTGAAAAACGATTGTACTATCGTTTAGAAATAAATGGAATGCATTTTGAATTATCTGATCAAATAAAGTACCATTTTAACAAAATACAGTTTATTTTATTCGAATTCATGTTTTTGTTACACCCTGTATTGAATGGAAAAAAATTATTGTACAGTTGAATACTACTAAATGAGACCTTTCATTTGAGGTATAACAAAAGGGGTAGTGCCATTTGACATTTTAAAGTTGGGGTGTGTCGCGCCTAAGGGGTGACTCACCCCTTCACTGAAATATGGTGGTTCTAGTTCCCCCCTAACTCTATAACATTTGTGCCAAACGGCGTTTCTCCAACTTCTTTATTTTGCGAGATATTCGCATTGAAAGTTTTCAAATTGACACCCTGTATAGATAATATTATATACTTTATTTTTTTACACACGTTACACATGTTTTATATTTTTATTTTAGTATCCATGCACAACCTCATTGGTTCAATGGACTAAATGTATCTCTAATTATTACATCAAACTACTTACTGCTGACTCTAATTTTATTCCCTATAGTAAAATAGTATACTGTCTATAATCCACATGCACATCAAAATTTAATGCATGACTCGGATAAAAACTAATACAAAAGCTTTATTTGGCATAAGAACACTAATATGACAGTATTTGTTCAATTGTTATCAAGAATAGGTATATCGATTCTTATAGATCACAGCCATTTTAGTTATAAGAAAAATTGAAAATATGTAACTATTTTTTTTTTAATATTTTTTAAGCACATTCGAATAAAAAATAATGTAAGAGACACGGACATTTACGAACTTTTAGTTCTTATACTATCATGATCTATATCTATTATGCTACAAGGACAAAAAATCACTTTTTGACCATGGTTAACCAAAATGTTTCGCAATTCACAATACCTATACTAGTATAAAATAGAGCAACCCACATTATTTTCTCCATCATAACTTTACAATCTTAATAAATTACTAGACAACTCCCTATTTATTTTCCATTGGCTTTTACATTTATTAAATTGAATCCCACATTTAAGATATCTAATGAAATGTCGACGAAATTTATATTTGTAGGTACCTAGGTAACCCAAGAAACATTTTTAATTTTATTTTGTAATAAATTCCCGAGAAACTTCTCTTAAATTATTAATTAAATTACACTTACCTAGACATAACATATAATTTTGAGCCGTTGTAGTAGAGTAGAATTTTTCTGTTATATTCCACATAATCAAGATGGAGGTTGTAACACTATCACAATTATTTAAATGTCATTAAATTAACCAAATTTGTTAAATTAATGAAAACGTAAACCATCAAAATTACACAAACATTAAAAAACATCCTTTCCCGTTTCCCGTGTTACGAAATTCACGAACTGATTTAAATATTATTTAAGATGATGCAATCTTAAGTACCTTCCCTCTGCAGGGCTGAAAATGTACTACGATTTCGACCAATGAAAGTTCGCCGTTTGGATCACGTTTGAGTCACATCATGTATGGACCAATCAGAAAAAAATTCTCGCGCAGCACTTTGAATTTAGCCATTTTAAGTTTGGGTGGCCGATTGTGGTAGTGGCTACTGCGACTAAAGGCCGGTTTTTTAATGTTTATTTAATTTTGACCTTGAAATAACTGAAAGCAAACAACAATTCTTTTCGGTTTTTCGATTGATAATTAAAGACTATCATAATTTTATAAACTACGTGTTCTTTGACAATTAATATGAATGTTTTAGATGGTATAAAGCATTAGTAAAAAATATTTCAATTGAAAATAATTCACCCCTTTACGAGTAAATTTTAAACCCGGAAGCCTCAAACTTGTGCAGGGAAGGGATGGTTATCATTAATATTATTTTTTGGGGCGACTTACTAATTGAATTCGACTTACAAATGTAGAAAACCCTAATAACTCCATTTAAGTATTATAATATTCATACAAACAAGGATTCAAATAACTTCGTCTTAAAATTTGCTATGTTTTTAGATGCACGCCATCGGGATATTAAAAGCCTTTGGACCGACGATTGAAAAAAACAGCAAAGAAGAAGCTTTTATATCGGAACACCCGTTGGATATTATTAAATCCGGGAATTATATGAAAGTGCCAATGATAATGGGATGCGTGTCCAGGGAAGGCATGTACATCCATGCTCTGGTCAATAATAACCCTAAAAGTACGGCACTAATGCCTACTACTCTTATTCCGAATAATTTTCAAATGAGGATAGGCAGCAATCTTCACAAAGACGTTTCTAATAAAATTAAAAAGTTTTATTTTGGCGATAAGGATCCTTCGACTGATAAAGACTGGATCAATAAGGTAAGGTACACGAGTGTGGAAAATCACTTTTCACACAAGTGATGTACAATATTTTTCCTACGACCACAAAATAATGTCATCAAAAAAATGTAAAACGAAGGTTATTATACTATAATAATTCAAATGTATTTAAAAAATAATCAACAATAATCGTATTTATTCAGTTTTCATATTTTCTAAACAAAAAAAAAAACTAAAAAAAAATAAAAAAAAAAAACAAATTCTGCCCCGCCAGGAGTTGAACGCGGTCGAAAAATGGCAAAGTTCGACGTCCTAACCACCTGAGCTAATAGCCCTTGTGTCAATTGCATGATCTAATCGGTTATGTATTTAACCAGAATAAAGAGCAAACATTATTTTAAAATTATTTTAATAATAATTGGTTAAGATAAATATCTAGGATCTAATTTACAACAATTTCAATAATTTAACAATCATATCGATTATAGTATTAATATGGACATTACATAGATCAAAATAGAAATTAGGTGTTTGACATTTTGCGACAACTACTGCGGAAAGTAACATATTCTCACTCGGGTGGAAAGTAAATTCTTATTCATACGCGTGTGATATAGGGCACTTTCCATAGGACTATATAGTGTGATATGTGTCACTTTCCTAAGTGGTCGTAGGAAATAGTATATTACGTTACGAGTGTGGAAAGTGACATTTTTCACACGAGTGGGAAATATTGTCGCGCGAGGCGTAAGCCGAGTGCGACTATCACACGAGTGTGGAAAATCACTTTTCACACAAGTGATGTACAATATTTTTCCTACGACCACAAAATAATTTCATCAAAAAATGTAAAACCAGATTATTATAATAATTAAAATGTATTTAAAAAAATAATCAACAATAATCGTATTTATTAAATTTTCATAATTTCTAAACAAATAAAAAAAAATAAAAAAAAAAATAAAAAAAAAAATCTGGCACAGCCAGGATTCGATCGCGGTCGTTGGACGGTCTCAAATTGCAAAGTTGATGCTCTAACCAACTGAGCTAACAGGCCTTACGGTAATTGATTGATCTAATCGCTTATGTGTTTAACCAGAATAAAAAGCAAATATATTTTAGTTATTTTAAAATTATTTTAAAAATAATTGTTAAAGATAAATATCTAGGATCTAATTTACAATAATTTAACAATCATATCGATTTTAGTATTAATATGGACATTACATAGATCAAAATAGAAATTATGTGTTTGACATTTTCTGACAGCTACTGCGGAAAGTAGCATATTCTCACTTGGGTGGAAAGTAAATTCTTATTCATACGCGTGTGATATAGGGCACTTTCCATAGGTCTATATAGTGTGATATGTGTCACTTTCCTAAGTGGTCGTAGGAAAAATAATTTACGCTATCACGGCTATGACAGCTTATACGGAAAGTATACTCATATGCACACACGCGTGGAAAGTAAATCTATCCGAGTGATATAGGGCACTTTTTATAAGACTACGTAGTGCGATAGATGTCACTTTTCTAAGTGGTCGTAGGAAAAAATATCGTATTTTTTGCAAAAATTGTAGAAGCTTTTCTGAATCTGATTTGAAACGTTTTATTGTTCTGATTTACGATGTTGTCTTGTTAGACATTCCAAACAAAATGGGTGCCCGTGGGTTATGATATGGCAACCCTGTGCCCCTGGTGATTTGAAAAGGTCAATGCTATAGATAGTTAAAGATATAGTAAAGTTATAGTCCGTTTTGTTGAAAATAAATACCTTTTTTTTAAATAGCTTCATTTAAATGATATAAAATCATTTTCATTCCGTCAGTCTTCAAATATAAAATTATTGACTTCAAATAAAATAAACTACGACTCAATTTGCCATTTTCATTACACTTATCCGTCACTCGAAGTGCGTTCATCTGTCATATCGCAAAATAGTGTCGTCTCTGTTTTATCTCGGTGCAACAGGCAACAAAGATTAAAATGACATTGTTAATGTAAAAATGTCATTTTAAACCCTTAACGACTAGCGGAGGAATTGGGCATAAACCCTATTTCTTCAACACATTTTAGTAATTTTTCCTTCAGATCAAATGTCATCTGTCACTTTTCGCGATTGGAAGATATTCTAAAGGAATTTTCACTTTTCTTTAATTAACATTTTCTTTTTAGCTATATACCGATAATTATTTTCTCTACGATGTTTATAAGAATGCTAAATGCCATTTAGAAACAAATACCCATCCGATTTATTTTTATAGATTTTTATTCGACACAGACTTGAACTTTTTGAAACATATGTATGGAATTACCGAGCCAGGTTAGTTTTATAACGGTTTTATTATGGTTTCACTTCTTTTGAAATTATAAAATTTATTTGAATATTGTAGGGGTTTCCCACGCTGATGACACTCCATACCTATTCAAATGCGATTTAGTCCCAGAAGCTGAAGAGGGCAGCGTGGAAGATCTGGGAATCCGAAGAATGGTTACATTATGGACAAATTTCGCAAAATACGGTAAACCGACTATAGATAAAAACGATTCCTTGTTACCTGTAGAATGGCTTCCAATATCAAAAAATAAGTTTAGAACTTATGATATCGGTACAGAAATGAAACTACACGATCAACATCCGGAAACAAAATATATGGAATTCTGGGATGAAATATCTCAAATCAATCCCTTCCTTTCCAAGCTATGAAGTGGATATTACGATATTAAAGAAATTCTAAATTAATTTTGTTATATAATAAAGAGTGGTCCATAAAAAATGTTGCTAAAGTATGCTGTTGCTGACAAACACGAGTCATTTCCGTACTGACATTTAAAAAGAAAAACAATTGAACGCTTCGACATACGTGATTTTTCCAAGTAGTAATTTAGAAATATTTTTTTATGGATCACTTTATATTATAATGTTGTTGCATTTATTCACAAAAAAAAATTCAGAAATTAAAAAATAGAGAACTGTAAATAAATATTTTTGTATTTATTAAAATCGTGTTTTATTAAAAATAATGAAGTGATCGTATCATGTTCATTTCTATATCAACCCTTTGATACGTTAGATTTTTCAAAATAGACGTCTCAGGTTAGTATCTACAACCTTGTCCGCCGTTTGAACATAGAAGGTACATCCGAAGATACTATAACGTAAATAAAGATCTATATTGAAGATCAAACATCTTTATTGTTAGAGGTAAAACGAACATGAGCTCAAACCATTCATATCATGCTACCAATTAACTTGAAATATTTGCATCGATTTAATTTTTTTACGGATATTCGCTGAAAACAAACAAGTAATTAGGAAAATTTCAAAAGCGAATGATATTATATAATTATTCTCTATTTAAGAATTTACAAAAAAAATCTCTTATATTGTCTATATAGGTACTATTTTTATGAGAGGTATATTTTAATATTTTTTTATATCAGTGTCGCCAGCTTTGACTGAATTAATCAGTTAACTTTACCAAAAATGTTTAAATATAATTATTATTTAAATATTAAAAGCTAATACACAAATATTGATAAATTAGTTCTGAAAAACACTGTATATTATTTAGTTAATATTTCTCAAGAATTGAGATTTTTCTTGTAACATTATTGGAAAACAAAAAAAAATATTTGTTACAAGCAATCATAGAAAAAATTATCAAAAAAAAATACTAATAAATGCGTTAAATGATATAAAGTACAAAGAAAAATATTGTAAATCTAAAAATATCGCAATACATACATAGGTAGATATTGACTAATCAATCACAATGATGATACATTTAACTTATATACAAGCAAAATTAGTTGTCAATTTACAAAAAAATGTATATATCAAAGATATTTAAGGGCTAAACCTTAATCAAATATTTTGTTTCTATATCTAAAATTAATACCTAATAAACTTACCTTAAGTATCTAGAACGTATGAAGATAAATCACTGTTTTTTTACATGTTCCTTAAATTTTCTTAACACTCTAAATAAGTATAAATAGCCACCATCTTTTAATTCTGTCCAAGTAATTTTCTAAATGGTCGTCGTCGTCTTGTATTAGGAATTCTACGACCTGTCAAACAATATTAAAATATATTTTTGTTTTAATTTTGAATACATAATTTCTCCCAGCAGAATCGCATGTTAAACTGTCAGGAGAAATTTATTTACTGGGCTATGCAAGTAAAAAGTCAATTTGAATTTATTGATGCTTGCGCTATTTGGAACAATCTTTCGTATTAAGTATAATGTGACTCTGAAACAAAATTAAAAAACATTGTTGTCCCAATTTTATAACAAAAGCTACATGATGAGGATTTAGCAACGGTCTAAAGATCATCTTTCCTCAATTTTTAGATGTTTTTTACAATCAACAACCAACCTAAAAATGATCTTACCCTAAAACTCCCCCTTGTAATAAAAATGAAGTCCATTCCCAACATTTTGTGATATATCTCATAAATAGGTATAAGTAGAAACCACCGATATATATGAGCTTCCATGAAAACACCTAGCTATTTATTAATCGTAAACTAATAAGTTATTAGAATCGGACTTAAATTTAAATGTATATTTCTGTTATAAATTGAAAATGTGAATGAACAACATAGCTCAACAAGTATGACTATACTTTAACTATTATAACGTCTAATAAAATAAACTGAATAGATTATTTCATTAGAGGTTGGTAAAAAAAAATAGGGGAAATGAGCGCTTGGTGCAATATAACAAAATTCGCAAACTGAACAATACACACACTAGGTATTTTCCTTTGCATCAAAAGTGTAGCAAAAAAGAAAAAAAACTTAAATATCACAAAAAACTTAGAGCTAAAGCTAACTCGATAAGTACTCCCTCAGCTGATTTTTAAACCTAAACCGACTAAATCCCAAAAGATCATTGTGTTTAATTTGACCAATTTAATCGATTTGCACAGGCTAAAAGTTATTTAACTCAAATAAATGGTATTTTTTTTTTTGTTTTATTTTTTAGCTTTGCAGTTTTTTCTTTGGATGTATTTAAGTACCTGTTGAAGTGTTAGCCAAAGGAGTAGTTGTTTTCTGAAAAGAAACGGTCGCTCCTATTTTGTGACATATGGCCTTGTTTTATTTTACGTCTTGGTCATATTTGAGCTGGAATTATTTTCCTTTTGTAATATTTACTACATAAATCTAGCCGATGACGTAGCGTACCGTCCTCGCCGCTACCAGAAAAACGGGGGGCGTGACCTATTTATTCGAACTTTGGCAAATTAATTGTGAAGTAACTATAAATGCTAGAAAACCAACTAAACTGGAAATTAAGTTGGAAATTATTTTTATAAAAAAATAATCCAAATGTCGTTTCTAAGCTAATTGCCTGGTCACCTGAATATAATTACATTGATCAAATCGAATCTATTCATGAAGTACATGGCATCATGGAATTTAGAAAGAACATATCCACATGCTCCACAGCAACAAGATATCGACAATATATTGTTGAATTGGTTCAACTTTTTATATCTTGAGAATCGCATGACATTGTCCAAAGCTTTTAGAACAATTAAATTTATATGTACTACGATTAAATAAGAGAAATGAGAAGACATTTTACCACTCTACTCCTAGAACAAATAGTATGATGAACTCCCTTAAATAGAATATGCATGCAATGAAAATATTAAAGAAATGGGCCCATTCTTATGTTCATTAAATCATTTTAAGAATAGAGTCTAAATCTTTATATAAATGGTGCCCATACTTTTTTTTTATGAAGATATACCAACCAAAGATATAGACACCTTGTACCAAAAGTTTGTAATACTTCCAAGGCCAGTGTCGAATTGGGACCTTCAGGGCCTACCGGTTCAATTTTAAGTGATTAACTGTCAGCACCACTGCTCTATGTAGTGAACATATCACTGGTTCCTTTACATGTCTTTCATTATTTACCTATTTTTGTTAAATTTAGATCTTCCTTAATCTTAAATACCTCTTTAAGTCATAATATTTAAGCTCTCCTGTTTGGACAATAAAGGATTTTTTGTTAATTTGAAAACGATTTATTACGGAAAATATTATAAAATACTTAATTAATTATTACATATCTTCAGTATCAGATTCTGAATCGGCTTCCATAGCTTGTTTAGCAGCTTTCTCAGCATCAGCATATACAGATTCCGGTACTTTAACATGTAATCCTCCACTGTCTTTGCAAATCCAAGACAGTTCCAATTCAAAATTCTTGTCTTTTAATTCATCATGCACAAGATAAACTCTAGAAGAAAAATTAATTTAAATTATTTAATTCATAAAGAAATTCATTTTTTGTTATGCTTACATTTTGGCAGCCTCTTTAACCAATTCCTTACAGGACAGTTGACCCAATTTTAATTTCTCTATTTCTGTTTTGGCTGATTGTTTTGCTTTACCAGTTGCGCAACCAAAATACCCCTAAAAATTACATTCAGTGGTATAAGAAACTTTTTATAGTGATTACAGCTTAAATTAAGTAATAGATCAACTTTTTTCATTACAAATTGCAATTATTAGTCTACCTTTCATTTTGAGAACAAGATATATGAAAAAAGACTTAAAAATTGGGTTCATTCATTTAAATGTTACACCCAGTCAGATAAGAAATATTTTTATAGTGGCTACAGTTTAAATTAAGTTACAGAGCATCTTTTTTCATTACAAATTGCAATTATTAGTCTATCTTTCATTTTGACAACAAGATATATGACAGAAAACCTTAAAAATTGAGTTCATTCATTTAAATGCTTAAATTAAGTTATAGAGAATCTTTTTTCATTACAAATTGCAATTATTAGTCTATCTTTCATTTTGACAACAAGATATATGAAAAAAAAGACTTAAAAATTGAGTTCATTCATTTAAATGCTACACCCAGTCAGATAAGAAATATTTGTATAGTGGCTACAGCTTGAATTAAGTTATAGAGCATCATTTTTCAATACAAATTTCAATTATCTGTCTAGCTTTAAAATGTATTTAGTAAAAACAAGTTTAATACATACATAACTAACTCCTGATGGATCAATTAGGAACATGTTAGGTTCGTCATCTTGGTAACTGGCCAAAATTACACTGCATCCAAACGGTCTTACAGCACTGTATAGAGTATATGCATGCATGTACATACTAACACGATCATTTAAATACTTAAGTGGAATGCTACTACCATATTGATTTCGATAGTTCGATGCTTCTTTTCTTGCTATTTCCACTATTTGTCTAGCGTCTGCTATTAACCCAGAAAACGCCTAGAACAAATTATATAACTTATAGCTTTGGTTTTTACTTTAAAAAAGACTCACCATTCCTATATGTCTATCGATGTTAAAAATTCTCTTGTTTGTGGTATTCTCGTGCAATTTTGACATAATAAGTTTTTCAGCGGCAAGAATAATGCCATCGGTGCCTCTAAGACCTATAACAGTCCCGCTGTTCTCTACAGCTTTCATCGCGTATTCAACTTGAAAAACTCTTCCATCGGGAGAAAATTGCGAAGCTGATAAATCATACTAAAAATTATAAATATACAAAAATTTTAAATATATTCGATCATATTATATTGTTTTACAAACCCCAGTTCCAATAGAACTCATTGTAACTGCTTTTTTCAAGTAGAAATATAAAAATTATAGGTTTGAAATTCAAGTCGCCGTGAATTGCTTATTTTACTTCATGTCATTTGTCAATTGTCATTAATGTCAATTACGAGTAGCTGCGTTCCCAAATATCGCTTAGTTCGACAATTTCATAGACACGTGCAAATAGGTTCTTTCGTTCGCTGTTGGTGCAGTGTCCACAGTGTTAATTACACTAGTTTACTTCCTCCTTATTCCTTATACACATGTCGAGTGTAAATCACTCCTGCTAAATTGCTGGATACCTATTCTCTAACTCATGGGAGCACCCCCACACTCCCATGCTCCCATACTCCCATGCCAATGTTACCAAGTCGACAGAATAACTTTGATCTACGATTTAAGGATCCATCTACCGTTGTGTTAAACGAAGTTTAAAATGACATTTTTACATTAACAATGTCATTTTAATCTCCGTTTAACTCAACGGTGGAATCGGCCCTTAGTAGTTCAAATTTGCTTTGTGATAAATACGGACCTAATCTGACAAGCCCGCAATTCTCCCTCCCATAGTATAAAATCTGACCTTACTACGCATGTACCTGGGCTAAAAGTGAGTAAGCACAATATACCCACCTAAGAGTAAGAGAGCAAAATATATGGGAGCACTCCCATGGGAGCGCTCCCATGACTTAGTGCATAGCTATCCAGGATACCTATTCTCTAACTCATGGGAACACTCCCACACTCCCATACTCCCATGCCAACGTTGCCAAGTCGACATAATAACTTTGATCTACTATTTAACGACCGATCCACCGTTGTGTTAAACGAAGTTTAAAATGACATTTTTACATTAACAATGTCATTTTAATCTCCGTTTAACTCAACGGTGGAATCGGCCCTTAGTAGTTCAAATTTGCATTGTGATAAATACGGACCTAATCTGGCAAGCCCGCAATTCTCCCTCCCATAGTATAAAATCTGACATTACTACGCATGTACCTGGGCTAAAAATGAGTAAGCACGATATACCCACCTAAGAGTAAGAGAGCAAAATATATGGGAGCACTCCCATGGGAGCGCTCCCATGACTTAGTGAATAGCTATCCTGGTGGAGAAAATATCCACCAGTGGACACCACATCGCTGACAGGACAGTATAGTGGGTTTTACACCAGGCCAAACGAAAGGTTTAGTGTAAGTTGGTGTAATTCATTCCTAAACCAGTGGGACGAATGAAAGAACCTCTTATTTACCTAGTTTACTTCCGCCTTGTTCCTAAAACACATGTCGAGTGTAATCACATACTTTGATTACTATACGGGGCAAGAGAGAGGTCCAACATGCCCAATATAGGGCGCGGCCATTTTGAACCCTATGACACAGTTTATAGCTAAAGAATCAGATCGCTCACTCTGCGTCGGCACTCTTGATGTCAATGTTCCAGTTTATACACTGCGCAACTCCTATAATACAATATATGACAAGCGCCTGTAATAAAACAGCAGTCTTCTGCGTATCCTGCATTTGTATCCCTAGAGTGGATGATGTTATTTTGGAACTTTCAACTGGTCCGAGTGAGCTAACTGATTCTTTAGCAATAAACTGTGACTCCAAAAATAATATTCACTGACCTGACAGCAGCAAGCAAAATATCAGGTGCGTTTTAATCATCTGCTTCTGCTTCCGGAATTGTCGGTTTAGTCGTTTTAACCTGTCAGACTAAAACAAGAAAACCGACAATTCTGAATCAGAAGCGGATGATTGAAACGCACCTATTAACATATTGCGCCAAGATGTAGGCAACACGTAATAAGGGATCAAAATGGCGGAGTTTTCTATCTCCTTTTAAAAGGCACTCAGACAGCTGCGCAGTGCGACCATTCTCCGTATAGTAAAAGAAAATCAAAGTATGTGAGTGTAATTCACTCTTGTTAAACAGCTGATGGAGAAAATATCCACCAGTGGACACCACATCGCCGATAAAAAGGATTTTACACTGGGCGTGCACTAGGCCAAACGAAAAGTATGGTGCCCGTTGGTCGTTGGTGTAGTTCATTACTACACCAGTGGGACTAACGAAAGATTCTAATTAGGTGCAAAATATGAGTGATTTTTTTTTTCCTGAATAAATACAAAAGGCTACATGTTTTAACTCGATAAAAAGAGGAAAAAACGATACTTTTGAGGCGCCAGTTATATCACCACGACACGCACTTTATCTTAGGCAACCAGTAAAGCAGATTGATGATTTGATTTTGTTGTTGATTGAAAAACACAAATTTCGCTACTTAAAAAATGTACCTTAATGCTCTGCTTATAGGTATTAAAATGTATATGTGTATGGATTTTCTGTTTGGCACTAAAAAATATCCTAATAGTCAGAAATCTGCTTTACTGGTTGCCTACATGCCGGGCGTGCTATGGGGTGACATTTAACATTTGGTTGCGCATCTTCGCGCCAAATTATAAAATAAAATTTAACCTTGTTTATTTTATTATAATAACAATTTTTTGTATGGTCCAGGTTATTTTTAATATTAGTAAGTAATTTGTTATTATTTTATTTATGAATCGTTTAATAATTTGAATATATTTGCAGATTAGAATGGACATTTCGTCTGTATTGTCAGCAGAAATATCTGCTACTTGCAATTCGCTAGGATATTTCGATGAGAAAACAAACAAGTATTATTCAGATTCCAACACTCTAGAAACTGTTAAAGATCTCATCCGTTATCTAAGACGTGACGATGAGCAACACACCATTAGAAGACAACTTGGTGCAACCAAAATCCTACAAACCGACCTTTTACCATTATTAAAGAACTACCATCAAGAAGGTGATTTATTCGACGTGCTTCTAAGATTGATAATGAATTTAACGACACCCCCTTTGTTGCTTTTTAACTTCGAGGTCCCTACAGATAGTTTGCTTCGAAATTTGTACCTCGAAATGGAGGATCACTTGAAAGATTACAAAGAAGCGTTTGCGGATGATGGTATATGGGCTGTTTTTAGTACACAGCTGAGTAAAATATTGGAAATTGATTATGCTGAACGAGGAGAAGAAAATGGTGTTAAAATTGAACGAATTTTAATTTTGGTTCGAAATGTTCTTTTTGTTCCTGCTGATGTGTTTGAGAAAAGGCCGGACAACGATGCTAGCATACATGATCAGGTAATATATAAACTCTTTAATGGCAGCAATATTCTTATCTTATTTACAATTTAGAAAAAATAATATAATAAACATAATATATAGGATGATAATATGTACATTTCGCTGTATTGTACAGCATTTTGAACATATGTTCAACAAAACCTCGTTATTGTCCATTAAACATTTAAAAAATATAAATTTTCATAATTTAATAATTTCCTATTAATTATATTCTTATCGAAATAAAAAAAATGTTCATGGATAACTAATTATGTACCTACATCTCTACATTCAGGATTCAGGACTAATGGCTAATCAGCTGACTGTTGTCATTTGCATGTTTTATTTTTTGGTTACTCAGTTCAGTGGCTTTTTGCCTTAGATAAAAAGAAAATTGGCTTTTTTTGTTGTGTTTAAATAAATAAAGAGTTATGTGGTTCTGCTTTCCAGTCGTTGCAATAATTTGTAAGCTAATTTTATTTAAAATTGAATTTACAATATACCAAAATATAATTAAACATGAACTTTAACAATTGAAAAACTGTGCAGATCTCTAACATTACAAAATACAAATTTTAATCGCAATCAACTACTTAAAATAACAAATTTATGCCACTCTTTAAATCACTAATAACATTAGCTTTCAAATGAAGTATTAAGCTTTACAATATGTAACATAAAATGAATATTACACAATTAATAGTCATATTCTTGAATTTTTCATCAAATTTCCTTTCAAATGATGTTGCCCATCCCATTTAGGATTCATAGGATAAAATGTAGGGGGTTGAACCATAAGAGCTATTTGAAAGTGTCCCCTTGAAAATAAAATTGACATGTGTTTCCAATTTTTCATTTTATTTACTGGAAGAATTAAGATAATAGGGGGTGGACATTTTTAAATTGATACCCTGTATACTTTGAATTGGACTGAACTTGGAATAACTTTGTGACAATTAACCCAACAATTAATCAAGTTCCACCTCGATTGTCAGTGGTTGAACTGAAAACTTAAGTATTCAATAGTTCTGTTGTTTTTATCTTGCAAGTTTCGAATTTTGAAGATAACTCAAGAACGGATAAAGAGAAAAACACCAAATTTTAAACTTAAGTTTTAATGCCTCTGGCGGTGATTATATTTTGGGCATAGTCAAAACATCTAAGGGTTACTTTATAGGGGGTAGTTTTTCTACTTTATAGAATATATCTGTTATTTACGCTTAAAGAAGAAACTTCTTCAAGTAGAAGTTGCTTGTGATGTCATTTCCTATAATTTTTATCCCATACACAATTTTCCTAAAATGGTCCGTAATCGAGAAATTTGACAAAATTTGCAAAATTCTGATTTTTAAGATAATTGTTAAACTAAAAGTTGTTTGTGATATAATTCTCTATAAGTCTTGTCCCATATATGATTTCTCTAAAATGGACCGTAACCGAGATATTAAGGAAAAGTGCAAATTTCGAATTTTAAAGATAACTCAAAAACGGATAAAGAGAAAAACCCAAAATTTTAAACTTAAGTTTTAATGCCTCTGGCGGTGATTATATTTTGGGCATAGTCAAAACATCTAAGGGTTACTTTATAGGGGGTAGTTTTTCTACTTTATAGAATATATCTGTTATTTACGCTTAAAGAAGAAACTTCTTCAAGTAGAAGTTGCTTGTGATGTCATTTCCTATAATTTTTATCCCATACACAATTTTCCTAAAATGGTCCGTAATCGAGAAATTTGACAAAATTTGCAAAATTCTGATTTTTAAGAGAATTGTTAAACTAAAAGTTGTTTGTGATATAATTCTCTATAAGTCTTGTCCCATATATGATTTCTCTAAAATGGACCGTAACTGAGATATTAAGGAAAAGTGCAAATTTCGAATTTTAAAGATAACTCAAAAACTAATAAAGAGAAAAACCCAAAATTTTAAACTTAAGTTTTAATCCATCCTACGGTGAGTTGATTAAATTCTGAGCATATTCGAAAAATCTTGAGAGTATTTTATAAGTGGCCTTTTTTTATAGATGGAATGAATATATGTTATTTAAGCTTGGAGAAAACATTTTTTTAAATAAAAGTTATTTGTATTGTCATTCTCTATAATTTTTGTCTTATACGTGATTTTCCTAAAATGGACCGTATTCGAAATATTTGAGGAAAAATGCAAATTTTAATTTTTCAGTATTTTCGTTGGCAATAAATATATACAGAAAAATGTTTCGAGTAAGTTGGGTGTGGAAAATGTATCTAATTAATTCATCCTCTAAACTTTTACAGGGGTCAATACAATAGGTTGTATAAAAAAAAACGGAAAAAGACTGTAATAATTAGATAGGAAAGTCATGTGTTGGGCCCATCAGATTTTTATTAATATAATTACAAAATAAGCAAATGCATTTTTATATTTATATACCACTAGAATTTGTACATTTATACCTTCTTATTTTTTGAGATAATAATTATAACCATTAAAAAAAAGACCCCTTACCTTTTTTATTTTTTTTTGTTTCATTACCTTCACATTTGCTTCTTTTTTACTTGTTTTTATAACAAAATCAATCTTCTTTTTCATCCCTGGTTTTATCCCTTTAGGCACGCAGTTTCCAAAAATTCTTCCAAATTTCACTCTACTATATTGCCCTTTTAAGCATAAAATTCGTATCTGAATTTTTGGCTATATTAAAGATAAACGTAAATGAATTGTCACATCTACAAACTCGGCTGTAATTTTAATAGAATTGCCGTATATAAAATATTTAACATTATTTTCACATACGATTTTTATGCTTAGAAGGTTAGGCGCGTTTTCTTAGCAGTAGATTTTTTTATAGTTATATATTTTATCTCTCATTTTCCACAAGAAATTGATGTCTTCATAAAGATTCATTGTAATGTCCAAGGTCTAAGCTACATTTCACAGTTTTCCCTTCACTAAACACCTCTTGTGTTTTTATTTCCAACCTGTTTTCTAACGCAATCATCCCTTAATCGCAGGTATTATGGGCTCTACACCATTCCGGCCTATTAGACATCATCTTGTACATAACCACGAATCCTTCGGAACAATCCTATTACATGTACATCCTGGAAATAATGTTTTTCATGTTACGTGAACAACAGCCGCACGAATTGGCAAACGCGGCTTTAGAACGCAGCCAAAGCGAGAAAATTAGAGACGAAGCCGAGCTGCTGAACATACGAAATTTGGAACACAACAAAAAACAGAGCAAGATGAAGATGTACGCTGGCACAAGGCATTCGAGGTTCGGTGGTACGTTTATCGTGCAATCGATGAAGAGTATCGGTGAGCATGAATTAGTTTACCACAAACCTTTGAATAAGGTGGAATCTCTAAGCTTCGATAACGGGAAGAGTAAAAAGAAGACTCCGAAGAATCGAATGCCTTTAGTAAGCAATGAAGTTAATAGGCGATCAGCTTTTACAATCAGACTCTTTCTGAAAGAATTCTGCATAGAATTCCTGAACGGAGCTTACAACACAATGATGCTATACGTCAAAGGCACTTTAGTACGCACAGGCGATGATGTTCACGACGAATCTTACTATTTTTGGGCTATAACTTTCTTCATGGCTTTCAATCGCAGCTACAAATTCGAAATTAAATTAGTCAGCGAGACTTTATCCGTACAAACATTCCACTACGTTCAGCAACAAAGCGAAAATTATTTCGACAGAATCAGAACTGACAGAAAGAAACTTATCGTTTGGTCTAGAAGACTCCGCACTGCGCTATTAAGCTACAAGGAATTATTTCTAACTCTTTTAACGATGGACAAATCTTCCGATTCAAGCATAAAAGAGTCATCAAAAGTGATTAAGAGTAACTTATTTTATGTCCCTGAATATAGAGAATTTATACTCACTCTGTTAATTCAATACGACGAGCTAAAGATGAGCAACGCTTATTTGCGAGATCTCATCGAAACGCAGCATTTATTTATGAAAATGTTCGAAGTTTACTGCACCGAAGAAGGGTCAATAGTAATACAGAAAAAAACTAAATCGCACGGTAAAAAAAAGAAAAAAAACCAACCAATCAATGAAGAAGCGAAGCTAAACAATTTGAACAACCTCTGGGACAAAGCAGCTCCTCAACTTTCAGCCGTATTAGAATCCGATAGAAACTTTTTAACCGAAGAAGTTCCGTTCGATGCCGCTTCAGATACGCCCATCGACGAACAGCAGAGTCAAGCGATGAAGAAGATCAAATTAAAATTGATGCAATCCGAATTTGAAACTGCCATCAGCCTCATGCGGGCTTCCAGAGAAGTCTGGCCCGAGAATAACTATTTCGGAAGCGAAAATATGGCTACGGAAGAAGAATTTTTAGCTATAAGAGAAATATTTTTCGCCGATTTAGGTGAAGAAATACCAAATACTAATAATACTGTTACTGAAGATGAAGACGAAGACGATAGCGATGGGGACAATGAACCGCAAGTAAGAACGCGCGAAGTTAACTTAAGTTTTAAAGAACTCGTCGGTAGATTGGCCCATCCAAAAGTAATCAGAGCTTGTGGTATAGCTTTAAGATCTTTCGACACAAACTCTATTAACACAAATCACGCTATTATCAAATTACTGCATCGCATAGCCTTCGATTGTAAGATGTACGTAATGATTTTTCAAGTCAGCATATTTAGAACGTTTCAAAGAATATTCGAATTAAAAGATTTACCGCAACATAGAGAGCTTGTTAAGTTTTGTATATACATCGTCAGACAGTTTGTGAAAGTTATTGGACAGAACGATAAGATATTCATCGAGTGTTTATTTTGGAAGACCAAAAAGGAAGCCTATGAAATTGAACACGGTTACGGTGCTAGCGAACCTAAAGCGGTTGGTGCCGCTTGGAAGGAAGAAGAAGAAGTGGAGATCCGCGAATTATTCCAAGAACATAAAGAACAAAATATCCAAGAAGACGTAGTAGATTGGATGATCAAGAATATGGTCAACAGTATGCGTTCTAGGCGAGTGGTTTTGAAGAAACTTAGAGAAATGGATCTAGTTGAAGATTATAAACGTCAATATAAAAAAACTAGATCTACAGCATGGAGTACGGAAAACGAAGAACAACTGGCTGACTTATACGAAACGCATAAAAATTCTACAGATCCAGTTGGTTCAATTATGAACGAATTATTCCCGAAGAGATCGAAGAATAAGGTGATCGAAAAGCTACTCTCGCTAGGATTGATCCGGGATAAAAAGGAAGTACGTAAAAAACGTTCGAAGAAAAGTAATCAAATGGAAGAAAAATCTGATTTTATTGATACAGATTCCGATTCAGACGCTCCTCCAATACCAAACAAGCAAATTAAGAAAAGGACGTTTACTGTTAGTACAAATACAAACGAAACTATCAAATTAATCAAACAGCTTATCAACTCTGGAAAACAAAATGGTATAGAATGGTTAAAAGAAAGCATATCTGACGTAATCGAAGATTTCGAAGAGGATAATGAAAGTGTTCCATTGGTACCGTTATCTGAAGACATAGAAAACTGTATGGATGATCAGGAATTTCAGAAATTGCTTAGAGATCTCGGTATTTCGGAACCTTTCGATGAACAGGAAAGTTATTGGAGGATACCAGAAGGAATCGGATTGGAAACATTGAAAAATCATCACGAATTATTAACCAATGCTTTAAACAACGATAATGGTTGCATTGAAAATGGTATAGAAACAGAAAATAATAGAGATGATCATGACGACGATGTAATAAGACGCGAAGAAATACAAAACAATAAAGAAGATGATGATGATGACGACGATGGATTGATAATTGATGAAACCGTAGAAAATGATGACCAAATTAGCGATAGGGTTGAACTAGCTGAAAGTAACTCAAATGGCGAAATTTATTTGAATACTACTACAAAGAGAAATAGAATCCCATCAGAATCGCCCCCACATAAGCGAATAAGAATAGAAGATAAAATCGAAGATGAAACCGACGAGTTATAAGGTATGTAATTTATATTTAAATTTATTTTTGAAAATTTATAATCATTTGTGAGGACGTGTTGAACCGTGACCATCGTGATATAGAGGCCTGAACTATTTGACAGATACAGCAGTGTGACGTCACACAAGTAGATCATCTATGTTTTGATTTATTCCTATGTTTATCTTTTAAATTCGCAGTTTTCTGTTTTATAAAATCAGATAAAAAATGCCTTTGTATGATTTAAGTCTTGCACAGTGTTTGTGAAACGATTTAAGTGGTTTTCAGCTCTTTTTTTTTGTGTAAATTTACAATAAAAACAAATCGTTATCTACTATAAACATAACTCTTAATTTACCGTTTCTTTGTGATAAAATTTTGTTTTAAAATTCTGTTTTGTACTTCACATATTCAAAAAATTCAGAAAATTGAAATATTTTTTTGCAAACTTGTCAGACCTGAAAAAACTTCATGCATCTGAAAGTAATTTAATGGTAAAATTAGCTCCAGTAATTTAAAAAATATATTTATCCAATCCAACTTAGACAAAATGTTCTTCTAGCTATAAAGCATTACGAAAAATGACATTTTACGTCCTGAACGACGTATCCACTAGATACAATTTTAGGAGGTAACTAGTAAAATATATTTTCAAAATAGTTACATAATATCGCGTCTTGAATTAAAACTTAAGGTAATTCTTTTTTCTAAATATTCAAATTTTATTTTGAAACGGTTTGGGCCAGAACGGTTCTGTACAGTGAGTACTAGGATTTTCGTAGTCTTAATAGGTCTTTTCGTTTGCATCGACAGTGTAGCACTGAGCTACGTTACTTCTGAAAATGTCGTTCCATCCATACAATTTGTATAAATGGAACGATATTTTCAGAAGTGGTGTAGCTCAGTGCTACACTTTCGATGCAAAGGAAAAAACCTATTTACATATGGGTGAGCAATCTACATGACTATATACATCATTGGACGTGACACTTCGTCTAAAAGTTGTTGCAGATGGGAGTACCGAACTGAAGCGGAGAGATACGATCTTAAAAAACGTTACCAAATGGTAATATCGTAATTCAATATTTTGAATTATCAAACTACTACGTTTTAATATGATTTTTTTTTTATGTAATAGTAACAAGAACCTAAATTACATCCGAAAATTTTTAATCTAGCTTATTCTTATCGGTTTATTATTATTGTACTTTGGCAATCTTGTAATTATTTTGCTCTTCGGAACTCGCATCGAGACAATATGTAGAGAGCGATTTGTAGACATCATGTGATATGTTTTGGTTTCTCTAGGTTAGAATTGTTAGAAAATAGAATTACAAGCAAATTTGTAATTTTTCATGTTAACTATTAAGTATATAATATCAAAACAAGCATTTACCATTAAATAGTAACCATGGATAGTCAACCTACACCTTATAATGTTTTTAAAACAATATTAGCATACAGTGTTTTCATACTAGCATCGCCGATAACAATTTTTTTCGTTTCGAAAATTCTTTTCGAGGGTAATTTTACATTCTATCGCTCTTATTAAATTGTATGCATTTATTTTGTTTTATATTTCATCAAATTTTATTTTCAGGAATCTTGAACATAACTCCCATGACTTCAAATATTTCGTCAGCAGTTTTAGCAGTAGTGACTCTTCATATAGCCCTAGGAATGTACATTTATAAAGCGTACTCGGAAGCTGATAAAGTTAAAGAACAATAGGTTATTTGTGTATATAGTTTTTGTGGTATAAATTATTGTTTAATATCTGAGCCACTGAGAACCTCAGTTGTTTCATTTAGATGTGCCTCAAGTTCTTTTTTATATCTTACTAAAAGTAGATAAGGTAATGTTTAAGTAAATATGTGGTTTTTTGTATATTAACTGACAATAATCATTTAAACTGTACAATTATGCCCTTATTTATGGGTCCAAGTGATTGCTATCAAGAACAGTTATAATTTGGATGGACTCATCACTAAAAGTTATAAAGAATCGATTAATTTTCAACTTTTTATTAAAATTATAAACAGAATTTGTTTCAACATGTTAAGTGTACTCATATTGAACCTTTTAAACTATTATAAGTTATAGGAATAAACTGTATATTTATTAAATTTGCAGGTTTTCATTTTAATTTCTATAGCCTATGTTTTTTTATTGAATTTTAAAGGATGTTTGTATTCAAAGCAAAAATTTGAGTTGTACATTACCACATGTATTATATTTGACTGTTAATAAAATAATTTATAGTAAAACGTTTTATTTTTCAATGATATCAAATATATTTAAATGACACTGGCACACAAAAAAAAAGTTGTTTGTACATCAGACATGACCTACCTACCGGCATGTATTTTGACCTGCTGAATCCGAATTTCAAGTCTACTATTATTCATTAGCTTACTATCTTATAAGTCTAATTTAAATTTAACCCATTAGCGCCGGAATTATTTTTTTTTTAATTAGAGGTTTTTTCTGTCAAAAAAGGTATGTAGGGGGCATTTTAAGACTTCTAACTAAAACTTTTTTTTTTTAATTTACTGTTATAGAGATTTTTGATGTGCCCATACAGCCACGCTAGGCGCTTACGTATTCACTTTTGTCAAAAAATAAAAGAGGCTTGAAATAAACTAAATATTAAATTAGAAAGGTTTAATAACGAATAAAACACAAATTTATTGAACAAAATACAAAATTATTAACGTGTATGAAATAATGTGAAACATTGTACACAAAGGCCTACATTACACTTGGAACACATTGTTTTTGGAGTTGATTTGCAAGGCTTGTATCCACATCTTCTTGACTGACTGAACCAAATGGCCCATCCAATCAAAACGTACTACATCTGACACTCTGCTGTCAGTTGTGGAAACAGGTGCAGAATATGGTTTTTCTGCTCCTTCTGGTGGACTTGGTATTTTTTAAATAAACACCGGCAACTTCCCTTCTAAACTGTAGTTGTGAAATGTTCGTTGAATGAGATTTATTGTACAAGATCCAGCTGTTTTGAATGGCTACGTCGAACAACCAAGTCAGTATAGACCAGTACCATTTTTTTCCTCTGACTCCAATCCGATAACAATTTATATTTTGGTCCATTTGGTTTGTACCCCCATATATTTATTATATTCGGCTATAAGTTTGGGTCTAGGAACCATAATGATTCGCTTTTGTTGCTGCGAATATCTTTTAGCTTGACTTATTTCTAGAGTTCCACAAGATGAAGAGATCGTGGTAACTACAACATTATCCATCCACCGGACGAATAAAAGTCCACTATTTTTTTCTAGAGCTGCTTCTAAATACCCACGATCTTTTCTTTTTTTTGATGTTATGGGACAATCTTTTGGTAGTTGATTATCACGAAACGTGCCTATAGCGGAATATCCACAAAATGTTAAAAAGGAAAATAAAGCAGATTATCCATGTAAAGCTTATATTTCAAATTTAATTTTGCCTCTGGAATTTCATCCAGTAAAACAATAAGTGGGCTAGCTGCTTTGCCAAACATTTTTTCATATGTTGTATTTGACTTAGGACCCTTGCCTTGATAAAGCTCGAAGTTTACCAAGTACCCATCACTGGTATTGAGACACCACATTTTAAATCCGAAACGGATCGGTTTGCCCCGGATTTGTTTGCACCCGTGCCTCCCATAATATCTTATCATGCTCTCATCATAAGATAAGTGTTGTGGTATAAAATTTTCAGCACGTTTTTTCATCATTTCCATTATTGGGCGTACTTTCCAAGCTTTATCATTGTTGTCTATTCTTGTATTGTCTATGCAGTGAAGAAATCGACAAATCTGAAGAAACCTGTCTCTTCTCATAGACTGACATATATACCTCATATCTCCATCCCAGGAGTGCCGCTTAGATGGCACAATATTATATCCACTTATGAATAATATGCCAAGAAAACATCGTATCTCATCTCAAGTTATTTTTGGATCCAGGCAGTTCAAGAACAACGCGTATCAGCGACTTTCTTCGACGAAATGATCAATAATTACGTCGTCTACGAATTTTTCAAAAATATCCACTATGGACATGTTTGCATAATGGGTTAGGAAATGAAGTAGATCTTTCATTATCAAAGTCAGCTGCTTTTTCCCATCTCACTTTTGGTTTATCATTTATTTCTTTTTCAGCCGTCCATTCCTGGGCCTTTTTTAATAACGTAGAAACCAGTTCAGGATGTAAGTTTATAATTGTAGGATCATTTTCTTCATAATCAGTACCCAGTCTGTCATTGTTGGCTAGTCTTATTTCTGCGTTAGCCAGTAACTGACGGGTTGTCAGGTTATCCACTAGCCTATAAAATATAAAAAGTTCAAATATTCCGAATTCGTGAAATCATTATCTCTTACCCGCCCACGTCTTCATCCGCTGAGTTCTCATCTGTTTCAACATTTACATCTGGTGGTTCTACAAATATGTCTCCTTCAATATCATCATTATAAATCATGTCCAAAGCCTCTGATAAAGAAAACCTTTTTCTGAAAAAGCAAAACTCAATCAAAGTCAAATTTAATGAGTCCGAACGCCTAGCGTGGCAATATGGCTACACAAAGAATGAACTAAGAACTGTGTAAATCGTAATCAACTCAATATTTTGAAATGTACATAAATATATTGCTCAGACATGTAATATAGAAAAAGTACTTACTCTAATACAAAGTCCATAATTTTACGTGAATTTACAAGTATTAAAAATTTAAAAAAACCGACTTCAAAAACGTGCAGATGCCATCACCATATCTTAACCAAATTTATATGGGACCACCCCTGAGGTACCCCCTTACTAACAACAAAAGGATCATAAATCGGACAAGGTGGTAAAGCATTATCGTTAAACATACATAAAAAATGAATAGTTTAAGAATTTTCTCATGGACCCAATTATTAGATTTTGACCAAATTTATATAGGACCCACCCCTGAAGTACCCCCTTTCTAACAAAAAAGAATCATTGAAATCGGACACCGTCTTAAAGAATTATTGCTGAATATACATAAAAAAAATATTGCAACGAATTGAGAACCTCCTCCATTTTTGAAAATCAACAATGTTTACTTGTCAACAATAACACTTAAACTGACTACTAAACAAAGAAACATGTTCAGACTTGTTACTAAGGGTTCCTCCTAGAACCTGACCGAAGTTCCGCCCCCTAACTTTTAATTTGCTAATATTTTAGTGACGTTGAAAGTAAAGGATTTGCTGTGTCCACATAACCACGAACGGCGCTAATGGGTTAATTTTGGGATTGATGCAATTTAATATCATTGACATAAATATTTGGTAAATTAAAAAAACAAAAGTTAATAAATTAAAATTTATTATACAATAAAAATACTAAAAACATAGCCCTTATCTCCATAAATAATAGAATCTATAATTAATATTACTGATGATCTAAAAATAATGAGTTGTTTTGAATCGATAATAGCTCAGAATCTTCATTAGATTGACATAAATCTGAAAATAAAAATTAAACGAGTTAATCCTTTAGTTTTTCTGTTAAAAATAAAAAGTAATTTATCCATTTCAAAAGAGACGCCTACCTATAGTTGAGGAATCCGGCCTGGTTTGATCAGGAGAGCAAACTAAAATCGAGTCAGTTGTCTGAAAAATAAATAAAAATAGATGTTACAACTAAGAATAAATTCCTCCTAAAATATAACCAATTGTAAAAAATAATCAATATTAGAGACGTCAGAATCTTCAAAATCCAAGAAGTCTTGATTCAATTTTAGAATCTTATAAACTGTATAGATTAGATTGAAATAAAGATTGAACAAATATAGCCAGCCCCATATTTTAATAAATTTTAATCCTTATGCACAGAGAACATAATTTCCATAAAAACTATGGTATTGCTTATTTTCAGGGGCCATTACATGTCATACTTGTAAAAAATTTCAAAAAGTATCGAATTTAAAAAATCGATAGTAAAAATAATCGATTAGATGAGTTTAAATTAGGAAACATGTAAGCGTTGTATGAAGAAATATAGTAGGGTAACCTTATGGACTTATCATTGGAGGACGATGGACATAGAATGTAGATGGCGATACTGTACTTATGTCCAAGTCAGGTCTTTAGGTCATGTCTGTGCTTGAGTATGAATTATAATTTAAAATCTTCTTTTTCATTTCTACTTGTCTTCGGTAATGTATTTTTATAGTTACAATTTACTATTTCAAATTAATACAAAAGCACAGAATACAGGGTATTTGAAGGTCACATAAAATGCGAAAATAATCGATATAATAAAATAAACCAGTTTTTGTTTGAAACAGATTGAATTAGTTACGACACCCTGCCACCCGAAATTACCGAACTAATAAACAACAAAAACAGACTTCGAAAAAGGTGGCAGACACACCGGTCAAACGATGACAGGGTTATGATGCAAAATCTTGCACAAAACATAAATCAAATGATTATAGAACATCGAAATAATAAATGGCAAAATACCCTGTCTGAGTTGAAACCGGAAGACAACTCCCTGTGGAGAGTGGTGAAAAGGTTTAAAACGCCCTATTCGCAGCTCCCCACATTGAGACGAGGACAAGACGTACTAGAGACCGACAAAGACAAAGGTCAAGCCCTAGGTGAATTTTTTCAAGCGCAATTTGTTAACAACCAACTTAATAATCAACAACAACAACATATTGAAAACATTGTCACCGCTTTCGAACAGCTAGAGCCACTTTTAGTGCCCCATTCTTGTCTAACCACTCCTAGAGAGGTTGGTGAGGTAATTAAGTATCTCAAAAACAGAAAAGCTCCGGGACCGGATGAAATTAACAACATACTGCTTAAAAACCTTAGCAGGAAAGGTATCGTGCAGATCTACCACATAATAAATGCCATTTTCAGACTACAACACTACCCTAGTAGTCTGAAGATGGCAAATATTATTCCCATTCTCAAAGCGGGAAAACCGAGGAATAATATTGATAGTTACCGCCCCATTTCATTACTAAACACACTTGCCAAAATAATAGACACAATTTTACTTCGCAGACTTAAGACAATCGAACAACGAATACAAATTATCCCGAGGGAACAGTACGGTTTCAGAGAGGGGCACAGCACTGTGGCCCAAGTCCTGAGAATTGTCCATCATGCCAAACAGGCATACAATCAGGACTTGCAAACAGTGCTGGTGGCGCTTGATTCGGAAAAAGCCTTTGACACCGTCTGGACCCGAGGGTTAATCTACAAAATGCTTATGAATGACTTTCCTGGGCACATTGTTAAAACAATTTTGTCATATCTTACGGACAGAAAATTCAACATAAAAGTAAATTCAACAATAACAGGACCTTTCCTAGCAATGGCGGGAGTACCTCAGGGCTCAGTACTATCGCCGCATTTGTACACTATCATGACTCATGATTTACCAATGGGTCGTAATGGGGTACAAACGGCGCAGTACGCCGACGACATCTGTATTTTTACCAGCGACAGATCTGCACAAACAGCGAGCAGCAGGCTGGACGATCATATTAATGGGACATTAATGAATTATCTAGCAGAGAACAAAATGAAAATAAACTCAAGTAAAACGGAATCTATAGTACTAACAAAAAGGCGTATCCAGGGCATAGACACGCCCCTTCAAATACAGAATCAAACAATTGAGACTAAAACTCCACTAAAATATCTCGGTTTTCTGCTAGACAAAACATTATTGTTCAGGGCCCACATAAAAGACAGGGTAGCGAAAAATTCCGGTATTCTGAGGTCTCTGTACCCCTTAATGAATAGACGGAGCAAGCTAACCCTGCCGAACAAAATTCTACTCTTTAAAACTATATTTAGGCCTATACTGACATATGGTTGTCCAGTATACTGTTCAATGCCAAATTCATATTTTCTCCCACTACAAAGGGCACAAAACAGATGTCTCAGGCTAGCACTGGGTTACGACCGCTATGCTAGAATACGAGACATACACGAGACGACAAATATGCCTATGATTAAAGATTTCATTATACAAACTGCTGAAAACTTCTACGCGCGATGCCTCCCTGAGGAACTGAGGGAGAGTATCACTCAAATTCACCAGGGAGACGGCGTGCGTAGAAAACACGGCTGTGTTCACAAAAATCTAAGCATATATAGACGACAATAACAGGACCCACGACAATCTCTACAATACTAAACAATAATTCACACGGACTGGATATTTACGAAATATAGTCCGACGGAGAACTGAGCGATAAATCGACTGGTAGAATCTCGGCCGAGTGCGAATTTTCGCAATCGACCGAGGCACTCCCGGGCAGTTTATAGCCCACCCTCCCAGTGAATTATGACAACAAGACACAGACTAATACAGGACCACTTACCACAAACGACAACCCTGTTTTTTCTAGCTTTTTCAGGGGACAATACGAAATTAAAACACGACACACTTACAAACTACCTACAATTCCCGATCACAATCCCACATAATCCCTTAATAATACCCCAAGGGTAAGGAGTAAGGGCGGCTATATTTAGCATAATCATAATACATAAAGTATACGGCATGTAACAGGCGGAGGGATCGCCTTAGACCTTAAGGGTTTACTTTTAGGGTCGCACATCTGTACTGCGTACAGTGTGTTTTTATTTATATGTTGATTTATTGTGTTGTAAAAATTTTTAAACATTGAATAAAGAATTTAAAAGTAAGTTGAATTAGTTGAGATTGGGTGGAATTTTACTATAATAGGGAACATTTTTTTCTATATTGTGGTTGGATTTTGGATATATCGCAGATGGTTAATTAAACTTGAGTTGTACGCTGTTAATTTATATTCACTTTTATTTAATGGTATCATCAAATTAAGAATAGGACATGAACAACTGAATATTATTGTTCAAAATGAGACGAATAGACGAAAATAAAAAATGTTTGGATAAAATGTTCTGAAATACAGGATGTTAAGTTGAAAATTAAAAAAGTAATAATGGGTAAATATATAGGTAGTTATAATTTTATTCAATATAATTTTACTAAAATCGGCACTGACAAAATTTAACTAAAACAGATTTTTTTGCTGTTAGGTAAACTTATAACATAATACCAAACACGTTTAGTGAAATTATACTAAGTAATAAAAACATGTAAGCCACTAATTTTCAGTTTTCAACTTTTGACACCATTTGAAAACTAATCGAGTACCAATTTATGGTAGGCACATTTAGGAGTATTATTTTCGAAAGGCAAAATTAAAAATGTTTCATTGTTTTTTTTTTGTACATGGAAATACTTTGCTGCATGTCCTACAATGATGAAGCTTTCAACGAAGGCGTCTTAAAAAATAAATTATAGAAAATGCGAATGTTACATATTTGATTAGATAATTAACATTGACATAAACTTTCATTGCTCAGGACGTTAAGTGCTCAACTTTGGGTTTCGTAAAGATCAGTTACTGACTACTACTATTTTTTTCTGAACTGTTATCAAAATACTACAAAATTTAGCAGAAAGATTGCATTAATTATATTTTTCATATTTTTTCCAAAATAAGAAAGAATGTTTTTATATGTAATTGAATCTGGGTTGGGAAATCCAAACTTGAATATTAACGACTTAACTCTTGAAGGCACTTATATCAAGTTAATTATCTAATCAAATATGTGACGTGGCTTTTTAAAATACCATCATTGTGCGCTCCACTGCGTGTCCATCTTCTACAAGAGAAAAAAGGAGGAAACATTTGTAAAGTTGCCTTGTACAAATGTGTACCAAAAGAGGGCAACTGGCTCTCGTAAGCCTTTTTCGTTTAATCGTCTCATTATTTTAACACTAAGCGCCAGCATGGGAAATATATGTAAAGTTAGTTTTAAGAACTTTTAACATTCAAATAAACAAAAACAATTTATAAATCTATTATTAAAATCCGTGTTGGAACAAAACATAAAATTGTTGAATTTGAAAGATAATTAATATTCTAAAAATGGAAAGGATTTCAGTCGAGAGCCTATTGGACTGAATATTCAGTTTAAAATCGCTTTTCCGGCCTATAAATCTTCAATTGTGTCAAAACGAATAAAATAAAGTAGTTCTGTCTAAAACTAAAATAAATTTGCTATCTCGAAGTCCCCATCGATTATTTCCAAACTTTTCTTTAACGTCTTAGTTGTAAGTTTTATATTACATTTTCTTTAATTTGCTATTTCTGTGGAATCATTAATTTTCACTTGCATTATTGTTCTTCTAAAAAAGCGAAATGTGACTCACGTTTTGCTTGATTGGCTTTAATTTTTGAGATAGTCAACCAGTCAAAATAAAAAAAAATTCAACAAATAAGACATTAATTTATTTATTTAATCAGTTTTGTCTGAGCTAACAGAAAGGCTGTATTCTATAAACAATGAAAAAGAGTGATTGTTGTTTTGAACTACTTAAAACATTTTCACTCGAACGGCGTGCGTGATTCAATTTAAAAATACTTTCCAGAATAAAACCACGTGTTACAGTTTTGACTTCATTTATTACTAAACAGCCAAGTCATATACAAAAACGTTAATCCAAAATCTAAATTAAAAGTAATAACAAATAGCCTATCTACTAGGGTCAGTAACCAAACATATAAATAGAATGGGCGGATTTTGTTCATACTTAACATTATACTCGCGCACTGACACTTAACCTGGATTAAATATAACTGTAAATACAAATATTTTACAAACAAATATACTTTTCCAAACAGTGATAAATTATATAAAAAAAATGTTTTTTTATAAGATTTTCTTTTATGTTCAAAGTTAGGACTTTATAATTATTGTGTCGTTCATAGAATTCTGTACTAAATAAGAGCACTGATTTTGGAAATAAATTTTAACCATTTTGGCAAGTTGCTGAACCTTGTAACATTGCATAATGAAATATAAAGACTAACTGAATATGTCTGCCACAGATAGACCACTTGTAGGTCTATTGATTTCGTCTTGAGCTATTCCTAAAGAGTGGAGCTATTGAAAACTTCCTTTCAAGGTGATTTATTTCAACACTCAGAGCCAGCCGAGAGAACATTTTTTTCTTATATTCATGATCAACAGCCAAGATACATTTAAAAGTCGCTAATATATCCCTGTGACTATTTTTTTTTTAATTTGTTTTCCAGTATTGACTGATTTTTCCCTGATTAGTGTGATTTTCTTGTTCCTTAACTCAATATCTTGCAAACTGTTGATAGCTTTGATGAAATTTTGTAGCAAAGCTTGTTCAAATTTTGAAAACTATAAAAATATTCAGCTATTTTTATGGTTATAAACTTTTCCAACACTTAGTCCAATTAGAGGTACTTAGATTACATGCAACATTTTCAGAAGCTTATTCCTTTTTTGTTTTCTACTTGGAACTTTTCAATTTATTTAAAACATTGGACATTGTTATAAGTTGTTATTAGGTATTCTTTGTTATTGTTTATATATTTTGACATAACCGCACATAACCAAAATATTGACCAAAGTCCTTAACCAATTTTTATCAACTTAATCCAAAAATTTTATTCGTACGGTTTTGTCAACTGGAATAAATTTTCATTATTATGTTTAATTTTTCATGTCTTTTATCATAGTGAACAGTTGGATATATTTAATTGCAGTGTTAAAAACATAAAAACACATTGTTTAAAATAATTTTGAATTTATTTACTGTAATTTTAGATTAATTATCTATATGCTTTTTGTTAAACTGTTTTCTTTCAAATGTACTCCTGTTCTGTAATTGGGTTTAACCTGTTGAACAATGTATAAATAAATAAATAAATAAATTGTTATTTTTAAATAAATAAAGATGTTTTTAACTATAATAGGTAGGTGATAGAGGCCATGTGCCTGAACGAAAAGAAGACGTAGATGGCGTATCTGCATAGCATTAAAAATTGACTACTTCATTAAATCGTCACTAGATGCCGCTCGAGATTGCATCCAACACTTTTTACTGTTGCATTATCCTACTATATTATCTTCATACAACGATGTAAGTAACTTGACTTATTTTTAAGATCTAAACATTACTTTGTCAGAACAAGAACTGAGTTAACGAATCGATTGTAAAAAGTAATGAATACAGTCTTTTTCTCATAAAAAAAAACATTCTTTTTTACTACCTCTAATGAATTTTAATTGTGACCTGAACTATAGTAAATAATTTGATGTGATAAAGATTAACTAGTGAATCATAAAAAAAAAACTTCAAAAGTTAGAAATTAAGACAAGACAAAAGTTTTTACCTGAGCCATATCAATTTGTTTTGATTCGACAGCTTCTAAAATACCGCCGACCGCTCCTTCTTCGGCAAAATCTTCACTCGCAGTCCCACTTTGATCAGCTTCTGCTAGGTCCCCATTTAAGGGAGTCTAAATAAATAAATAGGACAATCAGTAAGTGAAAAATGCACTTAATTAAAAATTAAATCTTATTAACTATTATAATTGTTTAATTAATTTTTTTTGCACTAACAATTGTTTTGCTACGGCTATTTCGAACATAGAAGTAGAAATATGCAGTTACATTTTTTACCTAGTTTGAGTTTGGGTATTTTTAATTCCCTTGTATAAATTATAATTTCGTGTCTTAAAATATTATTTAAGATATACTCACTCGTCTTGTTTCAGTAGGATGATCATTTGCTACTGCTGCGTTTACATTATCATCGCTAGTTACGGTATTAGCATCGACATCGTTATTATTACAATTAGTTCCATTGCCAGAATGAACCAGTGGATTTTGTACAAATACAAGATCGTATATTTTTTGAAGCAACTGTGATTTAACGTCTCCTAATCTAAAATTGATTAAATTGTTATATCTTTTATGCCGTACACTGCTCAAAATTCCAAATATTTATTATGTTTGGAAATGAACTTATGAACATCAAATTCCTCAAGGTAGTTCACATATTTAGCGTTAAAATTTATATTAATTATTTTGTTAAAATCCAAACAGACCTGTGGTCCTATTACAGGATATAGTTTAATATAGCACCAAACGTTTTACAATAACAATTAAATACTTAATTAAAACTTATATAAACATAGACAAACCTACTAAGAATTATAATTTTTTTATAATCTCTAAATCAGTACTCATTCTATAAAATTTTATTTTTTTAAATTTTATTCAACAAAAAAAATATAGTAGGTTTATCTAAACAAAATAATTAATATAATTTCTAAAGGTGTAAACCACTTTAAGCCCGAGATATTATTCTTTGAATCCAACATATTATTAAATAAAGAAGCATTTAAGAATTACGTAGATGAAAAAAAGACATGAAATGGGAACACTAGCTAGAAAGGACCATGAAAGAAGTTTGTAACACCAAAACTGCAAGGTCGATATATAACTCGAATTGAAAACATTTAACCACACATTCAAATATAACGTGAACCACATAAGACAGAAAAAAGTAGTACCGTCTTTCATTTCTCTATTAACATAATTTCTCTGACTCAATGATTGTAATTAAAATAATTTATACAACAAGAAGTAAACTGAACGAGACAATAACAAATTATTTTATATTTTTACTTAATAACTTCCAAAATACTTATTTGTCAAGATAAATAAAAATTTCAAAACAAATCTAACAAAACATCGAATCATAAGCATTTTTGTACAAATGTTTGTATATTCTATTTTTATATAGATTAGATTAGGAGTTGGATGTTATTTGTCCTTGTCCAGCTCGACCTTTTCAGATCTATTGTGGGACTCCGTTTGTTTCAGAGTATGTCGTCTAGCCTGGTCTTTTTTATTAGACAAAGGGTCGATTCCACCGTTGTGTTAAACGGAGATTAAAATGACATTGTTAATGTAAAAATGTCATTTTAAACTTCGTTTAACACAACGGTGGAATCGGTCCTTAGTAGCTTTGACAGTGGCTCCCGCATGTAGTTACATGTAATTGGCTTTTCTTCGCCCAATGTTAGAAATCTCATTCCAGCCAGGCCTTCACATTGGCACAGGACGTGAAATGATGTTTCCTCTTTTTCTTCACAGAAACTGCACAAAGTTGCTTCTTCTGCTGGATTTATGACACTCATGTGCCTTTTGAGGCGACAGTAAGAAGGCCTACTGTTATCCTAACGATTTGACGTTTTTGATCCAGTAGGTCTTTCGTGAACTTGGCCGATGGTTCCTTGATGAACTGTTTGGCCTGTCTCAGTCTTGGATAGTTGTTCCACCATTCCTGAGACTCTTATTGCATCCATTGTTTAATGGATGCCTTGCAGAATGCCTTAGCAACTCCACAGAAGGGTTCGGGGCCTGTCATGGCCTCATCTGAGCCTTTTCGGGCTAATTCATCGGCCTTTTCGTTGCCCTGATATCCCTCATGGCCTGGAACCCAGGCTAGGGTCACCTTATTTTGACTACTTAGCTCTGTCAGGTCTTCTAGACAGTCTTTCACCAGTCGTGATTTGATTTCTGGTGAGAGAATTGCCTTTAGAGCTATCAGAGTATATGGCAACAGTTTTATCTGATACTTGCTGATTTAATATTTCTCTTGCACAGTGTTGTATGGATATTAGCTCAACCTGGAACACTGTTGCATATTTTCCTAAACTCAGCGAAATCGTTGATTTCGACTTGGGTCCATAGATTCCAGCAGCACCGGCTCCTTCCTTGGTTTTTGAACCGTCTGTGTACCAGACGAGTTCAGCCTGTACGGGAGGTCCCTGTTTCCAGGATACTCGGGCTGGTATTTGAGTTTGAAAATTTCTTTCAAATTTGTATATGGTTATGGCTGTATCAGTAGGCATAGCTAGAATATTATCCCTTTTTACTTGCCGATATAGCTTTGTGTCGTCGGCGCTATGTAGTTAGCTTATTGGGTTTTGTTCCTGCATTAGCCTGTCAATAGCCGACCTGGTTTCTCCTTGTAGATGTGCAGTGGCGTGAGATTTAATAATACCTCCATACCTGCGGTCGTAGCACTTAGACAGGCAAGCCGCTGAATGCTAGTGAGTTGGCCTATTGCACTTTGCCTGCGCAGTTTTGGTTACCCACGCCACTGCGCCATAGGTTATCATGGGTCTTATTACCCTTGTATAACCAGTTTTTCTCACATATTCTTCTACAGCTTACGAGAGCTATTGTAACTTTGTGTGTGAGTTTTTTGAGATGTTAATTCCAAGTAAGCCTTTGGTCAAATATGACCCCGAGGTATTTGGCTTCTGTGACGAATGAGATAACTGTGTTGTTTAGTACTAGTGGTCTTAGACCTATAAGTACCCGTTTTTTTGTGAATGGTACAACTGTTGTTTTAGGAGCGTTAATGGACAATTGCTCTTTTTTGCACCAGTTGTTCACTATGTTTAGAGGTGTTTGAGATCGCTCCGAAACTGTATCTGCAAATCGCCCCCTGACGATAATTGCTAGGTCGTCTGCGTATCCTAAGCACTGGTAGCCTTCTTTAGACAATATTTTGAGTAAGTCGTCCACAAGAAGTGACCACAGCATTGGAGATAATATTCCTCCTTGTGGGCAGCCCCGTGTAACTTTTGCCTGTATGGTTGCCTTTCCTAGAGTGGATAAAATAATCCTGTTCTCTAGATAGGCAGTGATCCATTGGCATATTGTTACTGAGACGTTTCTCTCTTCTAGAGCCTTGGTTATTGACCTGGTTGAGGCATTGTTGAAAGCTCCTTCAAATCTAAGAAAGTGGCTATTGCGATTTCTTTGTCATCTATAGACTTTGAAAGCAGCCTATTTAGATCGTCCAGCGCTAGGTCAGTTGACTTTCCTGGTTTTAGTATATCGTCCCTGGTATACCTATCTATCAATCTTTCTAGGGTTTTAAGTAGGAAGGAGGATAGGCTTATGGGGCGATATGACTTTGGCGTTTGGTCTGTGATCCTACCTACTTTGGCAAGGTAGACTACTTTCGCCTTTTGCCATATTGCTGAAATATTTTTATATAAATTTTTAAACTAAAAAATCAGTAAAACAGTCTGTCGCTTCTGGCAAAATCATAACTTGCAAGATTTAACACTTTTTTCCATATCATGTCACACATATGTTTAAAATTTGACGTTTGACGCTTCATTTTTTGACATTATTGTATCGATTTAGGTTACAACTGCGCTATATTAAATCAATGATAGATATAGTTTTATAATAAATAAACTTGTTTCTTACTTTTTACCGCAAAAACACTGCAATTCACTGTCTATGATATTTGTTAATCTAATTCGATAGGATTTAACTTTATACATCTCCTTAAAAGATTGCAAATTTATTAGTAAATCTTTCAACGTAATATAAAAATTATGTTGAATGATACATTCTTCTTGTACGTCTAAAAAGAGTTGAACGTCTTGAAGGAATGTCTTGCGGATTATGTATTCCTAAATAAATAAAAAAATCGAAATTAATAATATCAACACTAAAAAAATGCATTTAGTATGTACTTACGTTATTATTTAACGAACTGCAAGAAACTGTTAAATCAAGAGGTGAAGTTATTTGTAGATAAGTTGCTGGATTAGACTGAAATTGAATAATATGTAATTATTATAGAAATATAATTTGTTTTTGGTAATATAGGTTATCGTCTAATATTTTGATTACTACAGACAGTTCTAGACACTTTGAAACACACTATACCGCTATACTTAATTTTTATTCGTGTTAAAAGCTTGAAAATGGGTTCTCCAAGTCTCGACCATAAAAATGTTAATTCACTTATATTAATTGATTTGTTATTGTAGAAATGACTTTTATCAATATTAGACTGTCCATAGAGCAATAAAATTGATAATCTACAAATTACAATTTTACAGTTATAATTTATTTATAACATTTTTGACACAAGAATGTGTATGTGTAACCAATAAAATAAAATTAGAGTTATATAATTAAAGGGCTTGAAAATGAAAATTCTACAACAAATACCATAATTAACCGAAAAAACTTGTAATAGTTATAGAAGTTTATTTTAACCTTTGAAGTCGCGTTTCCTTAATAAATTAGTGTTGTGGCTTATCATGTTATTCCAATAAGCTCTTCGATTAGGAGTTATAAAGGATTTTTATACTAGAAGTAAAACTTATAGAGCTATAAGTAAGCATTAGAGCAATTTTGACAAATGTTTATAATTACTACCTGTTTAACTTCGCTCAATTTAAACATATTCCCCGGCCGGACTTGTGCATAAGACAACACTTGCATTCAAAGCTCGCTTAGCAATAAGACACATTCAATAAACATACAACTTCTATCCCATTTAATTTTCAATAGCGCTTCAATACTATGGATAAGGCGGTATTAAGATAAAAGTACAGTCCACCAGTATCGATCCTTTGACCGATGGTTAAATACAGGACCAAACTTCAATGTAAACACTACCGTTGAGCTTTTTAGCATTTTTAGAAAATTATTATATATTTTTCTTACATTATAAATATGTTTGATCTTACTGTAATAAAATCTCGATATTTATAAAGAACGGAATATTTAACATTTATTTTGTGTCTACAAATCTGATAAAACATTTGAATATATATCATTTGTTTTTAATTTTGAAAAAGAACATACAATGTGTGAAAATATCTTGATCTGATATTAAGGATAGTCTCGTTATATAAGAAAATAGTTTATTCTTACGATGAATTATTTTGAGAATGCAATTCTGTATTATTTTGAGTGGTTTTAATGCATTTTCATATAAACCACCTCATGCTGTTATTCCATATCTTATTAACGATTCAACTAATCCTAATTTTGTTCATTAAGTCTTGAATTTGAGGAGTCCATTTTAGATTTTGATCTATTTTTACATCAAAATATTTAGTTGTTTCAGTTTCTTTTAAGATAAGCAGAAGTAATAATATGAATCTCATTAAATGTTGGTCGATTAGCATTAGTTAAGGAAAACGCTATATATACGGTTTTAGAAATGTCCAGTGATAATTTATTCATATCTAATCAATTTTTGATAATCCTTATCCCTTTGATAACTCTCTCTTTAACAGAATTCCAAAATATGTTGCTTTCAAACAATAGAATTGTGTCGTCTGCATAAAAAGTTGTTACACCTTCAATATCTAAATGTAATAATGAATTAAATGTAAACCATAAACAATATCGGACCCAGGATTGTTCCTTGTGGAACTTCTTTTTTACTGTAAACATGGCATTATGTTTATTCTTTGCTTTTGTATCATTTAAATAGTTTTCAAAGACTCTTAATACTGCTTTGTGGGGAACAGTGTCAAACGCCTTTGCAATATCGATAAAGAGGATTGTTTATTGATTAATATGACAAATGACATTTTTATAAATGCAGTGTTGCCAAATATAGTAAGAAAAAGAAAATAACAGGAAATAGGTCAATTAAAAAGAGTTGGCTGTTTGGGAATGCTTCCAGGCCGTAAAGCATAGCCAAAAAACAAAGTGAAGCCGGAAGATGTTAGAAAAAAAAAACAGCGAGTTGCTTTTTTCTATTCTGCACGTTTTTTGTGCTTTTCTCTCGATTTTTTAGCTTTCTTGGCTTCAGACCATACAGAACAGAAAAACAATAAATTACATGTTCCAATTGATTTAACAACACTGTATTATTCAGACAAGATGTCAAGAAAAATTTTAAAAACTTTTAAAAAAGAAAACTAACATTATATGGTTTATTGTTCTATGGATGGTCTAATTTTTTAAGCAGTTTCTACAGCAAGAAATCAATCAAAATGGTTCAATCCACATTTTTTTTAAGAACGATATTGGATGACACATTTGAGGTAAAAAAAATATTTTGAAGCATTTTTAGGCAAATAAAGTATTTTGCAATGCGTTTCAGAGAGTCTAAAATGACCTAAAAATTTAGACTATGAAGATGACAGATTTACCTTAGTTTATTTAATAATAAAAGAACTCTTACTTGTGTACTTGCGTTTATTGCCGTAACGCGAGAATCATAAATATTCCTTTCGATCGAATGCAACACATTCTCTCTAACGTTATCCGATTTAACCAATTGCAGATCTCTAAATAATTGAATAAGAAATTGAGGTCTATTTTCGTTAGCCGATATCAACGACGCCACTTCTTTGTATATATTTTCCTTCAAATCCTCGAAACTAGAACTAAAATTCAAAGTCAATCCCAACCCTTAAATTATGTCGATATGCATAACAGAAGATGTCAATGTGAATGGAAAATGTCAATATGAATCAATACAAGATGTCAATACGAAAGACTGAAATATGTCAATATTATTGAATGTAAGATGTCAATATGAATGATTGAAAGATGTCAATATGATGGAAATATGTCAATATTATTACTATTTTAAAATTCTGATCCTGAAGGCGAATTAGAATTCAAATTCTCAAGAAGTGTGCTGCTAGCTCAAATCTAGAGATAGTCTATTTTAATGCCACTGTAAGCCGGAGAGTGGCATGGATTCTTAAGGAGACTTGATATGCTAGTGTGACCAAATAATAACAATGAGTAAGTAGTGTTTTTCTTTAATTTGTACAATAAGTAGGTAGTTAGGTAGATAGTGATAATTAGAAACCCCAATTGTATTTAACAAATACCGATAGGTAATAAATCCCCCTTTGTAGTACTACCAAGGTTCACACGTTTTAAATATATATGTCACTATTTAATTAAATGTTGTTATTTCTCTTGCAGGTTATACGGCAGCTATTATTTGGATGAATATAAAATTGGAAAGCTCTTACTTGGCGTCTACAGCTACAACAGCTATATTATAATATACTCGCAGTCCAAGTGCTGGTAAAGGAAGAAGTGGGTTCCAGCCACCAATCCAATATACGGCACGTGAGTGGTACTTTAGAAGAGACTTAAGGAGGTGCTCTATAGTGAAAGTAGTAATCGGCTCTACGAGCAGCACTAAATAATATCTGGTAATACTAGAAGCTAGATGACTAAAGCTAGATATTGTCGAGACTTAATGTCGATACTTAATGGCCGGAGATCAGAAGCGGCCCCTTTTAAGATAAGTATAATTATCCCCAACTGGGTAAATCAACTTAGATTAATGTTATATATACTTAATCTGTTAGATGTTAGCTTAAACTTAATTTGTTTTTAGGTTGAATAAATCCGAATAAAGTTTGAAAGTTACAGAAAACTCATGGCCCAAATTTCAACCAAGAACAAAGAAGAAAAAGGAAGTGAGTGAGAAAGACACATTTCCTGATCTAGGAGTTTATTGGTGATGCTAAAATATTTGACCATAGTAGGCCTTTTAGCCAGGTACAGGCATACCTTGTTGTAAAATTTCTCTAGAATAAAAGAAGCAGAGCAGAGTTCAAAAGGTCACTAAAGTAGTTCAAAATAAATGTAAACACTGAACTAGGTTATTTTAAACAATAAACAGTTAAAATACAAATGTATCCTTTTTGATTTTTCCTGAAGTAAGTAATTAACTATTAAGTAATTAAATAATAACTAATTAATTATGTTTAACATAACTATTCAATGGTAATTGTATTAATTTATAATTCATCGATTTAAACCTGTAACAATATGATGGAAATATGTCAATCTGAATTACAGATGTCAATATCAATAACAGATGTCAATATGAATTACAGATGTCAATAACCGATGCCAATATAAATGACAAAAGTCTACATGATTGACTGACAAATATCAATACGAATGATTGAAAAATATCCATATGAATAATTGAAAAATATCAATATGAATGATTGAAAAATGTCAATATAAAAGACAGATGTAACTTTCTAAACGTCATCAACTTACTTTATGCACCGACTTTCTTCAGCAGCAGCACTTTTGTTGGCTTGATCCGTCATTATTTGATCGCATTTTTCCTGTAAAAATTCCTCCGTGACGGGTGCACCGTTGGCGCCATCTTCATGATTAGTTCTTAAACCTAAAGTCAAGGGAAGGCCGTAATGAGAATTAGTATCTTTGTGAAATACGTCTTTAGACGGCGATTCTGCCTCTTCGTTTTTTCTGATAGTGTCGTTAATGTTTATTACGCTACCGCTAGATTGCGTTCCTAAATTGGTACCGGGACTAAAAATATGAAGAAAAAATAAAGTTTTAAAAATAACAGGAATAAAAGATTATCCTTTATTTCAAATGTCGGTTGTGAAGTATGAGAAATACTCAAAATCAATACCACAAATATTATTTTCGGGCTAAAAGGGCCTATTTTCATAGTGTAGGCCTGAGGATGGTCTTTAAGGCCGAAACTAGTCGTGATATACTGATTTAATAAAGAATAATATTTATGGTATTGATTTTTAGCGTTATCTTTACAAAATGACAGTATAAATAAACGAATTGTACTTACTTTGTCTCCTTGAATGGTATCCTTTGAAAACCGTTATCCTGACTGGTATTACTGGCGTCCTGTTCGGAATTGCTCTTCGAAAACGACATAAAAGCAAAAGGATTTGCGCAGGGATTGATGAAGTTCGGTCTATCAACTACCGTTGGTATATTTTGCAAGACTTCATTGTTTTTGGTAGACAACAGATTTTGACGTGAGTAGCTGAAATTATTAAACACATTTGACTATTGTAACGTTTATAATACGTATTGGAATTTCTTTATTAACCCCTTTCCAATCATAATTCCTCGACCAAGCTTTTCATTATGACAGGAATTCTTTTTATTACAGTTCCTTGCAGTCGCGCTACTATATTGTATCACCATATCTTCTTGTACAACTGTTGGCATGGTAATGGCTTCATATTGATGAAGGAATACCTTTTAGGCATCACACTGTTCTTAAAATCCAATTGGAAACCATGTAAGTTAATTACGCCTGTCCCTAATATAACATTTTCTTCAATATCAGTGCCAATACCAGCTTGACGAAACTTACATGGCTTCCAGTTAGATTTTAAGAACAAAGTTGGTACCTAAGAGGTATTCTTTATCCATATGAGGATAGTATCATGCCAGCAACTGTACAAGAAGGTACCGATGGTGTTTCATAGAAGTGAAATCATTATTAAAAATCTGTGGTAAAAAAAACAATTGTCATGATGGAACCTTGGAAATATGGATTAGTCGAGGGATTCTGATTTGATAAAAAACGTTACATTGGTGTCAGAAAAGGTATATTGTAAATAAATATTTAGTAAAAATGCCTATAAAAGTGTATGATTTAAAAGTAACGGAATCGCGGCGTGTACTAGGAAATCGTTAACTGGAAATTACAGGAAAGAAACCAGAGTTGGTAAAGCGACTCAAATGAGTAATAGAAAGCGAATGTTTAGATCTGGAAACGTTTCTATTTTCAGATGATGCGGTTTAATGTTATAATTTCCTCTTTGGAAAACAAAGTTTCTTCTGATATTTCTTCCTTGGAAAATAAAAGTATTCTGATATAACTACTGTGAAAAAGAAAATTTCTTCTGTCTTACATTGAGGAGAAAATAAAAGAGATAAAGACGAGAATATAGGAAATAGAGCAGGAGCGGGGTGGTGGAAAATGGCCCATGTGACGTTATTATCTCATCCTTAAGGCGTTATAGTGTCAATTAAAATCAAAATATGTGCATTTAGGATTTAATATAGAGTTTACTAACATTTTAGATCGAGATTTTTTTTCATTGTTTTGCAAAGGACTGTAATACAATTGCCTAGTTAATCCTGATTAATTTTTTGATTTTGGATTAGTAATATACGAAATAAACAGACTGATATTTAAAATTTTTAAAGTCATCGTCACACAATGTGTTAAATTAGATTAAAAAAAACTTGTTTATCACATGACTAAGCAGAAGTTAGTGTTTAGGCGTGAATGGATACAAACAAAAATCCTTTTTACCAAAGTATTTAGATTGATTCAAACTGTAAACTTTGAAATATTTTTCCCAAATAATTTTTAACAGTTATCAGAATCTTAATTATGATTTTTTTTTGTTTTCTTTGATTTTATATTCACAATTATAATTATTATAATTACGAAAATTGGAAATACATTCTGATTTCATAGTAGTAGATTTATTAAATAAAATTCAAATCGTAAACTTAGAAAATAAATTTGTTCGAAAAAAGAGTTAATTTTAAGGGTGTCCTTACAAATTTTATTTCCCTTGAATTAATTTTGTACGAGGTTTCACTGGAATGAGCTTTGAATTATTTATTTTTATTTAATTTTGTAAGAAAAAACTTTTTTTTATTTTCACCTTTTTGAAATAATGTTATTCTTCATAAAGTTTTTACTCGTTTCAAAACTAATAAAAATCTGATGTGTTTAACATTGTGTAAATGTTTAAGAGAACATACATTATCACGCAAATAATCAAAACAGATTCATGGTAAAAATCCGTCGAAAACTCGAAGTCAAAAAAATCATGATTGCTATACTTTCCTTATCTGTATAGGAAAGTAAAAATGCAAACAGAAGTTGAATATGTCTTTGATTTGGTAAAATAATGAAAACATGTAAAGGACTAGCGTAATGCCCAGCTCGTTCACTGGATTTAAATCCTCTGCATTTCCTATGTAGGGTTACTTAAAACAATGTGTTTAGTCATAATTTGGAAAATAACATTGAAATTTCAAATAAAAAAATAAGAAAGGGAATTAATTCTATTTTTCAAAATATCATAAAAAATGTTTCCAAAAAAACTTTTAGGAATAGCTGAAAAATCTGTTGAGCTTGATCGTTTTCAATTCGAATAATATAAAATAAAACAGAAACTTTTTTTTTCTATTATTTCATGTTGAAGAATATAAAATAATTCATTATTTCACTAAAGCGAAGAGATCTTCAACTTTTGTTTGAATTATTATTATTATTTTTGAAACAAACAAAAACTTCTATGAAGAATAACATTTTCTCTAAAAGTTGAAAATTAAAAAATTTTCTTCTTTTCCACTCTATCCGGAAGCACACTCTATATTAATTTTACCTTATTGGCTTCTAATTGCAGTTATATAACTATATATCGATTATACATTTACTATTTATCATTACACTCTTAGAATTAGTCTTTTATCAACTTATCCCCTGGAAATTTTGGTATCTCCATGTTAGACCACTTGAATATATTTAAAAGAAAAAACTAAATATACTAAATTACCTCCTGAAATTGTCCCAATAATTATTGGCCCTGTTGCCGGGCACCACTTGATTGTTCAACGCCTGCCCCGACCAAATGTGATTCGGCATCAAATGGTTCATGTTGGCGTGCAAAGGATGTTCCGAATTCTGATCCGCGTTGATCCTGTTCAAATTGATGTTGTCCAAACATGAATCAAATAGCTGACCGTTGTTGCCGTTATCGACCGAATTGAAATACATCGGGCAATCGAATTGGTTGCTGATCGGCATCGTGTAGGCGGAGTCTTTGTCTTGATGTTGTTGGTGTTGAAGGTGAGGATTGGGATTGGGCGACGGTTGCGAATTGACGTGAAGAGATGCGAAAGTCGGGTTGATGGTTTCAAAATTGTCGATTTTTAACTTTTCTTGGAGCTACAAAGAAAGTATCAGCATTATGTTCGGTAAAAGGTTCGAGTATGTGAATATATAATGGTATATCTTTCATACCGTTATTTTTTAAACACTTCTCTTTCCTTGGATGACAATGGTTGATCGTTGTTTTTTTTTATTGGAAGAATGATCAAGAGTTTATTAACTAGTTATATGAAGGAGGATTTGCTAATTTGATAAAAGTTAGCATCTTGAGAACCTAAGAACTACCATAGGCTGTTTGGAGAACTTTCATCGTATATTACACATGCTCTTACGACTTTAAGAAGCCCTGCCTCATTGAGATAAGTCAATTCATATTGTACCAAATACTATTCAAAAATAGATAAACTAAAAAGTCACTTTATTATTAGAAACTCTTGTAGATTAGAATTTGGTTCTCCCGTATCTACTGAAAGTATATTCTTTATTTTTTTATTTAATATTTAATAGTAATTTTGGTTTCCGTATTTTCATCAATTACTTTTATACATAGAGATATGCAGATTTAAATACGGTGGCGTCCATTTCCTAATTTCAGGGTAATTGAGTTATTATATCCTAGTGGCCCCATCAACGACCCTTTTTACAGAGCTTTAATCACTTAAATTGTACAAACAACTTCACAGGTTATAAATATTGACACCCTCGTTACAATATAAATATTGAATAAAAAAGAGAATCAACATGGACTAGAAAAGAAGAAAGAAAAATGTTATAAAATATACCAATGGAAGAATTAAATTTATCATAACATAACGTACAGAGGTTTGTATACGTGAGATGATACCAAAATGTGTAGAGCTGTGATCTATAGAAAATGCGTCATAAAACGGTGTTTAAGTACTGGCAATAATAGAGTAAAGAATTGAATTTTTACACAACTCTTTTACAGTTTTGTAAAACGTTAAATAGCTGTTATAAAAACATTTAAATTTACAATAAAACGTTATATAATATGAGTTGTAGCATTTACACAATAATCTTATACATATGTCCATTTTTTCAAAATTAATTTGTTGTATTCAGACATTCTAAGAATTAAAATTGTCCCTTAAATGGCATTATTTGAAAATTATACAACTGTTCACTTTTATAAGGCATTTATTTTGCTAATTGGGAACTTATAACTTTACAACAAAACTTTTAATATCAGATCCATGACAATGACAAGCAAATTATGTTTAATGTCATACAGTCATGGCTATGTTGATAAACATTAGCAGCAGGTAAAGTGTTTTGATTTTTATAGTAAGAAAAGTGTTTAATTCTCAAAAATACACGGCTCTATTGATGGTTGGTAATAAAAACATTTATCCAAATTCTTTTTAAATTAAATGGAACTTACTGTCGAAATACTGCTCTTTAGCAGGGTCAATTCTTTTTGTTGCACCCACAGCATCTGATAGCACTGATTGAGAGTATTCAGCATGAAAGATTGCGTCTGGATATTGTTGGTGGTCATCAAGTTATAGTAACCCCCATTACTACCATCTTGTCTGGAATTATTCGAGTTATTACATGTATTGGAATTAGGATTAGAATTAGGATTGGGAGGCAACCATTGCCTTTGAGATTCCGCATTATTAGCGCTGTTGCCGCTGTTTCTACGCGAATTGCGCTGCTGTTGTTGTTGCTGATTTTGTTGCTGCTGATGATGATTATGAGAAGAGTTTAAATCATTATTTTGAAAGTTTTGCGTGTTGGAGTAGGTTTCTTCGTTGTTCTGATGTTCCAACATCGAGTCGCAGATGCTTCTGATTATTTCTAGTTGTTTTTGCATCTTGAAACAACAAACGAAACATATACTTAATAATATAAATGGTACAATATCTTATAGCCTTAAGATAAATTGAAAAAATTGTAAAATATCAAAACAACTAAAAATTGCTCTGGTGTTATGCAGGTGTCAAAATTACAATAAACTTCATTGCTACATTTTTGGAGTAGATGCAGACAAAGGTAATCCTAGTTATAGTTAAAGAGGAGGCTGTCAACTATCATTTGACACCAATTGTATCAAAACAGAATCAAATTTTGCAATAGGTGCGGAAAAATAACAACAAACGTCGCCAGTCCTATTTATTGTTAAAGAAAAGGATGTCAGCTTTCATTTGACACCAATTGCGACAAAATAGCGCCACTCTCGATAAATCTTACAATTAGTCTCACTTTATCAGGCATTTTACGAATTCTATTTCCATTTTGTCACAATTAGGGTCAAATGAAAGCTGACGTCTTCATTCACATCAACTAGGGTTGCCTATGTTTGCACTCACTGCAACAATGTGTATATTGATTGAAAACATAAAAAAGTCTACATTAATAAAAAATTGGAAAATTCCTTGAACCTTTGAAGCTGTGCTTGAAAATTATGAAATTAAAGTCATACCTGACTCGAATGTATATCCTGCGAATTAGACATTTGAGGCTTGTTTTTGTGATTCGCCATTCCCGCCGAATTGCTTCTGTTCGTCTCCGGTGAACAAGACCGCCTATTGACGGGTCGAAATTCAAAATTACTTCTTTGCGAATTTTCCGTCGGATGATAATTCGTGACGGTCGATGGTGAAGGTAACGAAAAAAAATTGTGCTTCACCTCGTCGTTGATTTCGTTTTGATATTCGTCGCTAAAACAGAAATAAATAAACAACAACTTCTAGGAAAAACGGGATTTGTATTTAACATATTTTGAAAATAAATTGATTTCATAGAGTTTAACGAGCTCTAACTAAATATTAATTTAAGAAAGTGTCTCAAAAACAAAAAACATTCTAAAAAAAAGGTTCAACCGTTTTTGTTTGTCTGACAAGATTTTGAATTTAAAACGTCTAAAATACTAGATTTAAAATATAACGTTGTAAGTCATCTAACAGTTGTTATACGTCAGTTATCATTTTTTTTTTATTATTATTGGCATCTAAACGTAGTTTTTGTTGCCACAGACTTTTGTTAATCGAATAATTATTTATTTATATTTTAATATTTTCTTTAATTAAAAATTCAATAATTAAGTTATATATTTTCTCATCAAATGAACTTAATAAAATAGAAATACTTGAAGGAAAAAAGATATTTAGGGAAGAAAGTTTTTTAAGAAAATCTGAACGATGAGAATTATGGTGATATAAATGCATCGCATCACATGATGTTAACTGACATTTGTAATAACGTCAGTTGGCACATCAAATATCATATATTACCGTTCTAATGGATCTTGGACAAGCTATAGGAATATTGACTAACAAGATGACATTGTTTCTTTGGATTAATCGAGATTTTTGATCGATTTGATATCGAAAATGAAAGAGATATTCATTAGGAGCGGGAGCGACCCAAATTGGTATACTTCAAACAAAAAAACAACTAAATTATTCATCAATTTTGAAGCTTTTTCCTATGGAAGAAAAAATCTCATGAAACTGAAAAGATCCCTATAAAATTAATTGAATGTGCAACAAAACAAAATTCAACAATTTTTAAAATGTTTTTTCTTTTTTGAAAATTAAATGCAATCAAACATTTTTTAATTAAAAATAAAAAAGTTACTTTAATGCAATAATTTTTGTTCTCAAACAGTTGATGCCTTAGCCACAGTATACACCAGATCTAGCCCCTAGCAATTTTTTCCGATTTTTCAAAATAATGAGATCTCGAATACATACATGATATACTATTGGATAATGAAACAGTGTGTTAACGCAAACACCACTGTATTAACCAGATTTAGCACTATGTGACTTTTTGTTTAACAAAAATTAATCTTGGATTAATAGGTTAACTATTGGTAAATAAAATAGTATTTTGATCACCAGGCCACCATATCCGCCAGATTTAGCTCCGATTTCTACAGTTGAATAGAACATTCTATTAAGATCATAATACATGAACTTTTAAGCAATAAAACAGATTTAGCACCGTGTTATTTTATAGTTTACTAAACATGAATATTAGATTAATAAGTGAACTATTGGCAAAAAAAACAGTCTTGTGATCCTGAGGACACCATATTCACTAGATTTAGCTCTGATTTCTAATGTTGAACAGAACATTGTATTAATAATAATAAGATAATAATAATAAGATCGTAAATTAATATGTGAACTTTTGGGCAATAAAACAGCATTTTTATATCCCAACTACCGTATTCGTCTGATCTAGCTCCGTGTGACTTTTCCGTTTTTTAATTTGCTTCATTAACAAGCTTTTTTAATAAATATATTTGAAATAGTACCTGGAAAATTTATCGGAATCGCTATCGTTTGAAATAACGGACACCCAAGGCTCATGAATACCATTCATCAAAAAACTAATATCAGATTTTATATCAACTCCCAGATCCTGATACAGATTCGATGGATTTACTGCAACAAAAAAAAACAACATTATAAAACATTTCTACCATCTTAACTAGATACAACCTTTATGTTTCCCCATTAACTCCACCAACTCCCTTTTTTTAGACTCCAATTCACTTTGCAACGTTGTTTTTTGATTGATGCTTGACACGTTCGGCTTCATAGGTTGAATTTTACTTTTTTCACTCGACATTTTATTCAATTGTTTACTTCTGCTATCTACGCCGTTGTTGCTGGAACTTCTGAATATGTTGCTGTCATTGCGCTGTCTGGAGTTCGTTTTTTGACCGATGTTATCCGAGCACAAGTAGCAACTGGCTTTCTGGTAATCCGGAGGGTTGTTGGAGTTCTGAGCGCTCAAAGGCATCTTTACGAATTCCAACATGTTGCGCAGTTTTTTTAGTTGGGCTTTCATGGCGCAGATTTTCATCACTTGATGTTCTGAAAAAATAACAGACTATGTCAAATAGGCTACCGGAGTATTTGATTTGATTCTGCAGAATTAAAAAATTACATTTCAATATAAATAAATATGTATTTACCACTTTTTAACCAACACTATATTCATAAAACTAATTTAAATCTAATTTATTTCATTTTTAACCAACCCTGAACATAAAAGTATTATAGTAGAAAGAAGATAACAAAGGATGTCAATATTCAACATCCTAAAGCACAAAACAATATACAAGAATATTAATTAAGATAAATAAAAGTAATTTTTTATGAAATCAATGAAAAGTTCATCAAAAATTAATTTTACTATAAAAGTACAACGCGCATTGTACAGAAAAGTTAACAAAAATTAAATTCCCCTTATACAAATGTTATTTTCTTTAATTGACATTTTTCAAAATTCAGAGTCCAAACATTTTTTTTTTAATTTTATATCTAAAACCAATTCTTTAAAAATTGTTTTCAGAAAAAATATGCCTTGATTTTACAATAGCTTAAAGGCTGTTTTATAAACATTTTATAGCATTGAATTTTTTTTAAGGCATCATTTTGGATATTTTAATAATTTTAAGGTCACTAGAACAGTTGCTATAGCATTTTTGTATAAAAAGTTAATACAATCTTTTTTTATATATAAAAGCTCTAATAGTCCAAGAGCTAGTAACACACATTTTATTAAGTGTTTGATGCACTTTGAAATTTTATAATTTGAAATCATTTGGATGGAAAAGCAGATATACCTGTGTTGGCTGGACTCACTCCGGGACACCAGGTACTGCGCATAATAGAAAGGGGTCGTAAAATATGACCCAAAAAAAGTGTTTGATTCAGAGGCCAACAAACAACAATTGAAAGTTTAGGTAATTCTAAAAATACTAGTAATTTAGTCAGGCACTTTTGAGAGGGTTTATAATTGATAAATCAACCCCAAAGTTGATTTTTTTTAAATATGATTTGAAGTGTTTGAATCACCCTGAAATTTTAATAGCGTCTTAATTAAATATAAAAAAAATTAATTCCAAAAAGGCAGACACTTTTTCCGGGGTTTAATTGCCGGCCAACATAAAAATGAATGAACCTCGTTATGCGCCACTATGCATTGAATAAGGATATACTTTTTAAAAACTAAACATTTTAAATTACCAAGACTGTGAAATAATAAAAAAATAATATTTTTCTTTTTTTATGGAAAAAAAAAAAAAAAAACTAAAAGTTTCGGGGCTCGAACCACCAACTTGCTCTGCACACTATCAAAATTTGGATAAATTTGTTAAATTTGGATCTTCATTACTATTCTTATTTATGTTTATTTTTATTATATACCTGTTTCGGCCTAATTAGTACTTAAGCTGTCTTGTAATTGGGTGTACTCCTGTTAGGACAATACATTTTTTTTTTGTTCAACTTACCCACATCCTCCCCATTGGCCCCCGAATTCTGCAGCTGAGCCAAAAACTGATCAATCTGGAATTTCTTATTTTGCAAATCTGTAATCCTTTTATGAAATTCATCATGTTGAATATCTAGTTCTGTATCATTCAAATCCAACATATCAAATATTTGTTCAGCACTATCGTTTATATTGGGCCCATTCAACATTTCCATATTGTGTATGGTTTTATCTTGGGTGGGAATCAATTGAGGATTAATTTGTGATTTTCTGTTCTTTTCTTCATTCTCATTGTACCTACCACCTTCATGGTGGAGATGTAAGTCGCTTCTGTTACTTCTGTTTGAGGTGCTGTTTTTGTGATTGCAAACTGAAAATATATTGAAAAACAATACTTAAAACTTTTCAAAAATTTATAATAATTTATTAGTGAATAAAAGACATATTTTTTTACCTTCCATCAAAAGATTGCTGCGATTATGTCTAGGAGACAAACATTTATTCTCAGATTTCCTTTGAAGCAAACTCGTTGGATCAAGATCTTTCAGAGCCATCAAATTGAGACCAATATTTTCTAAATTTGAATTTCCATCATTTTTCTTACAGGAAAAATCAGTATCAATACCGAAATCGTCATTTTGGCCTATCCCCTGATTAAATAAAGAATTTTTGAAAATAATTCTGTAATAATTGTCTTATTATATTATTTACCTGATTGTCCACCTTTTTAATACTTTCCATCAACGAATTTGTCACTTTCAAATACTCATCGTGTATTTGATTCAATTTATCCTCTATTTGTTTCTTGTTGGGATGCTTTGTAATATTATCACATTTTAATGTTGAGCTTAAAGAATTTTTTCGAGAAGTTGTTGTACTAGGATTTGACGAACCTAGAAGCAATTTTAAAAACAACTCAATTGTTTGAATATAAAATAAATATATAATGAACCAAACTACAACTAGAATTAGTTGAAGAATCTTCATGTTTTCGATTTGTCCCGCTTCCTTTCTTTCAAACTATGGTCATTTTATGCATAAATTTAATAACAACGTTTAGGTTATCAAAAAAATGTCATACATACCAACAGGATTTAATTTGATAGAACTAACATGAACTGGTGAAACACCTTGTGCTTGAAAAGTAGTATCCACAATTTGATTACTCCTTCTTGGACTTCTAAGTTCGTTATATGAATCATGGTAATGATAATCACTAGACTAAAAAACAAAGAAATTTACTCTTGTATAACTGTATTTCAGTTCAAAATATTTATGTAGCCTTTATAATTCAATATTATGATTAAAAATAATTACAGAAACCTTCAATAAGACTTATTACAACTTAAAATACAAGAGGAGCGTGGATTGGAATACTGAATACTACTAGATAATTAAATGGGGAATACTTACACTATTTGACAAACTCCTCAACCTGTCTACTTCAGTAACAGAACGAGTATATCTAATACGTTGTTTGGGGACTGTTCCCGTACTACGTTTATTCATATTATGCTGATCCTCTTCAGACATTTTATTTAAAAAAAAATTAAATTAGGAAACGAAAACAAAAACATACATTTAACAAATATTGACACTGATTGACATTACTCTGACAGTCCGTCAATCCAGTCGTTGAAGGTTAAATTATTTTTCTCTTTCCGATAGTACTGTTCCTTGAATAAGACTCAGCTACCAAACGATTGGTAGTATGTTTTACTAGGACAAGAGACCAAAATCATAAAAAAAGAGAAGTGTTCAAATGCCACATAGGTAAACGATCACAAAAAATGTGCAAATCCGTTCTATGTAAAAGGCGATAGAAAAAGAAGAAATATGAAAATGCCCACTTAGTTAAGGGCCTCCTGGTAAAAAAGAAGAATAACTGATGATAGTTATAAATAGAAGGCCATAATAAACCAGAAGAAATACCTTAATAGCAACGTAAGTAAGAGACCATAAAATTTTGACTACAATAGAAGATAATTTAGGGTTATGTGCAACTGCCACTGACAGAAAAGATAGAAATTTTAAAAAGAACTTATGTTTACTACTTTTTTAAAAAAGTATAAATTAAAATGAGTAATAAAAGTGAAATAATTCGAAAAGAAAAGGTAGTACAATCTATAGTGATCGCAGATACATTTACTGATGAATTTGTCCCCATATCAGACAATATTCCCCATGTAAGTTCTAATTTCTTTCTTTGAAACCTAATGTTTATAATTCGTGTGCCTGTTTGTAATATTACATGATATTCTTTCTATTAGGTTGTGAATAATAATAATATTATTGTGATTATCAACAACTGTTATATTTTGTTGTAAGCATGTTTTTGATACACTTTTTTTTAATATTTCAGGCTCTCTTACCTATTCTAAACAAACCATTGGTAGACTATACATTAGAATTTTTATCACTTGGTGGTATTGAAGAAGTATTTTTATTTTGTTCTGTCCATAGTGATGAAATAAAGCAGCACGTTGAGTAATAAAATTAAACTATTATATTTCGAGAATATAACATGTGTATTATTTCAGCAAATGTATAAAAAATGGAGATGGTTGGACTTTAACAATGAAAGTAAATGTAACAGTATCTGAATCTTGTCAGTCCTTTGGTGATTGTCTTAGAGATTTGGATGCTAGAGGATTATTGCGAGGTGAATTTGTTTTATTAGAACCAGGTGTTCTATCTAATGTACCATTATTGTCACTCTTGGAGAAACATAGGTATGAATTCTATTAAAAATTTTCATATTTACAGCTACATTTGGTTTATCACATATTTATTTTACAAAATTGTATTTGAATTTCAGTGAAATAGTTAAAGCTGATAAATATGCAGCTATGACTTTAATTTTACAAGAATCAGGAATTGGGCATAGAGGAAGAGGTTTAGAAGATATTTTACTGGCTACAGATTCTCTCAATAGAGTGCTCTTCTATAAAAATTTAGGAAGCAGAAAAACAAAAAAAATAGAATTTCCAATGGTTAGTTTTTAGTATTTTCCTCAAAATAACAGATTTTTCTTAATTTTAAATTTTAGGACATATTTTTAGAAAACTCTAGCATATCCATCCTACATAATTTAAAAGATTCACATATTTCAATATGTTCTTCTTCTGTTCTTCCATTGTTTAGTGATAATTTTGACTTCCAAACGAAAGATGACTTAATTAGGGGGCTTTTAATGAACGAAGAAATTTTAGAAGGTACAATTTATGCCCACGTATTGCAAGGTAGCCTGTTTGGTGGAGCTGTATCTTCTTGGAGAATGTACCAATCACTTAGGTAATTTTGTTTGTAAATTTACTATTTTAAAATTAATAACAGTTATACACTGTGTTCCATAAAATTGAATCCATATGGGATTTTTTTTAATATTACTATTAGGGCAATTGTCTCTGCTTATTTAAAAACTTAAAATAGTCCATATTAAAGTTAGCAACTGACATTATTTTTTGTGAAATTGCCATTAAAAAAATAATGAATTTGACCGATAACTAATGCAATGCCTAACCAATTTTAATATGGGCTATTTTTTAGTTTAAAAAAGGCAGAGTAAATGGATTTGGATTTTAAAAGCAAGAAAACTGAATTTAAAATATTTTTTGATCAATCTTAATAAGTGTTCTGCAGTTTCAAGGGAAGCTAAATTGATGTAAAAATATTTGGGCCATTTACCCCTTAAACCTGTCCATATAAAAATATTTGGACCATTTAATCCTTAAGCCTGTTGATGTAAAAATATTTGGACCATTTACCCTTCAAGTCGTTTCATGCAAAAATAATTTGTACCCTTGTCCCTTAAACCTACCCATTTAAAAATATTTGGGCATTTTATGCCTTAAGTCTGTCAATGTTAAATATTAGGTCTCTTTACCCCTTAAGCCTGCCTATTTAAAAATATTTAAGCCTTCTACCCTTTAGGCGTACCCATATAAAAATATTTGGGCCATTTACTCCTTAAGACAGCACATGAAAAAATATTTGAGCTAGTTACCCCTTGAGCCTGTCCATCTAAAAATATTTGGTTCTTTTCCCCCTTAAGCCTGCCCATTTAAATGTTTGGTGCATTTACCTTTTGACAACCCATGTAAAAATATTTGGATCATTTACACCTTAAGTCTGTCCATATAAAAATATTTGGTCCCTTTAACCCTTAAGGTAGTTCACTCGTAAAACAGCTTTTCTTAAGAATTCAATAAAATTTAAATATAAGGTTTATGAAAGTGTCGTTTACGTAACTAAAAAAAATTTGATTTTTTGACCGTCTGTGTAACGATATATTAACAATAAAAAAGAGCATAATTAACACTCTTGAAGCCTATCATGTACACAAGCAATGCATTTATTTCAAGATATCTCGAAAACGGTTCTTACCATATTTTTAAAAAACTAATGTTAAATAACTCAAGAAGTTATAAAATTTTATAAATAATCGCTGAATTTTTTGACCTTCTTAGTAAAAAGATATAGATTTTTAAAATAAAAATATTTTTAAAGCAGTTGACGAGTAGTTTCGTAAAATTATTACAACTTGGCAACTTTGTAGCCACTTCACGTAACAAAGTAACACTCGATCAGCTAAGAGGTTGTTGTAAACTCGCGACGTATTCTTGAAAAATTAATTCGTCCACTTCGTGAGAAGGGCGACCAGGTATCGGTAACTGGTATAGCCCGAGCTGAAACTATATTTTTGTTTCAAGGAACAGATTCTAGATGGCGCTGTACACAACAATTTACAGAAATCTACAATTGATGGTGGAAAGAGTGGGAGTGTCATTTGTCAGGCATCCATTATCGATTACCTCGCGGTGAATGACATTTGCCATTTTACCTGTATTTTTGTGTTTATCAATATCATATTGTCAATAATTATTATTTGTTTGTATTTGGGTGTGCTCTGGATCCTGGATGAATAAATAGTAAGTATTTTGTAAATAATTGTTTATTGTATTGTCAACTTGGTCTTGTTCAATTGTGTTTTAAATGTTTAATTTGTTTACTTGATCTTGCTGACGATTGAGCTTATTTTAAATTTTTGTGGTCATTTTTAGTTACAAAAGCTGTAATATATCGTATTGTTGTATGCCAAATTGTTTTGTAAACACTCTGAAATCCTAATAACGATTTATTTCAAATTTGAGTATTGGGTGTTCCCAGTCCATTTTTCAAGAATAAAACAACAAATTTGTAAAAACTATTTAGTATGTGATAAACATTTTGAAGATATGTTTAAAGTTCTTGGTGCACGCAGCGATCTAACTGTATTTTTATTTGTTCTAGTACAAACTTTTTCAAGCCGTTTGGAGTGGCAGTAGTATTGCATCGTTGAAGACAAAAACAGCCTAGTCAGGGAAGTAATAGTCACTGTACTTTTTGTATTCATGCCTCACATCTGATTTTTATATTGATTTAGTTCAGATTGTTACTTTTACTGTTTTTTTATTTGTTCTAGTACAAACTTTCTTCAAGCCGTTTGGAATGGCAATATTGGATTGTGGAAGACAAAATAGCATAGTCCGGGAAGTAATGGTCAGTATACCTTTTTTTATTTATGCCTCACTTTCTGTGCTCCCCAATAGATTTGAAGGGTTCAGGAAAAAAAGGGGCCTAGTCACAATTAATTACCAAAATGTTCAGAAAACCAAATTTAATTTAGACTGACTAAATACAAACTTTTGATACTTTAAGGTAATTGATTACAAAAAGATGTTACTTTGTTTAAATGTTGCCTGATTATATTGTACTTTACCACTTAATTTACCAGACAGTTGTAATTTTTTATTCTAAATACTAAAAATGACAAACAAACAGTAGGAAAGTCCTTGGACATAATTTTAAATGCACTGTTTTGCATTTGCTAATACTGGTAATTTACAAAATAGGGCGGACCACTCGGCGGACCAGTTCAATTTTGATAAAAATGTGGCTTAGCTGCTTTTTTGTTCCTGTACCCTTCTTGATTTATAAGTTGATTAATATTTATTTTTTGTTTTAGATAAAACTCTTCAACCTCTGTAGACAATGACTTAACTTTCCAGCTAATTAACACGCTACATTTAATTATTCTATTTTGTATGTTTTTTTTGTTTTAATAAATTAATTTTGTTGATCATGCTTTTTAATTTTTTGTAAAAATATTTCAGCTTGTAGTCAAGTTAATATTGGTTCATACTACTCATTTTTTGCTTTATTGTAGCAAATATAATTTTATTGCTACAATAAACGTAAAAAAGGAGTTGGTATGAACAAATCTTAATTTGACTACCACTTTTAAACTAAATATTGAAGGACCATTTTGAATGTTCCCGCGTTTTGTATTAACTAAAGTGACCGCGAGATGGCGCCACTTCCGCCAAATAGTTCAAAGAACGCCCACCGGGTGTTACAAAACTGTCGCAAATTTTAACATTGCAGTTTCCATTCTAAAAGTAATTGTTCTGTGAGGGCGACGATATGTACTGTATGCACAGATGACCAAACGATTTTTTTTTTATATTTTTGTTAAAAAGTGGGAGTAAAAAAATGATCATTGGTACGAATGCAATATTGAGGCAAACTAGATAGGGGAGCTCGGAAATTATAACGTTTTGCTGACTCATATTATGTTGTGAGCTAAAAAAGTTTATGGTTACTGTATCTTTTTTTTGTTTCATGTTTTTATATTTAATAAAATGACATTAATATTTTTTGCAGTCAAGAATTAATGAAGAAGTGGATTCATCCTTTAACTGTCACACGTAATAAGTGAGTATACCCATCAAATAGGTTTCATTAATCGTAATTGGAGTTTTAAGTTTTTTTTATTGTAATTTCCTTTGTCTTGTATTAATAATTCGAAAGTGGTAAAATCTTCTTTTTAACAAGTCTGTTACAATTTTATTTACATCTGATTTTGATAAAATTGATTAATAACAATATTAACAATTATTATTTACAATTCGTTGTTTTTAGGAATAGAGTTTTGAAAAATAATGTGGTGATTGGAGCTGGCACGACTATTCCAAATTCCGCAAAAATATCGAGAAGTATACTCGGTGCCAGCGTATCAATTGGCCATAACGTAACGGTGGAAGATAGTTTTATTTTTTCAGATACAAAAATCCAAGATGATGTCGTTATAACGCATTCTGTAATAGCTTCGAATTGTACAATAAAAAGTGACAGCAAAATTTCGCTTGGGAGCATTATAGGAACAAATACTGTTCTTGAAAATGGTACAGTTATTGAAAATGCTCTTGTGCAGAGTAAACAACCAGATAATGGTAAGTCCATTGTTGGTTTTTATGGTAATACAGATATTTTATAATATAAGAAAAAACATTATTGGTGGTAATCCCAAAGGGCTAACTAAAGCTTTAATCCATCCTGCTTTTGGACATAGTAGAAACATCTGGGGGTACTTTATAGGGAGTCATCTTTCTACTTTAAAAAATATATCTGATATTTATGCTTGGAGAAGAAAATTCTTCAAATAAAAGTTGCTTGTGATGCTGTTTTCTATAATTAATAAACAGATTATTGCCTATAGGAGAAAGAGGCTGGTTATAAGCTAAGAAGAGATGTAATTTAAAATTTCTAAATGGTATTGTGAAGTGGAGACATTCACTAGAAATTTTATTTATTCTTAAACTATTTGCTTTACCTAAATTTGTTGTTTTGCTTGTACCATAGACCTCTTGCAACATTGCTGTCATGTTGTTATTTTGAGTATAATGGAATATGAGACGTTTTTTGGGTATTTGAATACAAAATTTCAACCAAATTAAATTAGCTGACTATTTTATAATATTTTAGGTGATGAATATGTTAAATTAGGAAACAAAGCGTTCGAATTGAAAGTTTCTTCTGATGATGACGGAGATTCTGTTCTGTCGACTACCAGCAAAAAACCGTATAGATTGCACATTACAGATATCGAAAGCGACGATGAAGAAGATGATGATTCCGATGGGTTCAGTGATAGCGAAGAAGAATTGTCTTACACTCAATCACCAGTACCAGACGACACTAAATGTAAGTATACAACGATCAAATAGTTGTGTTAATGTAGTGGTTTTGTAATAAACTAATTAATAATCTCTAATACAAAAATAGAGTTTTCATAATGTTTGGGGGTCGAAATTTTAAAATATTAACTTTGTTTTTTTAGTATTCTTTTCGGAAGTAATCGACAGCCTTACCAGGGGTTTCGATGATAATCTGTTATGCGACAATCTCATTTTGGAAATCAATTCATCACGATACGCCTATAATGTAACAGTTAAAGAGGTAATTATCAAAAAAACAATTATATTGATGCTTTTCTTATGTTGAACAGGCTTTTAAAGTTTATTTTATAATTGGGTTTCTGTAAATGCTGCTCAAATTGCAAAACTGGTCGATATGTAAAGTAAAGTGTGAATAAATAATAATTATTGTCCTTTATTGAATTATAGATTCAATATAAGGATGATAATATTCAATCAAACAATAATGTTCTTGAATAAAATTGTTATTTTTTTGGTATATTTTAAAAGTTCTTTAATGAATGTAGTTAGTTTCATTTTTTAAAGCGTTTTTTAACACTCATTAAACCCATAACGATTGGAAATCTACTCAATTAGACCTACAAAATGGCTTGGTTGATTAGAACTAAACGAGATACGGTGTTATAAAAATTATTTTTTTTTTTTAACATAAAGAGCTATAACTACGAGTTGAATACTATACTTTTTCTACAATTGTTCCTTACTAAATTCAAATTTAATTTTAATCCTGGCGGCATTGAATATCAGTTTAATTATATTATGATCTGTATGTATATGATCTAATTACTGTATTTTTTTTTATCTAGGTGGTTATCATTAGTCCTGCAATATAATGTTTAACAACATTTTATAACTAACATTGCAAATACTATTCTTTATTTTATCAACAAAAATTGCTAAAATATTTCAACACTTGTTTCTTATTATTCATATCTTCAACTATAGAATAAATAACTGATAAATCAAAAAATAAATCTATTCGCTTAAGTGCAGAGAGCAAAGATTTTTATTATTTTGCATTTTAAAGAAATTTATGAATGAAAAATTATAATCTATTCGACAAGGTCATCATATTATGCAAACTGAATTGAATTTTTTTTTTTGTTATTCAAACATTTTATAATATTAATCAGTATGGCATTTTTTATAACAATAATATATATGTATAAAAAGAAAATATTAAAAAATGTTTCTTAAACATATTCAAATTCGTGTATCTGCTGTAACTAATTGTTGGTGTGATGCTGGATACTTTATTCATAGCAATCTTTTTTTTTTGGTCAAGAATGTTAATATTTAAGGGTCATTGTGCCAAAAAAGAACACATGTAGTTAACATTCAATTAATGTATATTTGTACATGACGAATAAGTAAATAAAGAAATAAATTTTAATCATTTTAAAGTATATAATTAACACTTATATAAAAACTATGATTAATACTAGCTGCACTAAAACTGTTAAAGTATACTAGTGAATTCCAAAAATTTTCTCATGTGAAAAATATAAATAAAGAAATATTTAACGCTATTAATTCCACACTTAACTCATTTTGAATTTTTACTCGTTAAATTAGGATTTAAATAAGTTATTAGCTATACTACTTACTCCAATGTGATGTAGTCAAGTAGTATTTGGTGTGCCACAGTGTCAAACTAAATCTAGAAATATACCAATCATTTTATTTGCCTGATGTTAATTCTAGAAAATTTCACTAATCACTTTGCATAACGCATTTTCAGTACCAGAAACTATCTTTAAAGTCATATTGATTTTCATTAATCAATCTATATTTGTCTAAAAATGGCAATAACTTAAGCTTAATAAATTTTTCTATAATTTTACTTAAGGTACTAGTTAAATCAATAGGTTTATAGTGATTTGTACTTTTTTTATCTCCTTGTTTGTGTAGTGAAATTTTTAAGTCTTGTTAGGGAAGATTCCTGAACTAATTTTTTTATTTATGATATGTTTTAATGGACTCTGCAAATAAACATGAAAATTCTTAATTATATTAGTACTAATATTATACTAGTCTCCTTTCACATTATTTTGTAGGCTTTTTATTAGCAATATAAGTTCATTATCAGATACAGGAGTGAAAAAGGAGTTCAGATTACTTTTAATTTTATTATCGATATCACAATGTACTATTTTTTGCTAAAAGATTACCTATTTTATTAAAATAAGAATTAAATTAATTTTTTATCTAAGATTTCTTTATTATTACTATTAAAGGTACTTTTTATTTCATTTTCACTTTTGTGGTAATTTGTGGCCTCTTTGATTACATTCCACTTTTTTTTTTTGAGATTTTTGCATGTTTTAAAATAATAGTGGGTATATCTGGCTTTTTTAATTAGTTTTAAAAGTGTTTTTCTATATTCTTTGTAATTATTTAAAAGCTCTTTTTAAAAGCTTATTTCTATTTAGAGATCATTCTTTTTAATTTATCCTATCTCTATTTCGAATTGACATTAAGAGGTCACCAGTGATCCAGAGTTTTAGTCCTTCTTTTATTTTTATTATTTAAACATTAAATTTTTGTGGATTCGTATTATAAAGCTTATACTTTTTATCTACAAATATATTAGTACTTGCATTAACATTATTTTGTTCAAGAACATCATCCCATTTTGCTATTTGTAAAATTTTGAGTAAATTGTTGTTTGTTCATAGTTTCATATTTGAAGTATTGCAGCCTCTGGTTGTATTTTAATATTAAGCAGGATGGGGTAATGACCAGCGAGATAATTCATCAATATTACAGGATTCATTACCTCAAGAAATTAACTTTTATACTTCGATGCATGTTACTTTATTAATCATACTCGTAAACTCATAACTGTAAGGTATTGTAATGTTTATTGATGCCGAATTTAAATCCAGTAGGTCAATATTAATACCGCCCCTAAATATATGCATACGATTTTTGTCCACTAATGAATCCTCCACGATTCATTTAACATTTTCAATGAATTCGTCCTCATCTATATCATGTGACTGTAGGTAGCGTAAATGTCTAGTAGTGCACCATCTATACATATTGAAGATTTAACCATTTTCACATTACTATTCATGACAACTTGATGATTATACCAGGTTTCTACAGCAATATAAACTATGCATCTATCAAAATTATTATCGTACTATAATTCCAACAAATTTTATGACCTGGTATATCAAAATCTGTCATATTTAATCTGTTAACTAATATTTCATTTTTAATAATATATTTACAATTATTTTTATTGCGTAAATTATTTGATGCAAAATATGTAAATTCGTGATTTTTTAAAGGTGAATTTCAACGTAGTAAAAGCTATTTTGAGTATGTCATTAAGGGAGCCCATTGGTGTGCAGTATTTCTCTCATTTATCACGTTTACTATCATACTTTTCTCCTGTCCTGAAGAACTACATACGTAACGAAGCCGCCATGTTGGATTGTCTACAAGCGTTAGAGGTAAACAAACGAGTCATTATTATATCTAATATTTTTTGTACAACCGATGGAAATTTTAGGACGTAGCGACGTCTGGTGAGAGTTTTAAAGAGAAATGGGTGATTGCCATCCTCCAGCATATGTACAACAAGGATTATCTGGCGGAAGACATTATTTTGGAATGGTATCGGAATTTGGATACTGATGGAAAATTTGTTGAACATGTCAAACCTTTTGCTGATTGGCTTCAGGAAGCCGAAGAGGCGTCCAGTGACGATGAAGATGATGATGACAGTGATTAGTTGTTTATTTATTGCATAGAGACTAATATTTTTTTGTTAATTTGTTTCAATAACTAAATAAAATTAATCATTTTACTTGTTTTCTTAGATACTTGAATGGCATTCTTAATATTAGTTTTTCTTTGTTCTGTTTAGTAACTGTACTACATATCATCGATGTTGTTGATGAGAAGCGTCATGTTTATTTATTTTTTTTTGTGGTTTTTTACTCTCCTGTATCCAGTAAGGAAAGTATAAGAACCATTAGTTTTTTTATCTTCGAATTTTTAATTAATTTTAACATTTTAGGGTCCCCCAAATCGATGTCTGTCTATATCCACGATAATTCAAAAGTGGTTAAAAACAAAATACTAAATTTGTAACTTAAAGTTTTGATCCACCCTGTAGTGAGCTGATTAGATTTTGGCTACAATCGAATTATCTGGGGGGTACTTTATAGAGGGTATTTTTTTTAATTTAAGGTATATTTCTGTTATTTATGATTATAGCAGAAAATTCTTTCAATAAGAATTGTTTGTGATATCATTCTCTATAATTTTTGTCTTATACATGATTTCTCTAAAATGGACCGTAATAGAGAAATTTGAAGAAATATGTAAAATTGATCTTGAAAATATTTTCGATAGCACTGAAAATATGAAAAAATAATATCAATAGTATTTTTTAATCATATATTCTATATATTTTTTGATTAGATGGACCATATTCAATACTTTTGATAACCTAACAAAAAATACATGTTGGACACATATTTTTAACTATAAATATGTATTAGAGAGGAGGGACGATAGCATATTAATGCCGAAGAGAAGAAATAATTATTTTAAAAGGAGGAAAAGTTAAAAAACAAGTTATGACGTAATTTTTCTAATTTAAAATATATTTCTCTTATTTATGATTATAGAAGAAAATTATTTTAAAAAAAGTTGTTTGTTATGCCATTCTCTATAATTTTTGTCACATACATTATTTCTCTAAATTTAATTTTTCAGTATTTTCACCTTTCTTTTTTATCATGTTTTAATACCAACAAATGGTTTTTAGGTTATTTAGTAATAATCTTAAAATAAAAAAACATATTTTATTCAAATATATACATTTTTTATTGGGCTAACCCAACAGAACTTTTTTCATCATATATGATTGTGACGATCTTTCGTTGACATCTTCTTTACAATCTCTCGTACTAGCAGTACTAGCGCACTTCGTTGAACACAAATATTGCAATAATGGTATTCTGTATTTTCCGCAAAAGTCCACGAATTTAATATGCTCCACTCTGTTGTCGAAATATACACCTAAAAAATCAGATTTTATTAATTGTCTTTTAAATTACCTTGATTACTCAATAGACTCTCATCTAACTGCAAAAAGTGAAATTTAAAGTAAAGTTGCTTATCGTCTATAACAAGCATTTTCTGTCGTCAAGTTTTGCTACTTCTGGCGTAGGGATTTCGGTCACGTGACTGGTATTTACCTTTTTAATTTCTCAACGAAATTCGAGATGTAGCTTGAACACGTTTATTTTTTTAATCTAAGATGATATCGCAAACATTTTTTTGTGTCTATTATGCAAAAAGAAAGTAGCAAGCTGACGAAAACTATTCTGTTTTTTAAATAGGTGTAAAATCATTTTTATATATCAAAAATGCTTACAATATCATGTCGAATTCAGAATAAAACGCGAATTTCGTTGAAAAATAAAAAAGTATATATCGGGTATCGTGGCCGAAATTCCTATACCGGAAGTTGCAAAACCGGGAATAGTTTGAAAAACAAAAAATAACATATTTAAATAAAAGGCTAAGAAATTAAACGATAAATAATACCTAAGCGTAAATTATCATTATAGGTAATACTTATTTATAAATAAAAAAAAACATTGACAGCCAGATGCATGAACGTTCAATAAAATTTACGAGTAACGCAATGTATTTTTTTTTCATGTAATACAAATTTTAAAACTAATTTCTAATTACTACTTAGTTAAATACAACTACTTAACTATACTGCAATTTTCACAAAACGCTAATAATAATATACCAAACGTTGCTTTTCATAAATGACAGCTATATTTAACGTTAAACAACCTCTAAAACACTGAGAAAACTTGGCAATTTTTTGTCCACAAATCGCCCATTTAGTTTCGCTTCTTGGGTAGGTATTCTTTGATTTTGCCCACTAAGGAGAAAGTCATCCTTATTAGGACTCTTCAGCAATAAATGAAAATTCTCGACTCCAGTCTCTAATGGAGTGATTAGGACACACATTTCGATCGAACTCAATTACGGCGGGTCGAGCATGAGTAGATGCGATAGTGGTATCGCCATCTATACTTAGTAAGCAGAATCAAATAACATCTAGTGGATATCCACGATGGTTTGCGTTCGCACCTAGACTTTGATATATTTACTGGATGTTCATGGGATATTGAATACACCTTAAAAAAATTAATTTTAAATATCTGAACGGTACTATTAGCCACAATGGCGTAATTTTTTAATAATTTGCTATATAATTACTATTATTTATGGACATTTGCATGTCTATAAATTACATTTCATGGATATAAAATAGATATCTACCATGGACTGGACATTCAGTGGATATTGGGATGTTCAGTAGATATCCAAAGGATTTGGTGTGCTGTCTGGGTAGAAGCAAAAAAGAAAAATCTATTGATAAGCAACTTTACTTTGAATTTTACAGGTTACACGAAATATCCCACCATCGGGACATAGTACATGTTGTTCCCCCTCTCTTGTACCCAAATCTACAAATCAGTAAAAAAGACGATGTGTCACTTTTTGCAGTCAGATGAGGGACTGTAATCATGCCATTATAAAATGTATCCGTAATATGTGACTATATAGGGTGAATCAAGTCATCCAATACGGTCAACTTAAATAATGTGTAGAAGTTTTGATGAAAAATTCATGTCTTTGTAAGAACTATTCACAAAACTGAACTCTGCTGGGGAAATCTTCAAGTTGTAGTGCTTTAACATGAACGTAAAAGGGATGCAATTTTTTCCCGCAATGTTCACACTTTTGAAGGAAAACCGTTCTCCGTAGAACGTACAATATTGGTGCAGCACTTTGAATATTCTCGATTAATAAGCAACATCCATAAAGTTCATTGTTGTCATAACTTATCACATTGAATAAATTCACTAGATACTTCAGACAACACTACTGAATGCATAACTGAATTACAATGCAGGATTCATAAGAAAATCCAAAAAAAAACATAAACAGACAATATTTAGCTAACTTTAAATACACACGTTCAGACCCGGATTTAGAATTTTAAATTTTTGTATCTTATTTTTAAGTGCATATAGTGCAATCTTACCTTTACAATGTGGATTGACGCAGTGATGGGCCGTATTGATGTAATTACGTAAAGTATGTGGAATGTCGTCTGGCTCATAAAATATATTATATAATTTAACACTTCTTGCAGATAATTCTAATAAACTAGCAGGATTATAACTCATTTCACTAACGAACCTCACGACCAAAGGGTTATCACGTAAACTTAACTGGAAAATAGAAAAAATATATTATAGGTATAAATAAAAAGGTACTGGTTTATTTGGTCGTTTTTATTGTTTTTATAAAATTTAAGTACAGACATTACATATGTTTCGGAAACACTGTTCCATCTTCTGGAGCCAGTCAATATTTAATAAAATATGGGAACGATTACAAGCATTTTAAAATAACAGAAACCCCAAATACACCTTCACATGTTGTAAAAAAAAAGAAGGGATTTCTGTTATTTTAAAATGTTTGTAATCGTCCTAATATTTTAATAAATATTGACTGGTACCAGAAGATGGAACAGTGTTTCCGAAATGCCTGTACTTAAATTTTATAAAAACAATAAAAACGACCGAATAAACCAGTGAACTTTTTATTCATATAAAATTCTACTACGGTCAGGAAATTATTCTTTTTCAAATAAAAAAAAAATAACTTTATTACATATATTTGTCAATAGAGAGAGTAAAGCAAATCATCATGAATATAATTGTTTTTCTTTTAAAGCACTAATTTCTATACTAATTCCACAAAAAGTGACAATGTATGATTTTTCATTAACGAGATATTTATGTAAATATTAACTAGAAAAAAATTACAAATTTTATAATCTAAAAGTAATATTTTTTATCGTAGTTAAGATATAACGCCATTTTGAATTTAAATTTGAAGAAATATGAGAAAGGAACAAAATCCGTACCACACAACATGATGCATAATTAGTATAAATAATTCCTTTAACAAATACTAACATTTTAAATTTCATGCCAATTTTTTACTCAATCCACGATTTAACGCAAGATATACGCTGGAGGAAATTTGTAAGTATAGGCATTATTTCAGTATTGCTCACAGTAGTGGAATTCCGCTACGGCAGCAAATTTTGAGCCCTGTGTAAAGACCTTTTTTTAAGTAGTGAAATATCCTTATACCAATATGTAATCAGTTTCTATTTTTATTTAAGGATTTTTCAAAAATATATTTTTGTTCATTTGAAAACAAGTTGATATGAAATGTTTTAATCTTATTGAATTCATTATAATGATAAATAGAAATACAAAAGACCAGCTAAAATTAACATATAAATAAATATCCTACTTTATAAGTGACGAATCACACAGTCACGCGAACGTTAATTTGAATCGCGAATACCATAACAATTTATCTTTAACGTACAAAACCCATTGTAGAGCCTAGATATATAAGTTAATGTTCTGGAGAACCTTCCATATTTCGTTGATTTAAATTCAATTATGTGACGGCATGATGATCGATGGCATAAGGCATTTTCGGAAACCTACTACATATATAACAAATCCAGATTATTGGGTTTTACCCGATGGATCACGTGGATTACTGAATTTTATGCCGACAGTTTACGAACGAGTTGGATTATTGTTTCTGTTTATCTACGTCTGTCAATATTGGACTTTTCCCTATTAATTGTTAAAGAACCGTTTTAATTAAACATATTTGTAGTCTGACTAATAATGTCGCAATATGGGCATAAAGATTACAAGTTATAACTAATGGAATGTAGAAAAAACCTCAAAGCTACTACTGGTAGACACCAAACACCAAAAAATTGCGTTATCCCTTTATAAAATCCTGTGGTGCGCTTGCGGATCTATTACCAATCTACTGGTATAGTCCTTCCATTATCAATTGCAGAACACAGTTATGTGGGGAATCATCAATATTTAATATATACGCACGGTACTCATGCCAAATTAAGAAACGAAAAATAATGTTTACTCCCCTTATACAAAGCGGTAAATATTAAACGAACCATCAGTTGTTTACCAATGAAAACATCAAATCGTAAACTTAAATGCACTGTATTGGCCGAAGGTTTACGGAAGGCAGGTGTTCGAAAATATTCCTGGAAGACAGTCTGCGATATCAGTGGAGTACTGTCGTGCGGTGTGTTTTGTATGTGTGGCTGGTTTAATTTAAATTTCTTTTAATAAATATAAATATGGCGTTCTTTAGACCATGCGCGAATGAAGAAAATGAAACTGCACAGTGTAGTAAGATTAAAGACAGGTATGACTTTAACGATAGGGATTTAGATATACAAACAACAAGTTATTTTAAATATATTCGAATGTTTAAAAAAGGAAAATATTCAGCAGTCTGATAATGCGTTCATAATAACAATTGCTGAATTAACTAAAGTAAATAAATTTTTCTTTTATCCGGTAGTCACGAAAGGGGTTGCTGTGGATTATTCATAAAACCGAAAAACATGTAAAGAAAAACTGAAATCAGTTGATAGAGCTATCCAAGATTTTATAGTTTATATAAGGAGAACAGGGTTCCGACATTGGAAGTAATGCAGATTTTCCAGGATACACTTATACCAGTTTGGAAACATTGCGTCAAGTTTTGTCAGCATGTGGTTTTAAACACAAAAAATTGAATAAACAGATGGCAATCACCGAATCGTCAAGGATAGTTCAATGGCGACAAGATTATTTGCGTCGGATAAAAGGCTACAGAAGTTCTAATAGACACATAATTTATCTAAATGAAACATGGTTTGACAGTCACGATGTAGTAAATTTCGGTTGGGTTGGCAGTAGTAAAAATTGCTGTTTGAATGGGCCATGTTCTAAAGGGAAACGCATTATAATAGTACACGCTGGAAGCAAAGACGGTTTCGTGCCTAATGCTTTATTATTATCTGCTAAACAAATTAAAAACTGTGCAGCTGATTATCATGAAGATATGACAGCAGAATTATTTGAAAAACGGTTTAATGAACAGCTTTTACCTTACATTCCACCACAGTCAGTAATCGTTATGAACAACGCATCCTACCACTCGCGGCAACTCCTTAAAATACCAAATAGTAGCAGTAAAAAAGCTCAAATTTTAGCTTTTATGTCTGAAAAAAATATTTCTATTCCTGCCAGTGATAGTAAAAAAAGACAAAGAATTGCTTACTGTTATTAAAGGTATAAAGTTAGAAAAAATGTATTATATTGACAAGCTGTGCAAATTCTTCTCAGACTATCTCCTTACTATTGCATATTTAACCCTATAGAGTTAATATTGGCAAACTTAAAATCAGAATTACGAAAATGTAATCAGTCTCCAGAACTGAGTAAAGAAAGTTCTAGCAGCAGACCGCCAAGAGCTTTGGAAAAACTGTGTTAAACATGTTATCAAAGAAGAAGATGAGTATGTAGTATTACCCTCTTTACAACCCATCATAATTCAACCAAATGATGACTCTAGTTCAGAGGATTCAGACTGCCATGATTGTTTATAAAGATACTTTAGAATTGAATTGTTTTTTTTTCTTTTGTTTTATTTGCAAAGAATTTATTTTCCTTTATGGTTTTTTCTTTGAAATTTCGTTTTCCAGGAAAAAGAACGAATGGGGTACAAAAAGGGTTCAGTTCACGTCTGGTACCCTGTTTAAACCAAACGCCCTTACAGGCAGGTACACTTTACTCGCTTTTTTACGTTTTATAATTTAATATTCAGTTGTGGCAAGTTAACGAGCTATAATGATTTTTTTTTAAGTCCAAGTAAGATTACAATTAAGTGCATCTGTCTAAATAAGGGTGTATAATAACGTCCAATTTATAATTATTCGATTTCCTTTTAACGAATACTTTCTTGCATATGATATATATTAAAAGCATTAATAAAATAAATTTATAAAATGAGGTAGGTATCTACGCCTATGGCAGATCAAACAAAATTGTCGGTAAAGGTTCCGAACGAGTTTTTATGATCTGCAATTGATAATGGAAGAACTATAAAATAACTTACAATTAAGTTTTCAAAAATGCCTATAGGTATATGCCGAAACCGGTTGCTTAATTTATAATTATCAATAAAATATTGTGTGGTACAGATTTTGCGTTTCTTTTCTTATAAGATTGCCACATTTGAGAAGTTGAATAATTGACCTTTAAAGAAATATAAAAAAATAGTACGTAAAGAAAAGCTAAGAACACTCCAATTACATGCAGTAGCCATGATTGTCAAGCTGTTAAGTCTACAACAAATTCCAAATCGTGCAAAAATTTAATCAATAATATATGGTGATATATGTTAAATAATAAGATAACCTATATATCATAATGGTCATTTGTGTAAGAAAAAACGTACCCACAGAGCACACAACTTTTATTATTTATTGACTTGCTTTATCTCTGCAATAAAATCATTTTAATAGTTTTATTTTTAATTGAAATAATCTATAGAAAACATCATCGAAATAAATAAATAACATTATTTATTGTGAAGAAAAGAGAAAAATGCTAAGTCTGTCAACCACAGGTCCTCTAATTATATTGTTTTTAAAAATGTTTACAAGCTCTTTCGGCCTTATAAGATAATCTGCAGGCAAAACATATACGAGTATTTACCAAAATCTGCAATAACTTAAAATTAGATACCTAATCACTTTGTTTAACTCTGATGGGAGAATAAATTCAAAGTCGTTTCCTCCATTAATTTTTTTTATATATTGTGACATTTATTTATTTAATACAGTTTATTATTTATAATAATACTCTCCCTAATTCAACCCCTTAAGAGTGAATTTAAAGCCGACTGAATGTCTTGTGTAGTGAAAGGGACGGCTATTCTTATTATTTGCTGTGGCGTTCCGGGGGACTTATATATAATTTATTTACACTAAATACTAGTCATTTAATTTATACTTATTATTTATATGTATTCCACTGAATTAAGTAACGGCTAAAGAATATACAAAGTGAGGCGCACGACAATGGTTCTCGTAGTTTCCAAAGTAATTTTTAGACGGCTGCGGACAACTCCAAAAACTACATGCAAGAGAACTGCCAGACAAGCTGGCGACAAAGGATGCAGGACCGTACTGGTTGAAAACGGCTCGCACGACAATATTTTTATAACATATAACCAAGCTTATGGATTTCTTCTAGCGCTAAGATATAATTATTAAATATAATACTTAAATATCTAACTTTAAGTTATTGCAGATTTTTCTACATATTTTTTTTTTTTTTAATAATCTAATTAAAGATCCTATAGTTGACAGACTGCGTATTTTTCTTTTTTTAAAATCTACTCCGAATCACTTAGAGATATAGTCAATATTTGGAATTATTTATTATTTTGTTTACCTCGTTTAAATTTCTAAGTGCCACTAATTCGGGCGGCAGCGTCCTGAGTTTGTTTTTGTGCAGAAACAGTGATTTCAATTTACGTAAATTGGCTATATTGGCGGGCAGGCTTTCGATTTCGTTGTCGCATAATACTAGGGCTTGCAAGTGTTCCAACCATCCCAATGCGGATGGAACTTCAGTCAGTTTATTGCCGCCAAAAGACAACATTTGTAAACTGAATAAAAAAAAAGGAACACATCAGTCGTTATAAATAAACAAAAAATGGATTTATTAGATAAGAGGTTATAAAAAAATATCGGTTTGCTTCACCCTGTATATAGCAATATGAAACATTAATTTCCTCTTTAAGCCTACCAAAGATAAGGTATTTATGTTACGTTCAATACTCGAATTTGGTTAATGTCCGAAAAAAAAAAATACGCAAAACTAATTTTGGACAACAAATATTTCTCAAAGTACTTTTAAATAGATAATTTGCACATTTTGAATTTCGCAAAACCAATTTTGTATATTTTTGAATGACCAATACTAGTTGTACTAGTTCTTTGTGTTGAAGTAGACCCTTAAAGGGCTTTATTGTTTCTAAAGGGTGACACAAAATTGATCGAAAACATTTGATCGGAAAAACATTTGATCAGATAACAATTGATCGAAAACAACAATGATCGAAAAGACAATTGATCAAGAATAGATTTGATAGAAGAAGAAATTGATCGAAAAATAAAATAGACATAAATTAAAAAAAAATAAAAATTAATTTACCTAATCTAAATTTAAATGGCTCCAGGCCGTACAAAGTTAGGTAAATTGGTTAGGTTAGGTTAGGTTAGGTTGTTTTTCTCATTTTTGTATATACTTTTTTTGCGAAGCAGCCCTCGACGGCTCCAAGCCGCACAGGTTAGGTAAATTAGTTGTAATTTGTATTTTTCTTATTTTTGTTTTTTTTTGTAAAGTAGCCCTAGATGGTTCCAGGCCGCACAGATTAGTTAAATTAGTTTTTTTTTAAATGAGGCAACTACTGTTTGATTATATCGAAAAATTTGACATTAGTACCTAATTTGACGATAAACGCTGAATTTATATTCCCCGTTAATAGGGATTAGACGGACGATTGCATGGTTTTCTTTGATTTTTTGTATATTTTACTATTTTTAATGTTAATTTTCGTTATATTGTCCTTTTGATATAATGAATTTTAGATCTATTGTCTTTTCAAAATATATATTCGATAAAATGTATTTTCGATCAAATGTTATTGGATAAAATTTCCAATTCGATCAATTTTGTGCCACCCATTTCTAAATAAAGCAAACACTTTCAAATTATGACTTAATACAGTTTTCTTCGGGATGTGCGATGTGATATATTATAAATGATATTTATATAATTGGCGAAGATATGTTCCCGAAAGATCCACCAAATTCTTCGACTCCATTTGCTATTGTAGCGCTCTCACCATTTACTCGAATTTTGTCTTATAAATGAATGATTCATACCGATCTGTGAGCATGATTCAGGGCCGACTAGAGGGGGGTAGCCGGGACTAATTCTCGGGGCCCGGTAGCGCTGTAAGGGGGCCCGACAACAGCATTTTGTTCTGCATGAGAAATACAAATACGACACAAGATGAGAGTGGGAAGTTAAGTTTCGGTTATCTTTTTTTTTTAGAAGAAGAAGAAGTAATTGAAGTTTTTTGTTTCACGGGGCCCGATCTAGAGAATTGTCCTGGGGCCCGGCCTGGCTCTCAGCGGCCCTGAGCATGATGAGTCCGTATAATTAAGTAAAGGGAGTTTGTCTCTTTCATCAAATTTTCCTGGTTTTAAGGACAAGTGGGGTCGTAAAATGGCCCAACCAAAGGACCAGAGCGAGACTAGATTGGTCGGAAATGGCTCACATTATTCGTTATGCAAAATTAGTTTGCGCATATTTTCGGGCATTACCCGAATTCGAGTATTGTGCGTAACATTTACATCACAGTGACAGTGCGGCGGTAATTTTTTGAATAATACATAATATCTAGGACAGTGTCCTAGCAAAAAAAAATCGGGGGGATAAATACATTACAGTCAAATTTTAGTGTATTAACATATTTTAAACAATACATTTTAATTGATTTTAGAACACTGAAAAGGGTTCGACAATAGTCTACTACTTATTATGAATTATAATTTCAATATTTTAAAGTAAATTTTCCAACAAATTGTTTACTATATAAGATATTTATTATAAACAATTTTACTCGTTGTTGTAGGTATTTTTCTACAATTGATTAAAGTTTATTATTCGGTAAAGGAAAATCAACATATTTTTAGTTTCTTTATAAACAAATTAAAACTATTTAAAAGCATCTACCTCATTTCCAAACGAAATGGCTGCCAAAGGAAAGGGTTGGTATATCTAACGCGACAGATTCTGCCGTACGTCGCGCAGTGTTCTAACAAACCGTAGCTTTAGATATAAGCCTGCTAGTCTATGAATATTACATTTTCATGGTATTCGACATAAAATGGGCAGTTTTTTAGGATAAAATTTTTAAATTTAATCCTTTATTCATGATTTCACCTGTTGTAGATAGAATATACATCGTAAGTCGCAACACCTTACATATACCAACCCTTCCTTTCAGCAGCCATTTTGTTTAAAATGCCTAATAAGATTGGGAAATGTTATGCATAAAAACAAAATAAATGACATACCTACTTATTTGATGCTTTCTAAATACTATAGTCTATTTTTATATATGAGAGAGTAATAAAACAGCATTTCTAATGCAAAACTTAGTACGGTCATTTTAAATATTTTTACAGAATAATCTAAATATTTCTTAAAATTGTAATAAATGTACCTGAGCTATTACAAGTTTTGGGTCTTTTATTGGTCCTTTATAAACATAAGCTGTACAGAACAATAGAAAAAGGTTTGGACAGGCCAAAAGCCCTGTGTATTTAAGATTACATAGCCGTATCTTAAGATTATTTTCAATAAGTACCTATTTGCCAATTTTGTTTTATTTTAATTCCAAGAATTTCTTACAGTAATCGAATTATAAGTAGATAAATACCTTCCCAACAAATTTCACTGAAAATGCGTTTTCCATTTAGTAAGGAGGTCCAAGTTGTGTATTCTTGACAGTTTACTAAATGTCGTTTAGTTGCAACTTGCAAGGTGCAGTGTGAATTCTAGTGTGATCATGGAAAATTTGGAAGGGCCGCGTAAACGACAAAAAAATCGGTCCTTTAACAGTTAATGAAAAAACATTAATATTTAATTGTTTTAAATCATTTACAGACAAACATTTATGTAAAAGTGTTGATGACACAGTGAAATTAGTTAGTAGTACGCTTGGTGTTGGGAAATCTACGATTTACAGAGTTGTTAAAGAAGAGAAATGTGGCGAGTTTCAAACAGCACGTAAAGCTCCAAGAAAACCAAAATTTCAATTAGAAAATCTTACGATTAAAGAAGAAGAGAAAATGTGGAAGTTGGACAATATTACTGATGAAATGATCGAGCCACTCATTGTAAATATTGGTTGCGACAGTTCATCTTCTGATTTGGATTTGTAGGTAAGAAGTAGTTTTTATATTAAAATTATTATTTATGAACGTAACGTTGTTTAAAAGTCAAAGTTTAAACCCTTATACCTACATAACCCGTTTAACACAATGTTCTTAACATACCTTGTGGAAAAATAAAACATCTTAGAAACAATTGCACTTTTTTACCTTCAGCTGTTTAGAAGTTATAAGCAGGTTAATTAGGTGAAAATATAAGTGTATACTCGAGAAATAACTTCAAAAAATATTTTAACTGTACTAAAAGAAGTGGTACGGCTATTATGGATTACGAACGTTTTATTATTTTGTCCACGACCACATAATAAATCAATATTCTACTTCCTAACTAAAAGCATATGGTACCCATAGGTAGGTATATCACGGAGTGTGAATTATGATAATTCACGCTTTTGTAATTCTGGCACATTCAGTTAGATAACTAAAGATAGGCGATACTTTTCATAACGATATTTTCTAGATCGAAAAATAAAAAAATCGATAAATCAAAAAATCGAAAATCGAAAATTCGAAAAATTGAAAAGTGGAAAAAACAACAGTTAGTTACCTATGTTTAATAAAAACTTTCCATTTTACACTTAACTTTTATGTAATAAAGAAGCCATAAGGTCGTGGACAAAGTATAGTATTAGACTCGCAATTTATGGCCATTATTCACTCGGGTGACTTGCGCCCATCGCCTACGGCTCGGGACGCAAACGTCACCCTGCGTGAATAATGGCTACCATAAATTGCTCGTTTAATAATATACTATTAATACTCTATCATACATAAAAATAGACTATAATGTAATGCTAATTTAAAAACATAGAGAAGAACCCTAAAATATATTTTTTCTGAAAAATATATTTTTTTGACGAGAAGCTAGCAAAAATAGATTTTTTTTACAATTATAAATCTAAATATCGGGCCAAATGTTAAAATGTTATCTATATCTATAATTTGCAGGATTAATCATCTATTTTCTTATCTTATAACAATCGAAAAATTCGATCCTCGCACTAGCGGTTCGCCCGATATATCTATATTTATCCGTCGTGTAATTTACACTTAGGTGCTTACAGGGTAGCTACAAAATACATGTAAAAGTAGGTAGGTACTTACTTTTGTAATCTCCAAATATTCTTCGATATTTCCAACATACCGTTACCACCCAAATACAAAAACCTCAAGGCCGCAAACTCCAAAATTTGTTCCGGAAAATGACAAAGCATATTCCCACTCAAATTCAATTCCTTTAACGTCGTAGTCTTTGAAAAAGTTTTCGGCAAAGATTTAGAAGTTATTAAATTATTTTTCGCTATCAAACTGGTTATGTTCGGCAGATATTTGAATACATCCGGCAAAGTTGTGATGCCGGTGTTGCTGATGTCTAGAATTCTGGTGTTTGAGAACTTGAATATGGCTTCTGGTAGAGTCGGTAGTTGATTGTGGTGCAAAATTTGCTTTTCTACTAGCAAAAACGATTTTTTTTCGTCGAAATACTCTTGGAGTTTTTTATCTGTTTCTTCGGCATTCAAAAGTAGATATGCATAATCGATCACTTTAATACCCTGTTCACTATCACTACTATCTGATGTATAGTTATCCATATTTTCCTGAGACCGGTTTAATTTTAAACAATTAAACTTACAACGGTTAAACGACAAGTGAGAACTAAAATATGTAAGTTTTCATCAGCTTTTAAAACCGATAGTAATGAGGTCAAAACGTTATCATACTCCGTAATAATACAGCATGAGTTGTTCATTTATTATCGCTTATTTTTATTAAATCTCTAAGCAGTTTTTTTTATAATTCTTAAATTAAATGAAAATATTCGATTAGTTGATTTTAAATAACATTCAAGACTCGATCAACCGTGTAGACAAACATTGAAGATCACCATAAACAAATAGGTATATGTACTCCGACTTAATTACATAACTTATTGGTTAAATGAATTCCACAAGGTTCCGTTCTTGGACTTATTTTTGTTTGTTATTTACATTATTGACGATCGCAATAAGTATTGTCTTTCATTATCGCTTGTCGTTTTTCAATGTAAATTTTTAGAGCAGAAAATTTGTATGGCTAAAATAATATTGCTACGATGGATAAGCAGTACACCTAAGTAAGAATTTTAGGTTTTAAAAGTGCTTTAATATGTTCAATTAAACGATATTATTTTTAAAATTATCTTAAGATAAACTAAACTTATTCTTTAATTATAATTTAATGCACTCTTTAAAATTAATGTTTTTGATGTTATACTGGTTTTATAATGCTTTTGACATTGGCAATTTTAAAATTAATTCGATTTATTAAAGGATTAAAGCAAGTTTGGTTTTAAAACAATCTATTTTGGAACAAAAAGTTTTTATGTAGTTTTATGGGAATGACCCCTGATGTATTCATTAAAGCCAATTAGAAAGCCTATATATTCAACAAAATGTAACACATTAAATCTAAAAACAAGAGGTGTGCACATTTGTTATATGAATGAGATTATGGCGATTAATGTAACAGTAATATGCAAAACTTACCTGTATTTTAATTAAATTAAGAACATCGATAAGCCGTGTCTGTGTGTGTGGGTGTGTGTGTCTGTATCCATCATAACTCATGAACCGATACAAAGAAAAACACAAAATTTTAAACTTAAGCTCTATTCCGGCGTCCAATGAACTGATTAGATTTTGGGCAGAGCCGAAACATCTGGGGGGTACTTTATTGGTGGTCATTTTTAAATTTTATGGAATATATCTGTTATTTCCGTTTGGTGAAGAAAATTCTTCAAATAAAATTTACTTATATATATATTTTTTGTTCCATACAAAATTTTCCTAAAATGGTCGTAAACTGTAAAACAATATTTTTTTATAAAAATTGTTCAAATAAAAGTTGTTTATAGTATAATTCTCTACAAATTTTATCATATACATAATTTCTCTAAAATGAACCGTATTCGAGATATTTGAGAAAATGTGTAAATTTCGAATTTTGAAGAAAACTCAAAAACGGATAAAGGAAAAAACATTAAAATTTAAACTTAAGTTTTATTTCGACCTGACGTGAAATGATTAGATTTTGGACAAAGTCGGAACATCTGGGTGGGGGGGTACTTTATGGGAGGCCGTTGTTATATTTTATGGAATCTGTTATTTATGTTTGGAGAAGAAAATTGTTCAAATAAAAGTTACTTCTAATATTATTATCTATTTTTGTTTTATGTCAAATTTTCCTGAAATTGTCCGTGTTCGAGAAAGTTGACAAAATGTGCCAAATTCTGATTTTAAGAAAATTGTTACTCTAAAAGTTGTTTGCGATATCGATCTCTATAATTTTTGTTTTTACATGATTTTTCTAAAATGGAAAAAATGAAGGAAAAGTGCTAAATTTAAATTTTTCAGTATTTTCGTTTTCGAATATCTATCGAAAAATGTTTCGAGTTAGATGTATGTGGAAAATGTATATATTTAGTTATCCTCTAAACATTTATAGAGATGCTACAATAGGTTGTACAAAATAACCGGAAAAGGCCTGTAATAACTAGATAGGAAAGTCATGTGTTGGACACATCAGATTTTTAATCTAGATCACGCCATGATGGACATTTTGAATAGCCAGAGAAAATTATATATAGAGACTTTAGTAAAAAAAAAAAACTATTTTAGGATTAATTATAATAATTCTTATGGTAATTTAATTTGCCAAAAATATATTTCAAATGCAGAACGTTAGTTCATAAGTTTCAATATATAAATTTCAAGTTGTCTCTTTAAGAATGTAAACTTAAAACTAAATGGTTTTAATATAATATTAAAATTGTCTTGAAGGACCCTCGTAGCAAGAAACTGCTTGCTTTATAGTGGTCTTGCTATTATTCAAAATTTTATTATACAGGGTGTCCTTTAAAATGTGTCCCAAAATTCTCAGGCAGATTCCTTAACCAAAAAATGGAAAAAAAGTTCCTATAGACCTATGTCCTAAAGTGCCCCCTAAGCGAGCAACAGCCTCTCGAAATCATTTTTTTTATTTTGATTTTTTGAATTTTCTTAAAAATGGAAACAAATAAAAGAACCAAATTTTGGCTGTTAAATATGATCAATAATAGTGACCTTTTGACACCTTCAAAAAGAAATTATTTCGTCAGGGGTGTACTTGGGAATTTTTTGAAAATTTTGATTATTCATAACTTTTTTGTGTTTTTGGTAATGACTTATCCATATTTTTTTTTACATTCTACATTGAAAACTACGTCAAAAAGGAATACTTGTTTGATCTCGATTGGAGCAGCCGTTTCCGAGAAAACATCATCCAAAGATATTCGTGCAGTTTAGGTTAATTTTCAATTTTGGCTGTTGTAGCCAAAAAGTTGGAAATCGAGGAACACGGCTTACATGTCCCTATCCTTACTTTTGAAGGTCTATTCAGTGGCAAAAAATATTAGTTGATACAGGGTGATCAAAAATCGGATGTGATTTTGGATTTTTGATCACCCTGTATCAAATAATATGTATTTTATGTCACTGAATAGACCTTAAAAAGTTAGGATAGGGACTGTAAGCCGTTTTCCTCGATTTCCAACTGTTTGGCTACAACAGCCACCTGAATTTGAAAAAATGTGATTTTTGAGTAGCTGTAGATCCTTTACTATTCATATTAGATAACAAGTGTGATATATCATTGAAATCAGATTATCGAGCAGATTCTAAAAATATAAAAATATACAAGGTGTTCCATTTAAAAAACATAACTTTGATTTGGCACGGCCTTATGAAACACCCTGTCACATCGTAACTAATTTTAAAATGTGAAGCTTAAAGCTGCCTACTTTTATTATAACAGATCTACAGAGCTTCCTCACACTAATCAATCACCCTATACTATTTTTAGCTCTCTAAATAAAATTTAAAAATTTAGTTCCCATTTATTTATTATGAAGACCATAAGGTTTGTATTTAGCTGTTTAGAATAAAAAAGTAAAAATATGTATTTTTTTGGCGTTTTTGTGTTTCATGGATAATTTTTTTCGCTCACTGATAAAAATGTTTCTTCAGTTAAACATTATTTCTAAAAGTGTTCTGGTGCGATTCGTTGTATTGTTATTATTTTGTTTAAAATGGCTCACAATAACTACAATAATGATTACACATTCGGCGAAATGACGGACATGCACTTATGTTTTGGACTCGCTTCTGGAAATGCCAATGAAGCTCGCAGACTTTATCAGGAGCGCTTTCCAAATAGGCATCTTCCATGCGCTAAGACGTTTTCTAGAATTGACGATAGACTTCGGGAAACTGGTACATTTAAGAAAAACTCTAGTAACAGTGGAAGACAAAATTATGTGAGAACTCCTGCTTTGGAAGAAGCAATTTTGGATAGGGTAGCTGAAACCCCATCGACAAGTACCAGAAAAATAGCAAATGGTAAGTAATTACTTATTTATTATTTTAGCTACTCCGTACCTTATCGTATAAAACTAGTTTTTTTACTTGTTATTGCTTCTCTTACATTTCACGACTTTTCGTATCGAAAAGAGTTGCGTTATGCAGAAAAAATCTGATTTCCCAAATCAATGGATTCTCTTTCTTAACTATTCACTACACAGATTCTCTCATTTAATTTCAGAAGTGGGAGTCGGACGTAACACGGTATGGAAAGTTTTGCGTGAACAACAATTGTACCCTTACCACATTCAAAAAGTTCAGGCACTTAAAGCTACTGATTATGAGCCGCGAGTTATCTTTTCTGAATGGTTTCTTGGAAGATGTAATCAAGATGCAATGTTTCTTAATAAAGTGCTATTTACCGATGAAGCTGGTTTCACTAGAGATGGTATAATAAATTTTCGAAATATGCATGAATGGGCTGAAGATAACCCTCACGCGGTTGTTGAACGTCACCACCAGGATAAATTTTCAATAAACGTCTGGGCTGGAGTTATTGATAATTACCTTATTGGACCATTTGTTTTGCCGAATAGGTTAAATGGAGCAGCATACAGGCTTTTTTTGGAAAATAACTTACATGAGCTTCTTGATAATATTCCGATTCAAATCAGACATAACATGTGGTTTATGCATGATGGAGCTCCACCACATTACAGCCTTGAAGCTAGACAGCACCTTAACGAAAGATTTGAGGGTAGAGTAATTGGCAGAGGTTGTCCTGTTAACTGGCCACCTCGTTCACCAGATCTAAATCCAATGGATTTTTTTGTTTGGGGTTATTTAAAATCATTGGTTTATTCCAGTCCTGTTGAAACAGTTGAAGAATTGGAAGAACGAGTTTTTCATCATTGCGAAGTTCTTAGGAATAATCCTGAAGTATTTTTTCGTGTAAGACAGTCTATGATGCGACGGTTGCGCTTGTGTGTGGAAACCAATGGTCGCCACATTGAGCATCTGCTTTAATTTTTTTTGATTTGTTTTTTTAGAATAAATATTTTTTTAAACCGTTTCTTATTAAATAAAAATAGTCCCACCACGACATTTGAACTACAATTATTTAGAGAGAGCTAAAAAAGTTATTTTTATTTACGAGATTCACCGAGGTAATTTAGGAAAATTGAAAATTAAGCTAAAGTGGACGAATATCTTTGGATGATGTTTTCTCGGAAACGGCTGCTCCAATCGAGATCAAACAGATATTCCTTTTTGACGTAGTTTTCAATGTAGAATGTAAAAAAAAATATGGATAAGTCATTACCAAAAACACAAAAAAGTTATGAATAATCAAAATTTTCAAAAAATTCCCAAGTACACCCCTGACGAAATAATTTCTTTTTGAAGGTGTCAAAAGGTCACTATTATTGATCATATTTAACAGCCAAAATTTGGTTCTTTTATTTGTTTCCATTTTTAAGAAAATTCAAAAAATCAAAATAAAAAAAATGATTTCGAGAGGCTGTTGCTCGCTTAGGGGGCACTTTAGGACATAGGTCTATAGGAACTTTTTTTCCATTTTTTGGTTAAGGAATCTGCCTGAGAATTTTGGGACACATTTTAAAGGGCACCCTGTATAGTTTTAAAACGACATTTTCAAGATTGCAATAAGAGAATTTTAGTGTTACAGTCACAAAAAAAGAAACGGAATGAACGTATTAGAGATAGTGTAGGTGTTGGGATTTTTTTGTGAGAAAAGAGAGGAGAGGTCATAATAATGGTGACCTCTGGAGGTTCACTATGCAGTTCAATTTGAACAAGTGATAATTTAGACGCTCCATGAAGAAAACATGTAAGTATATTATTTGACGCATCCAGAAATATCTACGTATACGTTTAATGCGTTTTTCATTGTATTTTTGCAATAATTAAAACAAGATAAAACCATATTCGACGTACCAATTTTGATCAATGCAGCGTATATGACGCGTTACGCGGTGACGCGCAGTAACCTCTGTACAAAGAAAATCGTGAGACATTGATAACCTGTTTCCGAGAACTGAAAAGAAAATAGTATTTCTTGAAGAATGGAAAATTTTCTGAAACGTGAGGTTGGATTTTAAATCTTATATTCATATTGACAATTTGGAAATTCATGTCAAAGATAGAGATAAGCTTAATTTTAATTGGAAGAGCGACTGTGCGTAGGAATTAACAGGAATAGTTAGGTTCCAATCACCCTAGGTAGAATTTTTTAATAAATTTATTTTCTCCTTGGGGGTTCAAAAATAATTTATTTCATAGAGGTAATATTGGGATTTTTTTTGGGGATTACCCGGGAATTTAAGAAAATATTTCTGTTTGCGTGTAAATCCTTACAATGGTTATGTCTGATGAAGTGTGCTCTAGGTACTTAATCTGTTTCGTCTTCTACGTAGCTTAAAGGACAATTCGACATTTGATGCAAAAGGCTCTTTTGAAATAACCTTCATTTAAAAAATAAAGATCCTAAAGGTTTTTTGTATTGTTAAATAAGAATTTGTTTGAAAATTTTTAAAAAATAATATGTAATCGTATATAATAATTAAATTACAATCATTTTTAAATATTTAGAGAGAAAAAGTGGCCGATGATAATGTTGTGTAATATATTATCTTCCCTACTGATATGCAGCCTGTAGTACACAGAGGAATTTGGCCGATAAAAAAACATTTATATAAAGTGTTTATAATTTTATAAAAATATGAATTAGTATATGTAACAGTAAATATTCATCCTTTCATTTTCCAAATAAATAGGAAATAAAATGTTTATTTTTTGTATCGACGTTTATCAGCAAAATTAAAAATATAACTTCATGGTATAAATTAATAATAAAACTATCAATAATTGATTATATTGTGTTTATCTAAACGCAGTCTTAACTTGCATATATTATATGATCTTATCGAATTTCGCTGAAAAACCCGTGCTACCGATTTTCTCAGAAATGTTTTTCTTTAAAATAATCTTTGACTTCGATTAAAAAAAAGAAACAAAATAAATGTGTATCTATTGTTTTTATTTTATAAATAAAAATACTTTTTTAATGAAAAGAGAATAAATATTAAGAGTAAGTTTATTTAAAATAATATCCGAATACTAAATAATAATCTACTACAGTTTTACCGTCTAACTTCAACAAATTAGTTAATAAAAGAATGTTTAGTCTATAGTGTGCAAGACACACTGAGAGAGTATGAAGACTATGACGTCTTATGAAGCGCGCCTTATTTGCCTGGGATCGGCAAACAAAAACAGGTCCAGTCTCAGGCAAATTTCGACACGGGTTTAAATTTTATCTCAAAATTTGTTTGTTCAATAATAAACAATGAATTTCAAAATTACAAATGTATAAGTTAACAAATAATAATAATAAACACATTTTACGCAATAGATAAGCCATTATAAGTCATCGACGAAGTCTGAAATCTCACTCTCAGAACTGTCGCCAAAATTTTATAATGTCTAGGATGTTATCAGCGATCCACATTTCTTTTTCGGTTTTTTCTCTGACATGTGCAACGCAATTACGCCAATTTTGTTCAGTGACATGTTCAAATGCTTTATCTATAAAGAAACGAACATCCTGTGTCTTGAAATCAAAGTTGTTCATAATATATAGCGCTTCGTATTTTGCAACTATTTCCTCAATATATTTCCTCTCTGTATGCGTGGGCAACTTCAAGCAGCTCAGATTTTAAATAGAAGTCGTCAAAGCAAATGTTTTTCAAACACCCAATTTTTTATTTCGGGTTTGTTTCATGAGGTAGCTGAAAAACAAAATTTACCCGGAATGATACGAAGCGTTATCCATAACAACTTTCTTTGACCATTTTTGGGTAAAGGTTAGGAATCAACGACTCCTCAAATCATTGCTCGAAATAGTCGGCATTCATTTCGTCATGATAATCGCCATCGTTTTTCTTTGCCAAGAAAACACGCGCGGCGCCAGGTAATCTGCAATAATATCCTGCATGAAAATAACGGAACATATACCTCTTTATGAAAGCATCTTTACGATTTTGTATGGTATTATCACACCATGCGTAGTTAACTTAACCGTTTGACCAAAGTCTCATCTAAATAGATGACGTTACAATTTTGTTGGCGATGATATTCTTCGATGGCACTTAAATACCTATTCCGTCAATGAATGATGTCGTTTCGTTCTAACATTATACTTTTAAGACCACGCTTCACATATTCAAGACCAATATTTTTCATTAATCTACATAGTGTTCTTAAAGAAAACGAAAGTGAATTCTTATCTCGAATATTATAAATTGCATTCAAAGTTGGCGGAATGTTATAAAACTCATTGTGACAGTTCCCTTTTAACTGAAATAGTTTAAAAGTTGAGGCTCATTTCTTAATTATCAGCATGGTCACATTACCTTTCTAAAGCAGGATAATGTTACATGTGCGGGCGAGATGGATATAGAGCAATTTATTTTTCTCGGAACTTTTAAATTAATTTAAGACATGAGTCGCGTATTATTACTTTATTACTTAAATGATTATTGGTGATTGAAAGGATTGTTTAATTATTAATTTATTAGTTGATTGAATGGGTTGGCACGACACTCAGGGCTGGCCTGATGTATTTATGACATATGTTGGAAATATTTCCAACAGTGCTATTTATCATTAGAACAGATCGTTTTAAAAAAACTCAAAACTAAACAAAGTAATTCGTATGAAAATGTTTTTGCTTCAATAGGAAACCAATTCGTTAATTTCCAGTCACGTGTATCAGACGAAAGACAGTATCAGAGCATTTTTAGTTAATTATTAAAATGAAACTCTTTAACACTTTTGTATTTAATAAAACAAATAAAAATATTAACATTATAATTAATATTTTTGTCTCCTCTTTTGGTTCAAGAATGATTAAGGATGTTGGGAAGGACGGGAACCAGGCTTAAAAATAAATTAAAAAATTATATTAAAAAATAAATATATTTCGATTTAACGTCCCACTATATTACCATTTGGCCCTTTTCCCCCAATCTTTCGGCGTCCAATGCAAACATTTCGGGTCTATCCTAATTTTTCTACTCTCCATGGCCTTCAGTTGACTTTGGATGGTTTCTTTACTTAACGTTATTATATACTGACCTTTGTAATAATTTATTAAATTTAGATTTTGTAAAGTTGAGATCACATCCTCTTTCTTGATACTAGTAAGTTCGCATATTTCACTGGAACAATATTTACTAACTTTAAAATAAGCTTCATATGTATATAGGTAGATTTGGGACAAGGTTTTTATTTGCTCCATTCCCGGACCCATACTTTTTTATATTGCTTATACAGATGATAAAATTCAGAGATGGTAATATTAGGCATAAAAATGTGTCAAAAAAAGTAACCATACTTACTTGATTGTAATTTGAGGCTTTTCATTTTCTCCTACTGGCTTCATTGACAGTAGAATTTCTAATATCGTTTGCGCCCAATAACTGCGATACGACAATAGACCTAAATCGGACAAAGGCTTTTCCGGCGAACCAGTTTTACCTTCGAATTTCGATAATTCATAACCTGAAATACGTAAAAAAACCTATTTATAGTTATTTGCATTTTGGTTGTTAAAAAATGAAAAAGAGAATAACAGTCTAAGACATATGGCAATGCACTACAAGTTGATCCAGAACAAAATAAAATGACGGTTTAAATATTTAATAGATTTAAATACTGTACTTCAAATTTAAGTATAATACATTATAGAGTTGAGGGAACAATTATGTATTTCATTTATACAAGGAAAGGATTGTTACTGCCTATTAATGACGAATTTCAGTATCATTTATTTATGTTCTAAATTTGCCAAAATAACCACTTACTAAATTCTATAAGGAGTTTACCGTATCCTTTCCTTTGATACGGCGGCATGGTAAGTATACAGGCAACATTGTAATCTTCTGTCGATTCCTTTTCCTTGGAAAAATACCCCACTATGTGAAACCCCCTGTTATCTAACACTGTCATAATATAAAATAAAAAAGGATCCGTATCGTAATACAAAGTTTTGTGATCTAAAAACAATTTGGCCAACAAACACAAATTTTGAGCGTAGACTTTATTCTTCCTGCCGTCGATTTCAAAAAATGATATATTATCCTTCCGGTAAATCTCGTTGCCTGGTGGATGCCTTAAATTACATTTAGCTAGATGGCGTTCCAGACATTTCCGACTTTTTCTGTACTTCAGGCAAAATTCACAAATGTATATGCAGTCTAAGTTCACCATTTCCTGAAAATTCGCCGCATAAGACATCTGTAACAATTGTTATTACTAGGATGGTTTGGTAGAGTTTGGTCACATAAGAAAGAAACCATCAATAGTGCTATTATTCTACGAATGAAAAAACATACTCATTATTTTTTCTATAATTACATTTCGCACTTTTCTGCTTTTTTGAAAACATGATCATTTCTCACAATAATTGAAATTGACATTTTTGCCACCAAATTTCTAAATTTTTATTTGAAATTGGAAGATTTCAATTTTAAATAATGAAAGATTTAAGTTAAATTACAGTTCTAGACTGAAAGAACCAGCGATCGTCAGACCTACATTATAGTATGAAAGTAAAGATTTTTCATGTGTTTGTATATTATAGTAGATAAGAACCTTTGGGTGTTATGAACATTGACATGCCTGGCCTCTTTTTTAAAGTAAACTAAGTCTATGTATCTGGACTAAGAGAACATGCCATCAATGTAAACATATTGAACGTTTTTAGGATGAACTATGAAGACTAGATATAAGGAGGCGAATCGGCCTTAGTCAAATTTCAAATTTTCGTCCCTATTTTTATGGAGTTCCAAACAACTACTGTAGTTGGCGGGTGGCAAAATAACGACGTCTATTTTCTATGCAAGTCAATGGGAATTAAAGTGATTTTTGTAAAATTTAGTGAAAAGAATAAAAATAAGCTGAAATAAAGAACCTGACTACAAGTAACAATGAGTAACAAAAAACGGAAAAGCAGGATTTCTTCATTTCGGGTTGAAAAACGGGATATAAATCCGATATAAAATTAAAGAAAACACAAGGAGATAAAAATCCAAGTCTTTTTAAAGCTCCTAGTGTAAGTAAAATAATGTATTTATTTCTAAATAATATATATTTATTGTAAAATAGTCACAACCCGTATCTTACGGAGTGTAGTTTATTTAATTACAACATTTTATAATAAAAAATAATAAAGTCTTAAATCCTGACTTACAAACAACAACAATAATTACACATTAAATTTAACTTACTAGAAAGGAAAATTTGCTTTTTTTATGTTTTTTGATTTTAGATGAAGAGTTACTACTGTTATTTTTCTTTATTGAACTTCAATTTAGTAATTGCAAATATTTTTTATAGGATCCTAAACGTTTAGAACAATGGCAGCATGTGATTCCTAGGGCTGATAAAGTACTGTCTAGTTATGATTCTGTTCTTTTTAGAAGATGATATTTTAAAATTTTATGAGACTATTTTAACTAATGGTACTGTTAGCAAAATAAAAAGGGGACAGCTGAAATTAAAGGATGAGGTAATACCATGTACATTCCCAAATCTCCCTTTATACTTGTATTACACAATAAAAATCAGTTAACTGTGTTTTATTTTACTTTTAAAACTATATATTGGTTCAATTCAAAAAAAAAAAAATTGCCACCAAATTGTACTTATCAAATTTCAGCAATTAAGAAACCTTTTCGAATTTGGTCATACATACCAAAATTGTATTTTATATAGATAAAATTAAATAATTTATCAATTAAAACATGCAAGACTTATTTAGAAATAAATACAACAGTATGTTCTGTGCTTTATTTAGCTGTAAACAAGTTTATTTTTATTATTTTGACAAAATTATGTATAATTCCCATAAGAAGCCATGTATTTCGAACTACGTAAACCGTACCAGCGCCCATGTGGTTAATTATAAAAGCTCAATTGACGTGTGATTTTTGGGACCGTATTTTGAGCATGCCGATTCGCCTCCTTACCTCTAGTCTTCATAGGATGAACTATTAGGTTTCTTATAATAAAAAAAATGTATTCATTCATAGTAGCATAAAAGACATATATAAAAAAATCAGTCTAGTGTGAGTCTGTGACTGGTAGCTATATATTGGTATTTATTTTTTAAATCCCATTAGAAATTGTCATAAACATATTCGATAATAAATTACAGCTGGTTAATTTTTAATTATTAGTTAACAAACAAAATCTTTTTCCTATTATTCAGTGACAACTTAAAATTAAAATATTTTCTGAATTACCTTTCTTTTCATCTAAATTTAAAATCTCCCAATACTACTAACTTTTTAGGTAAACACAAATGAAAGTAAATGAAAATAAAAACCCTCCAAATCGGTACCACATAAATATATTGATATATAAATAATTATATTTATGGTATTGATTTTGAGGATTTTTATTTTCATAAATATATTTTTGTGGTACTGATTTTGAGGATTTTTATTTTTGTTTATTTTTTATGTAAGATATATTTATATTTATGTGATTACTAATTTTGAGGATTTTTATTTTCTTTTATGAAATGGGGCAAATTTGAGAAGTTGAATAACCTCTTCAGTTTCAAATGAAAGTATAATTAGGGTACTCTTAATGGTGATATAAAATACAGACTGGTCAATTATATGAAATATTTCTAAATTGTATCAACCAGATCAATATTGTAAATTCTTCAATCGTTCTATGAATTACACATGATATAGTAGAATCTTCATCACCCCACAAAAATTGCTCATATCCAAGAAATCTCTGTATGCAAGTTTTTTTATTGAATCCAGATACTTACCAAACCATCTTAATACCTATACACTATAATTTAATTATTTATAAAAACTATTATTATAAAAAAATATCATACTTGTGGATAAGGTGCAAAATACCAAGGCTTTATCCTATGTTTTCCCAATTCAATTAGTTCTATATTCTTCATCCTAGTAACAATATCGTCGTGATGTGATACCATACTTCCAGACTGTCTAGGACCAGCCACCAAACTTTGAGGAGCATCTTGGGAATCCTCACTTTCCAAAGAAGGTCCTTTCCTTTTTCTATTTATTCGTTTTTGCAAAGCTGCTGCTAAGACTGCATTTCCATTTAGTAATTCGACATTGTTTATTGGAGAAGAAGGTCTTGAGATAGCTCCACCGGTAACTATACTACCACTTCCTCCTCCTCCAACACTACCACCGCCTCCAACACTACCTCCTCCTCCAATGCTACCTACACTTCCAACACTACCTCCACCTCCTATTTGTACTTTTTTAGGTGTTGATACTCCTGTGCTACATCCTCCTGCATCCTTTCTAGGAAAATGGACTTTTCTAGTATCCAAGGATTCTTCTGTAATCCATTCATCCAAACGTTTATTAACTGAAATTGTGGCATGAAAAATTGCTTTCTAAATAAACATATTAGTTACTTACAGTCAACATAATGTACGTAATAACATTTGGAACCATTAACTTCCTTAATACTGATGATTTCAGCCAATGCTACAAATCAAAATAAATCGTTTTAAAGCGTGTAATTTTAACGAAAATTATCAATTAAACTTACGCCAATCATTAGTTCCTACCATATGTACTGGAAGTCTGCATCCCTCTATTAACGAGGACTACAAAAATTTCGAAAATAGAAATACAGGAATCCAGTAATACATTGAATTTACTTACCACAGAATCACAAATTGTAATATCGTCTATATCTTCCATTTCGACTTTCATGTATAACAGTTTGCTTTACGAATTGTTCCTCTAAAATAGTTTCGATAGACGGGTCTCAAATAAATAGAAAATAATTATTTTTTAAATCCTAATGTGCTACTCAAAAATAAACAAAATTTAAATTGTCAAATGTCATGTCAACGTCAAACAAGTGTCAAGCACCGATGTCAAGTAAAGCGTGTTCGGATATTCAAGGTATTGGATTTATGTGTCAGGTTTTATCTCTGAATAGGATAATATCCTTTTAAAAAGGATTGGAGAAGGATAAAAGAGGGTAATTAGAAGGTGTTAATAAGTGTGAAGATTGAAGAACCGATTTGTCGCTAATAATAAAGAAGTGTTCTAGAATATCCAATGATATATATTAATACAGATTGCTCAATATAAATCAAACAAACTAAGGTAATTCTTTTTTAAATGTTGAGATTTTATTTTAAAACTCATTTGAGCTAGAATAGTTCTGTCCACTAATCACTTGGAAAGGTAATTATAACAGTACATAACAGTTTGCATTTGCGACATTGCGACCCATTTTTTCGTAGTCTGATTTACATATAGTTGAGCAATCTACATTCCTTTATTTCATTGAGAATATCCGAACACGGCAGTTGCGTTCGGAGTTTGGACTGTTTGGAGTAAAGAAAAGAGTTTATCAAAAGGAAAAGATATATTGTTATACGTATATTAAACAAAGATGTATAGATTCTCCTTATTGTTCTAAATCATTTCGGATTACGAACCAAAACGCAAATGACGTATTTCCGCCGGATATTTAAACACCACCATTTCTCTATTCTTTTTTATTTTTATTAGAGAAGAAAGTGAACGTGAGTATGGTTTGCATGAAATTTTATATTTTTACAATGAAATATCAATTAAATTTTATAATTAAAGCATTTTATCATTTTATATGTTTACTAGAGTGATCTCGGAGTTACGTTTTCATTTAATTTCTGTTTTTGGAAAAGTTATTCAAGTCGAAAGTTACAACACGTGTTGAAAGACCATATTTGCTTATAGTATTTTTGCTTTTAACGTGTTATATGTTTAATTAAGATAGACTAGGGATATAGATTCAGTCTTAGATTAAGTATTTTAGTGTTTTATTAGAATGTATTGCTTTATAGAATGGCGGACGCAGCTCCAGCCGGTGGACGTGGTGGATTCCGAGGAGGTTTTGGCGGCGGTGGTCGTGGTGGCGGCAGAGGAGGCCCCAGGGGTCGTGGTAGAGGTCGCGGAAGAGGCCGTGGTCGTGGTAAGGAAGACCAAAAGGAATGGGTGCCAGTAACCAAACTAGGACGTTTAGTGAAAGACGGCAAGATCCGCTCCCTCGAGGAAATCTACCTCTTCTCTCTTCCCATCAAAGAGTTCGAGATCATCGATCATTTCATCGGATCCGATCTCAATGATGAAGTATTGAAGATTATGCCCGTTCAAAAGCAGACCAGGGCTGGGCAAAGGACGCGTTTCAAGGCATTTGTGGCTATTGGAGACGCCAAGGGACACATTGGTTTGGGTGTGAAATGCAGCAAGGAAGTTGCTACTGCCATCAGAGGTGCTATCATCTTGGCTAAGTTGTCTGTTGTGCCAGTCCGTAGAGGATACTGGGGTAACAAAATTGGTCAACCTCACACTGTGCCATGCAAGGTATGTATTTAAACAAATAAATGTTTTATTTAGCTCCAAAGATATTACATATAAGTGAATGGTACATTAACAGATTTTCCTTGTCCTCAAAATTAATAAAAACAAAGTCAAGACAAGAATGGAAATCTGGCAGTGAGGTAGTGTAACGATTTCGATTGTCAGAACAATAAGTACAGACATGTTTTAGTACCCTACAAAACTACCATATGAATACCTATAAGTACTTATTTAACTGTGATCTTTTTTCCTTAAATTTTTCTTGTATGGTCCATTTTAGAGAAATCATATATTACCAAAATTATAGAAAATAACATTTAAACAACTTTAAAGAATTTTTTTCTATAGTCATAAATAACAAATATACCTTGAAGTAGAAAAAAAGTAGTATTAAAAGTACTTGCAGCCATATTTTGATAGGTGATCCAGCAAAACTTTATGTCTATTAATAATTATAAAAATTATATTTTTATTAGAAAGTAAGCCAGTGAAATAATAGCTACTGTTGCATTTGCCCTATGTCTTGAAACAAAGACATTTGCTTGTTCAGCATTTAATTTACTAGGTTTTCACTGGCATTTTTTAAACCTTTGTCTCCCAAATTGAAAACCCTTCTTTTAACGGAATAGTGGTATTTGTCTGGTGCAACGAATTAATTTAAGTTTAACATACCAACTGAGTTAAATTCGTCCCTAAAAAACATTCAGTTCTTATCTGGAATATTTCCTTTCGTACATTAAAAATAGTTTCTATTTCTAACAAGGCTTTAGGGTCAAACAGACTCTTGTCAAATTTTGGAACTGCTACAGAAACATGCTTTCTCACATGCAAATCTATTAATTTTCTTTTTGTGATTTTAACTTTTTGGTCAGCTACACGTTTTTGGCCTATTGCACTGAGTTATATTACTTTTTCTTTACAGCAAAGATTACTCTTCCCTTTAGTTTTATTACTTACTGTGAAATTACACATTGTATTTTTTTTTCAATCTTGACCAAAAGCTGACTTACAAAAATCTGACTTACAAAAATCTGACTTGCCAAATGAATTGTATTCTAATAAAAAATATAAAGTATAGAAAATATGCAACAGTTTAGTTGTCATGTATAAACAGGTAAGTTGATAATGGTACTTATTTGCTCAACCATTGAACTGTTCATCAAAATATAGATAATTGTATTGCAAACACAGTGCTATAACCTAACGTAAAAATTTAATGGTTTTTGTGTAATTTTATGTACTTTTTTTCAATTTTTAATAAATAGAATTATCTGAACTTCCCAAGCATACTCCAAATTATTTTGTTGAACAATCCTTTTGTTGTTACATATATTTTTTTCTTTCTGCAAAATAATTGGATATGATGAAACAGTTACTGATTTTCCTTTTGGAAACACTGATGTTTTTTTTCTGTGGACGTAATTCTGATCCCAAAAAACATAATATCTTCAGTAATTAGTGAATGAGTATTTTTATTAAATATTAATAATTTTCTAGGTAACCGGCAAATGTGGTTCAGTCACCGTAAGGCTCATTCCAGCACCACGTGGTACCGGTATTGTATCAGCACCAGTACCCAAGAAGCTGCTTCAGATGGCTGGTATCGAAGATTGTTACACATCAGCTAGAGGTTCCACTGGAACTTTGGGTAATTTTGCTAAAGCCACTTATGCTGCCATTGCTAAGACTTATGCTTACTTGACGCCCGATTTGTGGAAGGAAATGCCTTTGGCCAAGACTCCTTACCAAGAGTTTGCTGATTATTTGGCCAAAAACCATCGCCCTGTCACTGGGCCTGCTCGTGCAGAAACTGCTTAATATCTTTTGTAAGTTTTTTACACTGGTATTAAGGATGATGATGAATAAATGATGATGATGATATTTTACTCGTTTTATTTAGGTATTTAGTATACCATTTATTTAAAAACTAATTACAGAGGGAGATAAACATAAATTAGAAAAAAATACATTAAAGGATACCTCCTCATACAAATCAGAACATAACTCTGCTCTCTAGGCAACATAGTTTATAGAAATATGTTTGTTTTGACTGCTAATAAATGCATAATACAAAATTTGATGTGTCCATTACAAAACTTTTCTGAGTTATTACAATTTTTTTTTTTTTTCAGTTATTTTGTATTGCCAATTGTATCATTCCTCTAAATGTTCAGAAGATGAACTAAATACATAACATTTTCTATACACATCTTACTCTTGAACATTTTTTTATATACAGGGTGTTCAATTAAGAAAGGGACCTGGATTCTCTGATTAAAAATAAGACTATTAAATGAAACATGCTTCAGTAAAATTTTAAAAATTAGATCTTGGCGATAGATAGACAACACAAAATACTCCACTGTGTCGAATGTATTGCGCATATACAAGATACTGTAATGCAGCATTAATTTGAAAGGCAAATTTTCATTGGCGATATAGCTCGAGCAATGAAGTAATTAGTCAAGTTTTCAGCTTGAAAAATTACGATAAAGCTACAAATTGAGCTGTTTTTTAGCCACCACATTGGTTTAAAATATTTTTTAAACCATATTTAAAGTGACGTCATGAATTAATAGATGGCAAAAATAGGGTGGTTTAAAAATATAACCTGCTAACTGTCATATGACTATGAAGACTAGTCTTCATACATATGACAAAATTTGAAATATTCTGATTTCGATAGTTTTATTTTTTGATGGATTACCGGTTGAAATAAGTTGTAGAAAGGAGAAGCGAAGTTGATTTAAAAAATGAGTAGAATTTTTTTTATGATTGTTAAATCAGATGAAGGAAGATGAGTTTGTTTGATAGCGATTTTAATTAAAAATTGGAGTGTTATTATTAAATTGCAATCTAAAACGTTGTTTATAGTTTTATTTTTGATATATTTCTTGCCCATAAACATGGCATATATTTATTCCGTAGCTCCAACAAATACGCAATTGTCTGACGATCCTTTGCTGTAATTTTTTTTGGGATTTTCCAAAATTCATCAATTAGAACGTCTTGTGCCAAAGAATGTTTAATTGCTTTTAAATATTTACTGGAAAATTCAGAATCTGAAGCAATCTACGTAATTATTTTTGCAAAAAACGTATAGGTAACTGATAATTAATCCTTTTACAACATTTCAATTGCATCATTGTTTCATAATCCAGAGTAACCTATAGGTAGATCACATCTTGTTTAAAATGTTTACAACATATAACGATTAATATTATAACATAATGTATGAATATGAATCACATAATATATGTATGATAATAAAAATTAACAAAACGTCAAATATATCAAAATTTTCAAAGAATGGAACAGAGTAAAACAACATACAACAGCCAAAATCAGAATCTCTTATGTGTCAACCGTTATTGAACCATATGCTTCCGACTGGTTCAAAAATTCTAGCTTTGGTTTAAAATATTTCGTACGTGACGTCATAGTTGCATCGCTAAATTTTAAACGGTTTAAAAAAGTCGAAAATATTTTAAACCAAACACTCGCTAAAAAATACCTTTGGTATGTTGGTAATCAAAATCGGTTTTAAAATTTTATAAATTTAGATCTTGGCGATAGGTAGACAACACAAAATACTCCACAGAGTAGAATGTATTGCATATACAACACAGTAATATAATGCATGATTTAGAAATCTAGATCTTGTCGATAGGTAGACAACACAAAATACTCTACAGAGTAGAATGTATTACATATACAAGATTCAGTAATATAATGCAGCATTTTTACCTGTGAAAAATTGCGATAAAGCTACAAATTGCTATGTTGATTCATTTCGTTGTTCTGATGATCCCTTTCATTTCCTCCCGGGATAGCTGGCTTACATTTTTTTAGGATAGTCCAATGAAGTGGAGAGGGGTAAAATGATAATTGTCAATGAAAAAGTATAGACTTACTCCTTATTAATTTATTTAGACAAATTTGTATTATTTAAATAAAATGTGAACTGTGAAATATTGTAAGGATAGAACCCCAGTATATAGAACTTAAAATTGAATCAACACAAAATAAACTGGCCAGTTGGTTTTGAAACCAGTGCCAAACAGAATTAAATACACACGCGTAAACAAAATTCAGGGGCGGTTTAACAATATTGTGTGTCACAATTGTACATCGGAAAATAATTAACAAGTATAATTTAACACGTTCGCGACATGAATTGATCCAAAGGCGGACTTGTGTGGCCGTTTTTTTACTTTGTGTGTTAATGATGTATTTGCGTATTTTGAACAAAAATAAAACCTATTTTATGTGAAATTAATCAAAATTAATAAAAATTAAATTAATTAAAATTAATAAAAATAATTAAAAATTAATAAAAATTAATAAAAATAATTAAAAATTAATAAAATTAAATTAATAAAAATGAATAAAAATGCATAAAAATGAATAAAAGTGAATAAAAAATAAATAAAAATGTATACAAATGAATAAAAATGAATAAAAAGGAACAACACTAAATAAAACTGAATAAAAATGAATAAAAATAAATAAAAACGAATAAAAATGAATAAAAGTGAATAAAAATGATTAAAAATCAATAAAAATAATTAAAACTGAATAAAAATAAATAAAAATGAATAAAAATAAATAAAAATGAATAAAAATAAATAAAAAGGAACAACACTGAATAAAAATGAATACAAATGAATAAAAATGAATAAAAATAAATAAAAATAAATAAAAATGAATAAAAATAAATAAAAAGGAACAACACTGAATAAAATTGAATAAAAATGAATACAAATGAATAAAAATGAATAAAAATAAATAAAAACGAATAAAAATGAATAAAAGTGAATAAAAATGAGTAAAAATAAATAAAAATGAATAAAAGTGAATAAAAATGAATAAAAATATGAATAAAAATGAATAAAAATCAATAAAAATAATTAAAAATGAGTAAAAATAAATAAAAATGAATAAATATAAAAAAAATGAATGAAAATCAATAAAACTAATAAAAAATTAATAAAAAAGGAAGTTATTTATTTTTTTATATTAATAACACAACTTGCAACAGCTGGTATTAGATATTTAAACAAAATTTGAGTTGGTACATTAGTTTTTTATATTTTTTGATGAATAATTATCCTTATATAGGGTACCATTAGTAATTGCTGGATATTTTAATTTAGGTCATTTTTAAATTAAAGTTGTATGTATTTATAACTCATAATTTAAAAATAATTACATTTATACAGGGTTTTCCAAGAAAGTAATACTGGTTTAAAAAAATAGTATACAGAGTGTGCCACCGGTAACGCCTCGGTTTATAAAGCAAAAACAGTTGAGAAAAATAATACGTATTATTTTATTTTAATACATTATTGAAACCTACAAAGAAAAATAGTGTAACTATTTTAAGAATGTCTTAAATCCAGTGGTCTATCATTTTTGATATGTTCCAAGTGTTTTCAAAAATATGGGACGTTTAATATGTCCTAAATTTCCTACATGTTTTAAATTGATTTTATTAGGTACATTTAGTGTCTTCAGGGTTATAAATTCAAATATGTATTGATCAAAAATATTATACAGGGTATTTACGAAATAGATCCCTAGTAGAAATTTATATTGGCGCAATATTGGCCAGATGTTGCCGCCAATATTCAACAATATTGGAATTAGAAAAAATGTTAACGCTTTCCAATATACGGCCAATATTGGCGGGATATTGCACAATATTGTCCCACTATTTAGCCAACGTTAGGTTACATTGGAAAGGAATATTGCGCCAATATTGGGCAATATTGCCGAGCCTAGAGAACCTATATTGGCCCGACAATATTGCGCCAATATTGGCGCAATATTGGTTACTACGATGGGTTGAAACAGCGTACCAATATTGTGGCTATATAGCACCAATATTGGTAGTTAATTAAGGGTTTTCACGGTCACACATTGGAAACGAATATTGCGCCAATATTGGCAGACCAATCAAACCCAAAATAGGCCGGCACATATTGCGCCAATATTGGCAGACCAATGAAACCCAAAATAGGGTGGCGAATATTGCTCCAATATTGGCAAAACATATAGGCCCAATATTGGTTTACAATTGTGGGCCAATATTGGCAAAATATATAACCCCAATATTGGTAATAAATATTGGGGTAATATTGGTAATAAATATTGGGGTAATATTGGTAACAAATATTGGGGTAATATTTCTAAAATAGATTGCCTTAATGTTGCTAGCGCATATTGGGCCAATGTTGTTCCTACCTGAAAGTCCAATAATTATACAATCAACCAATATAAGCTATATATTGGCTATATACCGACTATATATGTATATATAAATCTGATTATATATTATAGTTTTTTTACAATATATAATCAGATTAATATATACATATTTAGTCGGTATAAAGCCAATATGTAGTTTATATTGGTTGTTAATTTTATACAATTATTGGACTTTCAGGTAGGAAGAACATTGGCGCAATATGCCCCAGCAACATTAGGACAATCTATTTTGGAAAAACCCCAATATAAATAAGTAATATATATATTCAGAGTTATTATATGACTAGAGATAAACAAAACAATGTAGGAAATGCGAAATATAAAAATTAGTTAGTTTTCAATGGATTTATTAAAAACAAAAAAAAGGGTTAAACAAATAAGAAAACATTGAAATTATAAAAAAGTTTAAAAAATGTTACTTCTGTTCAACTTTACAAACAGGGCGTTGCATGTTCAAAATTTTATTAATGAAAATAGGGGGGAGTCGGCCGTGTCTGGCTACCTACAATTTTTTTTCAAAAACAAATTATGAGAATATTATTTTTAAGGATGTCTACAATATTTTCACATGTACAGGGGTGTCCATACAGTCGGTCTCCAGTTGAAGTTCAATTTTTTTATGAAAAGCCTGTATTTTATTACATTTCTGAATTCTAATTGAAGAACTTTTTCAACAAACGAGTATTTTGCAATTTCAAGTCACTATACTGACTACTACTTAATTTTTTAAAAGCTATATTTAAAAAT